AATTAGTTTGTTTGATATGATACGAGAGTCTGGTGGTGTCGAATTGTCAAATTCTGCGGATATGTATGAACAGATGACGTCAAGTGATGGAGAGGAGAGTGTAATTAATATTTGATTAAACAAACTCAAGAAGTACATTCAAGAAAGAAAACAAATAAAGCGAAAGAGATATATATATATATTTGATATTGACAAAGACAAGTGAGATTTACTTTTTTTTCAATCAACTCTTCATTTTTCAATATCTCATCTCCTTTCGAAATCATTCATTTTCTCCCCAATCGTCTACATATCGAAACGACTAATTTGATCCGAGAGATTTTCTGCTTAGTGATTAATTCTTACCCTGAACGAGCAATGAAGACTCATGTTCATATTCTTTTCTTTTTCTTCATACTCACTGGCAATATATACTGCGCTGGCAGCAGGACGAGACATGAAATTATATGTATCATTTAACATACCATCGCAGAAACATATCATTAGAATACACGTTCACTTTATTCTTTCTTCTTCAGCAAGTTTAATTCATATCCATTTCAACGCAGCTTAGACTCAATTGAACCTTGAAAAACGAATGTCAATTTCATGTTAAATCACTCTCCACGTCTTTTTTTCTTTTCTTTTCGCTTGGGTGTGAGACTCATCGTTTTCTATTCGAACCAAACCAAGGGCTCATCTTCACTTACTTAGATGACAAACGTACAAAGACTGGTATAACATGTACACACAGACATTTTATACACGAATTGAACTCGAAGGTTAACGGAAATCTCTCGTATGTTAATGCAAAGTCTCAGGAAGAGGGATGAACATTATTATACAATATAGATATAAATACATGTGTATATGTAAGAGAAAGAAATATCTTCATTGAAAGAATGACCTTCGAAAGGCTCATATTGCACATCAATGTAAAGAAGAATATACATCTTATGAAAAAAAAAAAGAAAGAAATCTGAAACAAAGATAACGCTATTGAATTAATGAATGGTGACTATCAAGGTGAAGTGATGTCCCATTTCACTGATCATTCTGTTTTCTAGCGGCTATGTCTTGAAAGAAAGATCTTACCTTATCTTTAACAGTCGATGAAGAGAATGACATACGATACAGTTCTGTAAATGAATATGTTGTTTGATACACACAATTACCCTCCGTTCGCGAAAGAGAGATTGAAATGATATTTTGTCAATGTGTATGCAAACAATCAGATTAGTCGATTAAACACGTTCAATTTTCTCTTACTTGGTAACCTTCATACAAATTTCAATTTTACTGTTAAAAAAATTCAACTAAGGATCGAAATGGGTGTGTGTGTTTATGCGATTAAACACTTGCTTCTCTCATTTGATTTTTTATCGCATTAGAACTACAAAGAAGCGAACAACATTCCCAAGCGACAAGACAAAAGCAGATTGTCATTGTCACCTTATAAAACACAAAGAATGGAACAATTCAAGAATGAAAATGACCGATTGTCTTCAATTTCAGCTAATCACAGACGTGAAAACGAAATCGTGTGGAAATAGTACAGAGAGCGAAGTTGTCGCTTTTCATTGCATCATGTTCATTGATCTCAATCTGTATCAAATGATTTCTTCTGTTTATAATAAACAGTTTATCAAATGAAAAAAGAAAATCGATATTGATAACAGATGTATGCATTTGATTTATTTGTGTTCAGCTAGTGATTATATATAGCCTCCGTTCATTCTGGATATGACACACTTCAAATGATGATGATATTCGATAAGAATCCTTGATATTCAAGAGCAAATGCGCTTCACTGTTCTATTTGAAAATGTTTAACAGATATCTTTCTAAAGAGAACAATACATTTACCGCAAATTTGAAACATTTAACAAGGTAGATAAGAAACAAAAAGACAATTGCTGTCGGATATTTATCAGACTGTCTATACGTATCTCAATCGATTGACGCGCCGCTATTCTCTCTCTCTTTCTCGTTGCCTTAAACATTCGCTAATCGATCACAGTTCAAAATTGTTTTGCCCGATTAATCGTGACACACACACACGTTGTATCTATCGATAACTGTAATTCAAGTCACTTGAAAGTCATTCGATCACTATTTACAGACATATCACAAAGTGAATACAATTACTCTTTGTATTTCTTTCATATGATCAGGATTAATGATGACAAATCAAGTACGATATTTGATCAATTGTATGAAGAAGGAAAAAAAACTGAGTTACTCGATGCAGGTGTGCTGTTGTTTTTTTATTTGAAATTAATTATGATCGAGAAAAACATATATGTATATGTATGGGATGTTCTAAGGAACTGATTTTTTTATTTGAGAATTAAATTCGCCAATTCAATGTATTGGGATCTTGAGTCATCGAGCGAACTTGATCAAGTCGTGTCAATTGAGGTGAGCGATTTCCGTATTCCTCAGGTTTTAATTTAACAATTGGTAAACGAATGATTTCGACTTCAATGGTTGTGTGTGGCTTTTTGTATTCAATAAAACGATTGCGTGATCGACGAATTTCATTTTGAGCATATTCTTCAGGATTGATATGACGATAAGTAATACGTTTAGGTGCAGGTTTGTTCGGTAACCACTGCTCAACCACAATAGGACCTTTTTATCATCGAAAAAAATCTTCAATAATCAATTTGGTATAGGAAAGGAAAAGAAGACTCACGAGGTTTTGGTGGCAATTCTGGATAACGATGTATAACAATCTGAAAGACACGAAACGATGTTTTTCCTTCTCGAGAAATTCACATACGCACTTGTTGTGGTAATGGTTTCGTTTCTAATGGAACATATTTGTTATAGAAAACGGTTTCTTCCGTTGCGGGTGGTGGTGGCGGAGGTGCACTTTTGATAAGAATAGGCGATGGAGTACGTTGTGTTTCTCTATTCGCTGCTGGTCCGACATGAACATGAATAGGTGGCCGTTGAATCTGTGGTTTAACAGCAACTTCTTGTACTTGAATATCAATAGGTTCTGGTGTTGGTGGTTGATATTGCCGTAGGAAAACTTGTTGTTTGTACACTTGTTCTCCGCCTTCATGTGTTTCGACAATTGGATCTGAATCTAAATTCAAATCATCAGCATCGATATCTGTCGATGCCGATTGTTGACTGTCCTAGAAAACAAGATAACACATCGCTGATTATCTAGTAGGCCATGATTTCACAAATATACTTACGAGAAGATCACGTCGATAGCCATCATCACCAGCAGCTCTTATCACAATTGAATCTTTGTTGATTTCTTGTGTAGCCGATGAATCACTCTCATCACCTGTTGACGTGCGTAATTCAAGATTACGTTTATCGAGAAAATTCTCCACGTAGTTTATGATTGACGAACGCACGGGAGCCTTGTTTTCTTCTTCTTTTTGTGCCATTTGCGACGCAATAGAAACGTTTTGATTTGATTGTGTTGACAACGTTAGTTATAATTGTATACTGATCAGTTTGATGGTCGTCCCCTATGTTTCTCAGGTGTACAAAAACATATACGAAAAAGCCGCAACGTGTGCATTCATGTGTGAAGCGAAATATATATTTTTTTGCACAAAAAAGAAAAAAATGCTGATTATTTTTTTTTTGTCTCTTGATTGATTAGTTACATCTGAAGTCAACTTATCAACCCGAGTTCGAGTATTCAAAAGAACAAAATAGAAAAGCATTGTGTAATTTTCTCATCGGTTGTGATTGACTCTGATCGATTAATGTCAACTGATATGACGCATGCAAAATGAATTTGCCATTCTATGTCAATGGATTGCCTGCGTGCATCAAGGTTGGAAGCTTGACATGAAATTTCAATGCGTTGAAAAGAAAAACAAGCAGAACGATGTCGCTAATTTTGATTTAATACAATAATAATAATATTATAATCATACTAGTGTTGATTGGCCGGATCGTTGCTATAGCGAGAGAAAAAGAAACGAGAACAGGGAGAGAAGAAGAGAATGTGTATCGTATTCAATTTGAAAGTTCTATCGAACAAATTAGATCGAAGAGCATGTGAGTTTTTTCTCTTTCTTGTTTGACTGATTCCTTCGTTTGTTAGAACAATCAATATATATTTTTGTTTTTAAAACAACAAAGCGTTTTACTCGAATGTGTATTGTCCTTGAAATAGTCATTAAAACTAAAATGATCGTGTTTTTTCAAGAAAGAAAATATTGTCCAAAAGACGAACATAAAAATGTTTTCAAAGGGAAGAAAAAAACAAGATTTGTCTGACAACAAACGCTTTTTCTCTTTTTTTTCTCATTTGCGTTTCGTAAATGCAAGTCTATCCTGGAAAAATTCTTTCGATTTTAGTTTATCACAGTCGAATCTCAACAATGATGTTTATGTCAGCTTAAAAACCACTCAAACTTGATTGATACCTCAACATGGAACTAAGTGAAGTCGATTATTCATTATTATCGGTAAGGTTCTTCTTTGATAGCGATGTCAACGATGATGATGATGACTGTTTTCTAGAGTCCGTATGATAGTTTTATGAGAAAACATCTTCAACATTATGGTTATTTTACTGGTTCGTGAGTTTTGTGAAGAAGAGATGGAAATTGACGTCTTCTATTCGCAGGTCGTGCTGAAATAATAAAAAAATACGGTTTTCTTCCATCGAAATCAGAACTTCTTTCATCGTCAGGTGATTCAGAATCAAGTAGCAGTGAAGAAGAACAAGAAAGTATGTAATTTGTTTATTTAGTACGCAAAAAAAACCAATAAAATACTGATGATTTTTTCATTTCTCATGTCCTTAAAATCAATTCATCTTTAGTTTATACTCGAATCAGATATCGTACTTCATTAAATCGCTTAATTCGAACTGGTAAACTAGGAGAGCTTCTTGATTGTTGCATGATTAGATTTTCGTCTTGCTGATAGATTCACTGATTATTTGTTTTGTGATTTAGAACTTAGACCTAGACCGTTTATATCCGATGTGAAATTAGTGAGTGAAGAGAGGAGAAAGTGATATTAATTATTGATATGTTGAATTTTGATTAGCCTCTTCGACAAGCTCGAATTCCGTTCGGATTGAATCCTCGAGGTGCATCGAATGATGACTCGTCATTTGAACCTCGATGGCCGATCGAGATTGAAGTCTTGAATGAACCACGAATTCGACATATTAACGTTCCACCAATCCACCCAGAACTCTTTTATAAACCAAGTTTGTAGCTTTTCCATTTTTGTCAATACGATTTCATAGCGACATTTTTTCAGCTACTGATCACGGACCATACGTACGAAGTTTCGATGAGAACAATGGACGTACTGTTTTTAATTATAATCCTGAGACATGTGGTTATGTAAGTGGAGACATATAAATGGGAATATAATAAAACGATGTTTTCTAGTTTGTACGATCTCGAATTGGTGGTAATCGAGAAGGCTGTCGATCAGCTGCTGTTCCACTACAGGGTGATGTTGATACAACTGTTCTGTTTGAATCACGTTTCGAAAGTGGAAATTTAATGAAAGCTGTGCAAGTGTACGTATATCAAAGTTAAGAAGTGCTTTTCTATTGATTCTTTGTTACGTAGTGGTGAATTTGATTATGAGCTCTATCTTCGATACGATCTTTACACAAAACGAAATACTCAATGGTATTATTTTCGATTACAAAATGTTCAAGTCGATCAAAGATATCGTTTTACTATTGTTAACTTTTTTAAAGTAATTATCACTTAAATATTAATGTGAATATGTTGACATGACGTTGTTTAGTCGACAAGCTTGTATAGTGCTGGTATGAGACCATTGATGTATAGTGTGCAAGATGCCGAGACGAAAGGTATCGGTTGGCGACGATGGGGTGAAGAGATTGTTTACTATAAAAATAATTTGCTGTAAGGAAGAATAGATTTCGATTTGATTTTCGATAAACTTCTTTTCTAGCGCGCCGGACAATGCGACGAACATGTATTCACTTACTTGGACATGTAAATTTCCAAATAATAACGACACATATTACTTTGCTCATTGTTATCCATACACCTATTCTGATTTACAAGTAAATTCTTTAGTCGAAATCTATTTCAAACTGAACTTCTACGTATTTCATAGGATTATTTAAATGAAATTCAAAACGATCGGTCTAAGAGTGATTATTGTAAACAAAAAGTTCTTTGTCGAACATTAGCTGGGAATTTCATCTACATGTTAACAATAACCAATCCAGTACCACTCCAGACCAATCCCACAAACACGAGCACACCTAGTGAACATCAAGTTAAGAAAGGCGTTGTTGTTACTGCACGTGTTCATCCAGGTGAAACCAATGGATCATGGATGATGAAAGGTTTATTAGATTTTCTACTTGGAGATTCGGCTGATGCCAAAGTAAAAACATTTTCTCAGAAAATTGATCATCTCAATGGGAAATTCTTGTAGCTTTTACGTGATAATTTTATATTTAAAATCATTCCTATGCTCAATCCCGACGGTGTTATTGTTGGAAATTATCGTTGTTCATTAGCTGGTCGTGATCTAAATCGAAACTATAAAACTGTTCTCAAAGATGCTTATCCATCGATCTGGCACACGAGAGAAATGATTAAACGGTAGTTTTCGATATCTGTTCTTTACATTCTTAAACATTCATTGTTTAGATTTATGACTGAAACTGAGCTTGTTCTCTATTGTGATTTTCATGGTCATTCAAGAAAACAAAATGTTTTCGTTTATGGTTGTGAAAACAAACATCTACCAAATGAAAGATTGAAAGAAAGAATCTTTCCAGCAATGTTAGCAAAGAATGATCCTTCCAAAGTTTGTATTACCTTTTGACTTGAATTCTTGAGGTAAAAAAGTCGAACATGAGTATATTGTATTCTCCTCGAGGCGAAACAATCACTTAATACAAGTAAAAGCCGAGTTGTCATTGTTCTTGAAATATGGTTTTCTTTCTCGATTTAAAATGCCTTTGAGAAAGTCATGAAAGTTTGTTTTTATTTGTGTAAGACACATTAAATATTCATTAAGTATCAATTTTTTATTATTGACTTGCATATATTTGTATGTTTTAGTTCTCGTACGATTCGTGTAAATTCAAAGTACAGAAAGCTAAAGAAGGAACCGGAAGAATCGTCATGTGGTCAATGGGTGTTATGAATAGTTATACATTAGAAGTAGGAGTTAATCCCTTTTCGAAATGTAGAAGATAGTGTAAATTTGAATTAGGCGACGTTTTGCGGGTCTACTCAAGGTGATCGTGTCGGTCAACATTTCACTACGAAGGATTTAGAATCGATTGGTTATCATTTTCTCGATTCGTTGTTAGATTATTGTGATCCAGATGAAACAAAAGTAAGTGTAGAGGTTTGCCTATGCTCAGTTTGATTTCTGTCCATAATAAATTGAAACTTTTTCTCTCGACTTCAATTCTAACCAATAGGAACAATATCGTCAAAATATTTGCAATGAACTATTAAACGGAAATCTCAGAACACAAGAAGATCTATTAGATATTTGTGCGTTAAATGATGATTCAATCCAACGAAGTAAAACTCGCATTGATATAAAACGAGAAATATCAATAGCTATTGATGATAAACGTACAAGAGTTCGAACAATAGAGAAATCACGTACTATTAAAAGTGCGCCGACCGTTCGTCGTTCGAAATCTCAATTAATTGTAACTACAAAACGAAAAGAACTAAATACGAATACTTCTCAGTCTATTTCATCAGTAATTTCGATATTATCTATCTATGTATATTTCCCTATCATTTCGTATTGTACCTCTTCTGACCCTAACTAATGTTGTGCGTCAAATTTACCTGAAATCTTGCTCTCGATTATCGAACTCAAATATGTTTGTTTTGTCCTTCTTCTAGCGCAATCGAATGTTGCATGAGCTAGAAGATAATCTACGACAATCAATACAAATGAAACTTTTAGCACGTGGGATAAATCCATCATCATTAGGAGATATTGATCTCGATCAATTCTCATCCGATGGTGATTCCAGGTAAGAGAGAGGAAGCTGAAATTTGTTTCAAGAAAATTTTTTCATTGAAAACTTTTAGTGATGATGATGGTTCGGATTCATCAGCCGACGATGGTTTACCAAAGCATCTAGAAGTTATCGCTGCAGCCAAAGTAGATTTCTCCGGCTGAGCTTTTCTCAAAATTGCCTTTCGTTTTAGCTTCGATTGAAAAAGTCCGGGAAGAAAGTCACGCCGACGAAACCAATTAAAGAAATAAAGAAAAAAGACGAAATTGACAAAGAAAGTTCTGCTAAAGTACGTCTCGTGTTTCCTAATGCTGTTTAATCATGTGTTTGTTATTAGACTAAATCCACTGGTTTACCTGTGCCCAAACCTCGTGCATCTCAATTTCCGAACATCGTAAGTCCTTCATTTCGTTTTATTTTCCTTCTGATTTTTCTTTTCCTATGATTCTCCTTAATCTTTACACATGATCTTCAACAGAAAACACCTAACTTTAACTTTGCAAACATGACGTTGTGCATTCTTTTTTTTTTTGTTTTTTCGTATTTTCAAGGATTTGTTAGAAACTACGAATAATCTCTCATCCATACAGGAGGTAAGTGTAGTACCTCATTCGCCTTCTTCGTGTTCTCTTTGCCGTTGATGATTTGAATGAAATGAAAAACTGATTCTGAACTCGAAAACAAATTCTAGACGGAAGGTGATACTACACAACGGAAAAGGCGACGAAAGCGTGGCTATCAAAATTATCGCGTTTGCAAATGCGTTGCCTGTCTAAATGCACGACTACCACGCACTGAAATACCATTGGTATAGATTATTTGTATTAGATATACGCTCAAATCATTGATAATACCTTTTGCTCTCCTACTTACGCCTTATCTTAATATATTAAACATGCGCCTAATATATTCTGCTAAGGACTACGCTTTACTCATTGCTTTAACGCTCTTCTTCTCCTTCTTCATTATCAAATTCCGTTATTTTTTCTTTGTGGTAGATTTCCCAATGTCTCGTTTCTTTCCTTAGATCACTGAGGTCGTCAAACCGCGAACAGCGATGTCCGCTCGTCGACTACATACGTGTAATACTGAGCCCGTTCGATTGGAAGGTTCAAGTAGTACTGCAGCAATGCCTCGATCTACTCGTTGTCCAACATTAACTCCAACCTCAATTCCAAGCAATCGTGTAGCGACGGCCGACGAAAAAGCGCGACGATCTCAGGTATGAACGAGACAACGAAGAGAATTCTTTTCGTCAACTCTCATTTTTAGCAAATATTCAAAGCTAATCACGGTATGAAAGAGTTCTATGCTAACTCTCTGAATACCCTTTTCTTTCTTTCTTTGATTTGTGTGTAGTGTGCTTGTTCTTCTTCTTCTAGACTGAAGTTTATAAAGTCATAACCCGATATGAAACGACTAACGATCGAGAAAAACAAGCTGTACATCAACAACTTTTAAATGATCTTCTACTAACATCTTCTTTCTTACGAACTCAGAAAACATCTTCCGAGAAAGGTAAAGATAAGGAGGTCACTAGATACCAGATATGATTCGCGAATAATGTATGTGGCGCCACTCTATTTTTGACATGTCCTCGTTTATTTATTTTGATATTTGCGTAAAAACAAAAGAGCAAAATCGTTTGATTCTTTGCGCTCGCCTAATTATTCTGTCATTTATGATTATTTTCAGGTGATCCAGTTCGTTATTCAGCTTGTCAAACAGCTGATCTTCATGAGTTAACCTTGATTAATGAATCTCGGAACGCATTCACAACAACTTATTTACTTCGACGATTGAATAGTAAGTCAAGCAGAAAGGAGAATTTTTTATTTTGAAATATCCGTACATTTCAGCGTTATTTCCGCTCCAATATAACCGAGGTGTGCATAGGCATTATTCTTTTGTTTCTTTACACTAGTTTTGACTGAAATAACATTTTGTTGTCTTTCATAAATCAAACAATCATAATCCGAATTGAGTTTGAGAGTAGAAAATAACCTCATCAACGTACTCTTGACTGTTTCTCTTCAAATTTCATTCAATTTAGATCCTGAACGTGATTCACTTAATGGAACAAATGTCTCTCCAACAACCCAACCGCCGCGAATACCATCGTCATTTGCTGATGAAGTAAAATCTTCGTTTAACTGTTCGGTATACTTATGATGTCGTTTTCTTTTGACTAGGATGCTAGTTATCCATTAACAACAGACAATGAAACAGATTTGGATAGAAGTCGAACTACAGTATTGACTCACAATGATGATACAGGACAAATTAGTAGTGCTTTCGTCACAAATCGTGTATCTTCACAGTGTATGTTTTCTCAAGTCTAGTATGTGCTTTTGAATGTGAACTGATACATTTCAGTACAAGAACGACTGATTGGCTCATCGCGACGTTCAAGATCAACAACAAGTTTCTTGCAAAATCGATCGCCTGTCGACGCTCCTGCACCAGTATAAATAAGATCTAACCTAAAAGCTTATTTTCTCTTTTGGAATATGTAGAATCCGAAACGTTTCACTGATCTCCAGCAGCAACAGAAACAACGAGCAACATTGCTATTCAACAGACAAGGTATGGCTTCCCCGCTGAGGCGAACTTTGCTTTTCATTTCTCTTGTACAGATGAACGAAGATCACGAGATTCGTTAAACAATGACGACAATTTATCTTCAGTGTCCAAGCAAATTCCTTTCCAAGTCGACGAAATGTCTTTGAATCGACCACAGTTGACCGTAAGAAAGAAAGTCTAACGATCAATCAACATTGGTTTGCCTTTCTCTTTCAGAGATCATCAAGTGTGAAAAAATCTTCGAAATGAACTTTCGAATATCTTCTTCATCCGTTGCAAATGGGTCGTGTAAACTAGTCGATTTTAATTCCGTCCTTGAAATGATTCTTATACACTTCTCCTATCATCCGAGCTCGTCTTCTTATTTTTTTAAAGCGATCATTCTATTTTTATAAAAAAAAGAACGAAATCTCTCTGATGTCAATAGAATATTTTCTATTTTCTTTTTGATTTTAATAAAAAAAAACACTGGTTCGAGCTTATATGTATTTTTTAGAAAAGTATTGATTTTTTGCTGGAATGAGTTCGTCGACGCCAAAACCAGTGACATTGGAAGGAAGTTGCCACTGCCAACGTGTGAAATTTTCAGTCGATTCATGTGTGTATTTCTTCCCCCAAGACCTGTAATTGATTCGAACTTCTTTCTTCATTTATTGTAGACACACCGTATCCGTACATGATCTGTCATTGCCATGCAGACACGAAAACAGCAGGTGTCTTTAACTGTAATATCATGGGCGAATATTCAACATTGAAAGTTAAACAAGGTCAAGAATTTATCAAAATTTATCAAGCAAAATTAACAGAAACGGAAAGTGGTGCTGATGAAAAATCAACTGTAAAATTAAGCAATCACAAACGACATTTTTGCAGTGAATGTGCTTCGTATCTATGGGCTTATGACGATCGGTATGCTCAATGGGTTTATCCATTTGCATCTGCCATAGACACACCCCTGCCAAAACCGGAAGAATATATTCATATAATGACCGATTTTAAACTTAATCATGTCGAAATTCCAACTGGAAGTTTTATTCACAGTTATCCACGTTATCCACAAGGAAGCATTGAAGAATGGCACAAAAAACATGGCGTTTATGGGACTTATACAATCGAAAAATAAGCTAGGATAAAGTTTTCAATGTTTCTGTTATCTTTAAGATTTTTATGTTAATCACGCGTGCAAAAACCACCAGGTCCTCCAGATGTGTAATCATAACCATGCAAATCGTATTTATTTGAAACATGACTTTGAACAGCACTTTGAGGATTTTGGATAATGTTTAGTTGTCGAAGATCACGATCGAATATAGCACGAATGAACGATGTGATTAATGTGGCTTCGTCGAGTTTATATTGAGCGAAATGACACAGAGAGCCTGTGCATGGTTTACACATTATCTTGCTTGCTTCGTGATACGGTTCGTCGAGGTTGTCAGCATGACCATAGTCGGTGATATTGATGAGAAATGTTGGTCCATATAGGGACCGATACCATCGATCGTTACTAATATTATTTGGTGCACAGGCAGGAGATTTCTGGCCGATTGAGACACTGTCTAAGATTAGACGATGAGAATAGAAAGCGAATTAGTTAGTTTACCTAAGCCAGCTGAAATGATCAAAGCTGGTGTTCGGAATGGAAGAGGTGTCGGAGGATCTGAATGAAACATTTAGTGTTTGCTAGATGAGGTACACGTTCTTGTCATACGTGTGATGAAATCTTGTACGATACCGAATGGATCAATTCCATCGACAGGATTCATCATGATAATCAATTTAATAGGACCACACGTGCTATTCATATATTGACCGAGCGAATGCGCAGCCGATGAGTGCGTAAGAAAAGCGAGCCGTTCCAGATTTGCGTGTACTTCTCGAACTTGTTTATGTTCGGCGAATAGACGAGTAATCCCATCTTTTGGTTTAATCGCCCATGCGAGAAAATTATCAATGTGAACTGACATTTTTTCTGGTTTAATGTTTTCGATTTTCGATATGCCAACGAGAATAACATTCTGTTCAGCGATCGCTGTTACCAGTGATGTGTAAAATGTTGATGGTACTAGACCAGCTAAACCTGGGAGAAAAATCAATACCGGATATGAGCCAGGCGTGGTAGGAGAATAAATATCTACACGAAAACGTATATCCGGCTTGGAAATAATAATATTTCCAACAGACCAATGGTCAATTGGCCCTGCCGACGTCAAATGTAGGCCAATAAGTAAAATAAGCAGTATAATAGACATAGTATTATCTCATAGAATGAGATTCTTATCATGAGGTGTTTTGCTTTTTATAGAGATGAATGTATTGCGAATGAGAACCTAGACATCTGTGATGCATATTGAATTTTTCCATTCTAGATGTTTACAGGCCTAGATAATAGGCGGAATTCAGCCTCGGTTCGGCAAAATCTTTTACAAGCTCTAAAAGCAGATTGTCAACAATTAAACCAACCGCTATTGAATCAATTAATCGAGTATTATCTTCAAACTGAGTCGCCAAATGCTCTTCTTCTAATAAAACAATTTAATGAGAATGGAAAAGAACAAACTAAAGTATTTTGAACAAAAAAAAACTGATCACAAATTTCACATTCTTTTCCTTTTAGGTTCTTATTGAACATTTAAATAGTCAAGGTTTAAAGCAATGTAGTCGACAGTCAATCAACTCTGGCAACACTGATGTCAATTCGCATGATGATCAAGAGAAAATTGCTCATATCATGAAAGTGTTTCGTATTTTGTGCTTAATTATTCACAGCCAAGTGCCAAGCTTACCAACGTTGATCAAAGACAGTATTTTGCTTACGAATTGTCTGCATGCAATAACGAAAGTACGAGCGAAAAAGAGGAAAAGGTTCAGAGACCTATTTTTCATTTGCTTTAGTGCAAAGACGATCCAAATATTTTAGCACAAGGTTGTTATTTCTTTGCCGCATTAGCTGCGACTTTACCCAGTGAAATTGCTCAGCATACAGATGCGATTTTAAATATATTTAAAGCAACATGCAAATATCTGCACAAAAACCTCGCTTCACTTCGTCAACTGTCAGTTCAAATACAGTCTCGTAAGCAAAGCAACTACTAAAAGTGATGCTGTTCTCAATGAATTTTGACTTCTGTTTAGATTCACTCGACAAGGTTCAGTTATGGATTGTCAATCAATCAGCACACGCTTTATTTTACACACTTTATACGGCGTATCCCTGCAATTTTGTTTATCAGATTCAACGTGAATTGCAACGGAATGAAAATCCTGAAGTGTTCGACGATATTTTCGTTCCTATGTTTCAACGTGTTCGATTGAATCCACGTTTGATTGAAAATGATCGAAAACGTGAACTGGATAAGCACAAACTATTAAGCAAAGATCCGTACAATATCATCTATGAAGCAAGAAAACTTTCGTTAGATCCATTATTCGGTCGAGAATTGCCAGCGAATGTGAATTGGATGCATCAGGAAATGAAAAGAATTTTACCATTTCAACATTTTAAACGTAAGAATTTCGAATGAGATGATAACTCGTGTATTGTTTTTTTGTAGGACAATCGCCTACTAGATCAACCGATCAGTTATATGACGGAAGGCGAAGCATAATTGATAGTACGACATCGCGTAAGAAACACTTTTAATAACTCAACGCAAGTATCTATTATCTCGGTCTTTAGCTGAGATCATTTCGAAAAAAGCGAATATTACGCCACTTCAAAAATTAAAAGTATGTAACGAAATTCAATCTTTTATCCGTAAAATTATATATTCGATATGTAAATTGAGGACAAAATTAAATCATTCGTTCGTCCATCATCGGCCTCCACTCCAGCAACGACAATATCCACACCGGATGTTGGCGTCGTCACTACTTCCACTTCTGTTAATGCAACTACAACAAATAATACACTATCGATTCCGAATGTATCATCAGGAGTATTTACTTCACCATCACCTTCACTTGGATCAGATATACGAGCAGTGAAAACAATGCCCGAACTACAGAGTACTACTGACTTGACATCATCGGCCGCATCGACACCGGTTATTAGCCGTTCAGATCAAAATCACGAGACCTACATCGGAACAGTCATTAACACAATTTCATCAGTTTACGATCAAAGTTCGTTTCGATTCTATTCAAAACTTCTCATTTAAATAATTTTTTGCAGATATTCCATCTCACTGGAGAAAAATACTTGGTCGTTATGATCCTAGTCTCCTAACTGTATCAACTCCACAACGTCATGCAACGTTCTATGTCTCGCCATCTGAACATAGTTTGGATAATCAACAACAACAGCAGCATCAGCAGCAATACGATGATAGTTCGCCGACATCGACGAATGAAAAGCGGCAACGATGTGCATCGGCTTCATGTGCTAGTGGACATCATGTTCATTCGCCGGTTCTTGCTGCACCAACAACTTCTACAGATGAGATTTTACCTCGCACTCGATCACTTTCAACAAAACAACGAACTCGAAATTCAACAACAGGTCCTTTTTATCAAAAACACCAACTAACTCATCAAACCGAATACGATGAAGATGATAATGATGATAACGTTCTCGTCAGTCAAAGATTCTCAACGGATTCAAGCACAATGCCTATACCCTCGGAATTGTATATCATTTCGGAAACGAAAAATTCCATTCCTGATGAATTCTCTTGGAGTGATCATGACTTTATTTCAATACCACATTTTGATTTTAACGATATTGTTGGCAATAGTAAGTTTGACTCGAATGACGAATTCTTTCGCTTAAAACTACGTTATTTAGATTGTTCTTCCAATGAATTGAAACAGTTCGATCGTTTGTATGAATGTCATTCCAGTTATGAAATATTTCTAACCGAACAATATCGAAAAATATGGAAGTATCTATGGGCTAAAGAAAAATCTCATCGAAAACATATCAATGATCTTCAAACTGCGGTAAAACTCGTCAGAATTAGATCTTGAGTACATTTAATTGTTCTCTTTAGTGTGCATTTACCGATTCACTCCGAGACGAAGTTGATGTTTATCTTACGGAAGAATCAAACATATGTAAACATGATTCCAAATGTCTTTCAGATGAAAATACATTGTTGGGTCAAAAAGTTGTAGAATTAGGAAAGTAAGTCGCAAGGAAAAATGTTTGCCTTTGATAAAATATTCATGTTAATCTCAAGAGTCGTGTCTCGACGAAAACAAGTGTGCGCAAACGAAGATAAACATATTGAAATACGTCAATTAGAGGAAAATTGCGAACAACTTCGAAAAGTAAAGTTCCGTCTCTTTCTCCGCTTAACGTTGTCTCTCTTCCTTCTTTAGTCTGTTAATAATGAATCATTAAAACTCACTAATCTTCAAAGTGAATTGGATGATAATGAAAAAGAAATGAAGATCATTGGTGAACGATTAGAAGAATTGAAAGTTTTAAGCAAAAATATTTCTAACCTCGATAATCTTAACAGACAACTCGAATGTCAATATTTACGTTTTACGGATGAGATGTCCATGCCAATGCATAATCAGTCATTAGCATCGCACGTATCAAAAGATGACGACGAACAAGCAGCAATGAAGTCAACATCATCGACAACAGCAAACGGACATGACGCAACTAGCGAGCTGGATTCGATTTCTTTTAGCGATGATCATCAAGACGAAAACGATGACTTTCAGCAAGAAGACGAAGGACAAATGGAGAATTATGAGCAGTTATTGGCCGAAATTATTGAAATTTTAAAGCATCAACGTATGAATACAGCTTTTTTTCTGAAGAGAAATGAAACGTTTTGTATTTGCTATCAGATCTCGAGATGAACAATGATCGATCGACGGTCGATATTGAAAATGAAGCATATGGTCTTCTTCTTGAATATATGGAATCCAAATCGGATATGCAGGTTAGAAGAACCCTTCTATTAAAACGTATACCATCGTTTTGCTTTTCCCTAGAACTATTTATTGGAGCATAATACTCGTTATACGGATTTATATTTGGAAGTTCAGCAGGATTATATAGCGCAGATGGAGAAGGATCTTATCTTGAATCAGTCGACGTTGGACCAGATGCAAAATGTGGCAATTTAACATGTTTTTTCTCTTTTTTGCATCTATTTGTCATTATTTAACATATATCGTTAATAAAAGTCTAAACTAACTCATACGTCAAACTGAGCACGGCGATATTCGTGGAAAGGTCTATGCTTGTTTGAGAGACAAATGATTTCGACATCAAGCGACATCTGTTGGAGAAACGTGTCGTACAAGTACCAATAGCGTATTTCTCGCTTTATGGTGTCGTGTTGTCGGTATTCTCGTTATATATTTAGTTCTCTTTAGGACGCAAATTTCTTATTGTAGATCAGTATTGATTTTTTAGTTTTAACCTACGATGTCTCAACCAACAATATCTGAACCTATGAGTGAAACATCAACAGGGACTACGTCTACTAGTCAAGCAGCGAAGGTTACACCTCCATTAAAACTTGATAGTATGTGTTTGTTTATCAGATTTTCAATTATTACATGTGATCGTTACGTCCTCATTTGTAGTCCTTCGTATTATTCGACTTTGTCAACAACAGCATGGCCTTCGTCATGGTGATTATCAACGATATCGGTGAGTCGACTAGATCTGACTATTCTCGTGAATAGATAAACAATTCTCATTTGTTTTAGATCGTTTTGTTCGCGACGACTTCGTCGGATACGCAAATCCCTCGAAGCAACGTATGGCAATCAGAAAAAATTTCAAAAGCCCGTCATTACAGATGAACTCGTCGCGAAAGACTCACGGTGATAGTAAACATCATTTCATCATCGCATTATCTTCTATCTTTGTTCAGATATCTTTTATTACCATTGATCTGCAGTGAACGCGCTTGGGCTTACGCGATGCAACTGAAAAGTATGTCAATCAGTCGCGTGAAGTGAATCTTTATCCTGCTTAACGAAATTTAGGTGAAGCAAATACTGAAACACGCAAGAAATTCCATCTTTTAAATCGCCTTCGTAAAGCAGTGAAACATGCTGTTCACTTGGAAAGTTTATGTAATCAACAAAAAACATGCGATGCTCGTACAAAACTTGAAGTTCAAGTAAAAACTAAACTATGGAAACAACTCTTCATCAGTTCATTTCATTCAATTTAGGCTTACACAGCTGTTATGAATGGTCATTTAAAATTCGAACTCCAACAATGGAGTAATGCATTAGAATATTATATTCGTGCTCAGTAAGTAAAACGATAATTTGTAGGAATAATCTTGATTGGTCGGATTATGTTTAGAACGATTTATGACAAACTGAAAACAGGTGTTCGTAGTGAAGAAGACAAATTGATGCTTGATCAACGTATCGATGAAATTACAACGAACGTTCGCTTTTGTCAATATAAGAGTGGTGATAAAAATGCGGCGAAAGAGTTAAGAAACTTAAGAACCAAAGCAGCGTTGGATGATCCCGAAATGACACGAGTTTTAGATGTATGTTTTGATGAGTTGCTAGGACGATAATTGATTTGGTTTTGTTTAGGCATTTCTTAGTGAAACACACGAGCAGCAAACATCATCGATTTCTGAAATAACATGGCGACAACGGAAAATTCAAGTGTCCAGTGAAAAGGCTCGTTTATTCTTTTTGAATTTACAAGAATTTGAGACTGAAATCAAAGTAAGTCAAGTCTTGACTATAGAATCCACACCAGTAAATTTCGATTCATGATTTCTTAGAAACCAGGTGTTTCATTCGATACCAAAATGAGTTTATACGAAAGTTTTCTCAAGGAAGCCGTGGAAACATCACAAGTCGTTAAAGATGAGTTGAAAAATGATCCGGTAAGTTCATCCAGTCCAATCAACCCTATTCTTGACTTGGTCTCTTCTATTCCCCAAGACATTCAAACCTACTCCAGCCTCTGCTGCACCAGCTGATAATACCAAACGTGAAAATGCCGACCGATTATCCGATGGCGTTTGGTTATACAGTTACATTGCCTGGATTCGTCTTTCGAAAATGATCGAACGTAATTTGGCAATGATCGAAAATGGTAAACAACAAGTGTTCAGATCAGTGGACGGAGAGAAAACAGATGTGACCGAAGGAAAGAAAGTGACTAAAGCGGCGGATCTTATTCGAATGTACGATCTTTTATTACAAGTAAGATGAAATTTGTTATTTTTGGAGTGCATACGAAATGTTCTGTTAGTTTCTGAATGATATTGTCGCTATACCTGCTTTACAAAATGACAAGACCATTCAATCGGACGTGAATTTTCAAACGATTGTTTACAAGGCTTGCAGGTTGAATTTCATTTGCACAAGTTGAAATTATGTGAAAACCGATTTTTGTTTTCTGTTGTGTAGATCGTTTTATATTGCAATATCGTTTGTTCAGCAAAAACGTTTTAAGGATTCCGCTGCTTTAGTTAATAAAACTGAAACATATATGGAACAAGCGAAAAAATTAGCCGCAAGTGGTCAACAACCGAAATCAAGTGAAATAAACTATCAAGTAAAGATATTAACTAATGAACTTCAGTGAATCTTATCATCTTTTCTTCAATAGACATTATTGAATGAATTTACATTTATTCAATCTAAACTTGACGAAGTTAAATATCAAATTCAAACATCAGCAACATCAACACCAACGCCAGTTGGTAGTGTCTCGCCTAAAGTGGGTACGATCCAGCAATCATTTGATGAAGTGCTTTCACCCGAAGAACAGAAAGAATTAGAGAAAAAAGTAAACTCCTCTCTCAAAAATAGCTCTTCCAAATTTATTTTCATTTCTTTCTCAGCCATTAATCGATCGTTTGGATACCTACTTCGAAGATTTATCACTAACGAATAAAAATCGTCTCAACATCGTTTCGTTACCACCGCCATTCAAACCAATTCCATGCAAGCCGGTTCTTTTTGATTTAGCACTCAATCATTTAACATTTCCATCATTGGATGATAAAGTTCAAAGTAAACGTCAAGCAATGTCGACACTCAACGACAGAGGACAACAGCAACAAGCTGGCCTTACTGGTTTTGTCAAGGGATTCTTTTCCTGGGGCGCGAAGAAACAATAGATTCATCGAAAACTCCATTTTCATGTTTTTTGTTGTCTTGTGAAAAAGGAAAAAACCAAGAAAAGATCGTTTTTATTGTTATAAACAGAGAGAGATAAGAATTTATCCGTTATTATATTTAAACATTCTAGATGGGAAATGTGTTTGGTAAGAAATCGAAACCGCCGAAACAACCGGCGATTACTGAACAAGATCGAGCTATACTCGTAAGGAGGATACGGTCATTTGGTTGTATTGACATGTGAAATTTATTTAGCAATTGAAACAACAACGGGATCGATTGACTCAAAATCGAAGAAGAATTGAAAGTCAATTGGAACGCGAACGTGAAGTTGCGAAACAATTGCTAAAGAATGGTCAAAAGGAGTAGGTGATTATATGAGAAAGATGCATTGAATTCGACTGTTTTGTTTTAGCCGTGCATTGCTTCTACTTCGGAAGAAAAAAATGCTCGAAAGTCAACTTGATAAAAGTGAAAATATTTTGGAAAATGTTGAACGAATGGTAAAGATTGGAAATTTTCCTTTGAACATGGTTCATTTCTTTTGAAATGTTTAGACACATGATTTGGAATTCGCTCAAGTTCAAGTCGATGTTGTTCATAGTTTGAAACAAGGAAACGATGCGTTGAAGAAAATGAATGAACTGTTGAAACTCGAAGATATTGAGAAGTTAATGGAAGATTCACGCGAAGCAGTCGAATATCAAAACGTAAGAAATCATCGATTTTCTCCATTTGAGCTATTTCTCTCATTCAACGACGTATTTTTAGGAAGTATCTAATCTTCTGTCGGGTGGCTTGAGTCGCGTTGACGAAGAAGATGTCGAAGCTGAATTGGATGAATTGATTCGCCGAGAAGAATCAGCGGATATCAGTCGATTACCTGATATTCCTCATCATCGTGAACAGCGACCTGTTGTGTCTCCAACACGAACCAAACAGCGTGTTGCCATCGAAGCAGATTAGATAAAATACTGGAAAAAAGATTTCATTTTGCGTAATCATTGTTTATCGATGTAAATAGTCTTTTTAAAAGATATTTAAACAGTTCTAATACTCGCTTGTGTCTTTTCTTATTAATATCCAAACATGTTTTTAGATCACATCATGGCATTTAGAGATTATATCGGACTTTTGATATCGATATCTACCGCTGCCGCAATGTTTTGGGGTTGTAGTTTTGAAATTCAGCAAATTATGATGGGAGAATTAGTTACAGCAGCGGGAGGAAAATACAAGTTTCTGACGATATTGAATATGGTGAGGAAAATTTGGAGTTTCTTTGAATAGGGAAATGAATATTTTAGTTGTTTAGTATTTACAAATGTTTTATTATATTTTGTGTATAATTAATTTTTTCTTTGGTTCGAATACGATTGAATTAGAAAAACGAACGAAATTACAAAAGTTAAGAGATTTTCTCTTTGCTGGTGTGGTGTTTCCTATCGGAACTGTAAGTGGATGATAATTCAATAGAATTTATATAAAATTAACTACTATATTTAGTTCGTGTGTATTTCATTTTGGGGTTTATATCATTTTGATCGAAAATTAATCTACCCGGAAGCATTGGATAAGCTGGTTTCTCCATTACTCAATCATGTCATGGTATATCTTGAAATTGAATCAATCTCCTCCTCATTTACCGATTCTTCTAGCATACTGTACCTGGAGTGGCCATATGGCTTGAAAATCTTTTTCATTATCATCGTTACCCATCGCGATTAGCTGGTTTCTTGTGTCTTTTAACTGCAACTGGTGCATACACTGCATGGTAGGAAGGGTAGCTGAAGAGTTCGTATAGTAAACTTCGTTTTTAGGATCCACTATCTTCATCATCTTCATTGGTTGGAATTTAAAATGAGCCTTTGGGTATATCCAATCTTAAATGAACTTTCATTTATGTATCGTTACTTATTCTTCCTTGGATCAACATTATTCAGTGTTGGACTGTATCTAATCGGGGAAATGTACACAATCTTTTTGACAGGTAGGCAGAAATGTTGCTGTAGTGAAGATTAATTTGATGATTTTAGGTTTACGAATAGAAAATGCTGAACGAAAGAAAAAGAAAAATCAATAATAATATGTATAATTTTTGTCCTCTTTTTGTAATATATTGACAATTCAATTCCTTTCCTCTTTGCCACATAAATATGAATTTTCGTTTCAGATGTTTATGTAAATATACTTCATTATCATGAATCTCATTTTATCTTCCATTCTTACTCTCGCATTTCTCCCCACAATCCATGCGCTGTTTTTTTCGAAGAATATTCTCTGCAATCAATCCGTTCCTTTTCCTTCAATTGACCACTCGGTTCTCATCGATCAGACTGTAGTCATAACTCTATGTAACATCACATTCAACGTTGCGATTCATCCCAATGAACAGTTCTTCGCACGCAACTTCTCCGCAGACAAACGAATTCAATCCCAACCAAACTATCGATTCGCCTATCTCGGTCGAATACTCAATGAAAATCGTTCAAGTATCAGTTTAATCCTTCATCCTCATTTACAAATCTACATTTATCTCAACGGCACATATTATTACTATCTAACTTCATCAGAAGGCACTTTCATGATCCTGAAATTCTCCCAACGACAGCTACTTCAATATTATCCCCAATTAGTTAACGATAGTTTCTGGAATAAATTACAACAAGAAGAAAATCTTTATCAACAGAACTCTATTGTTTTACGCGATTTGCATTTTATATATGAATTATTAACACTAAGATGTGAGAGTGAGAATTCGCAGTATCAAACCATCGGATTTTGCTCGTTGGCGCTGTTTGTCGATCAGACTCTATATGAGAAAATCTTTCAATCGAATGTTTATTATTTGTATACATTTATTGAACATTTTAACTTTTTATTACGAACTCTAACCCAGAATCGATACGGAGGATTCTTAATACAACGTTTGACCATAAACAATCAGCTTCCAGTCAGTCAAAACTCATCGTTTGAAAGCCTCTACAACTTATCATCAAATATGAATTATTCGTTGAGAAATTATTGCCTCGTTCATCAAATGTTACTATCAAATTCTGAAGGCGAAAGTTTTGTTCTCGGTTATCAATCTTCAACAAATACATATGACGTCGGTGGACTTTGCTCACCTCCATTTTCAACAATAAATAACCAATCGGATGAAATTAATCTGAATACAGGTGTATCGATTATCAATGAAAATATCACCAGAAATCTTTCGATGTTTTTCAATGGTTTGATGAAAACAAGTTATCTTTTCGCTCGTCAAATGGGTTTGAATTTAACCCTATGCTCGACCAATGCCACTCGACGAGGTTTCTTTCAATTCAATACCCAAGTAGCACCAGTTGTGCAGCTTTGTATTGATCTCGTTGCACCAACTTTACAATTAGCGCTGCAACGACGCGCGCATTTCTGTTTTAAGTATTTGAATGTTTATAATTCCTCGAGTCAAGCAATGAAACAGCAGATTTCTTGCAGACAGTTATCGGATCCCGAAGCGATCGATGGCAAACATAAAAAAAATCCTTCAATTGAAAATGTTTTAACTGATACTCGACGCGGCGAATGGTTTGAAGGAAATATCGTCGGGATCATCATCACATTTTCATTGGTTATCTGGATTCCTGTTAGTTGTTTTGTACATTTTTGCAGAGATGAAATAAACAAGAAGGCGTTTTTGGAGAAACAGCAACAGCAGCAAGAATTAGAAACTTTACAAATGAGATCATCAACTACGGATCAAGCTGGTGTGACGAAACAAACTCAAACTGATTAAATTCCTTCTTTCCATGTCAGATACTTTTTTCTTGTTTCTGGAAATTTATTTGTATAAAGATAGAAGAATAGTTACTTTTATGGAAATATGAATAAAGTATTGATAAACATTCTGTATTTTATTTGAGATGTCGACATTATATGGCTATGGCGATGTAACATCGGAAGAGGTCGAAACAATCGATAGTGATGAAGAAGATCAAAAGCGATCAAGTCGAGATTCTGACAAGTGAGTTGAATTGAATCGATTGAAATCAATAATGAAACGGCCAAATCTTTTAGGTTACCCTTTTCAATCACATGGCGAGATGATTTGAAGAATGATGAGATGAAAATTCCATGTTCGTGTTTGTTGATTACTCTCGGTGCTACTGCTTCGGGTAAGACGAATGATATAGTGAAATTCGACCATTTCGAATGTGTTTTTTCATGGCTGTAGCATTTGCTTTCACTCATATTTTATGTAATTATGACATGGAATTGATTGGCTATGGAACAGATGATAATAGTAATGAAACAAAAACGTTTGATCAAATCAAAATGCAGCAATATTCAACACAAAGTGTTGATCGGGTCTATCGCTTAGCATCGAGTTCATTGGTATTGGTTCAACTGAACTCACCGATTAAGTCTGACCGACTTTGGCCGTTCAGTGAGGAGGTAAATCGAGTCATTGATTTGAAGATATTTCATTTCGTGTGATAGATTTTGAATAAATTCAATTTATCAAATCTCTCACCAACAAATCCTGTCTACATTATTCAATCCCGTTTGTCCATGGATTACGTGACAGTCTCCGGTGAACTAGAAAGCAAATCTAGTTTGTTCATTCGTTATGTTAAATCATCAATCATTCCAACGGATGATAAAATCACCCAAACAATCAAACCAATTGAACCGCCAAATGCCATTCGTGGTCTCTCCGCAGCTTGTAAGTGATTTCCTCCTCAATTCTCTTCAATACAAACTTGATTTCTTTCAATAAGTGTTCACCAAACTGCATCAAGCCAATATTCCGGTTCTTGTTCTCGTTGTTTACCAACGGCATTCATCGGTCAACGCCGATGCGTTAAAACTTTTACAACGAATTCTAGACCGAACAAGCACAACATTAAAACCGTACATTCAATTGACAGATAAGACAAATAAACAACTGATTCGTTTGGCAGCAACGCAAACCAGTAACATGTATTCGTAAATGATACTATCTGACAATCATAAACAAGATCAACTGTTTTATTCTTCATCTTTCTCTTTTAAATAAACTGATTTCTGGTGATTTCTACTAACAGGAACCAATTGTTTAATGCTAATTAAAAGTGCTCAGAAATCACTAAAAACCATTGACAATCGAGAAAATTGCAAAAAAAAACAATATTGCTTTCGTGCAAGAATCGAGTATGCAATAGAAAATCCAGGTTTCATTTCTGATATGAATACCAACGATTTCCCCATGGTTTCGGATGCATTTCATTGATTTTACTCCGTTTTAATCACTTCTAATTGTTTTCGACTGTTGCTCTGTTATTTGATTTATGTTACATATAAACTGGTGATTTTCTGTCTAGAAATCATTTGTTTCCCTTCGAAAACATTCCTACATACAAAAGAAAAGGAAAAAACAAACAAACAAGCAGATCTGTCTTTGCATTTAAAATGGCAACATGATTCCGAAGAGTAAAACATGCATAACAATTACACAAATGCCTATAAAGATAAGAACCATTGCTATGGTATAATTTCGAAAACCTGGTTCTCCTTGGTATCCCGAAGTAAGAAGCCAAAGTAAATCTTCAATGTAATTGTCGGCTGCTTCTATATCTGCTTTCGTTGTGTCACTTGAACGAGATAAACGACTAAAGAAAAAGAACAAATTTTAGTTACGACAATTCGAGCTTCGAATTATGAATACCTTGTGTAATCAACAAAGCGCGATTGAAATGAGATAATATATTGTTGCGTTGATGCGCTATCACAAGTTGCACTCACACAATCAAATTGCCAATTAGAATATGTATAACTGCAAAGGGTAAGGGTTGAACATAATCAATAATTACGAGGATAGTCACTTACTTGTATTGTACAGATACAATTCGTTCGTATGACAATGTTGAACTGACATTGATGCGAACATAGCCGAATTCGATATAGATTCCTGATGGTACATTAAAGCAAATAGGAAGATTTGATGTAGTGTCGTAGATTGTATAAGCCGAATCTAGTAGACTTGTCTGCGTGATCTGATTCGCAGTCAATCGATTATTTGGACGTGTAACATCGATTGTGTCAAGATCAAGTAAATCTTGGTTCGTATCACTAGATGAGAATTCGAGGAATAAAAAAGAAAGTTTTATTCAATGGGATACCAACCGGATTTGAATCGGTGTTGCATTGGAATTCGGGTAAGCAAGAACGTGTGATGCCGGAGCAAAAAATACATTCAAATAAATATAGAGATTAAGTCTAGAAAATCAGATTGCAATCTTATTCGGTTTACAGGTAGAAGCAATATACTTTAAATTGTGACATCCTTGTTGGATAGTACTACGTGCTAATTGAATCGAGCAATAGGAGGTCGTACTTTCTTTATAGCGAAGAGTTTGCCGAGTTGCATCAACACATAAACCACTTGCACCTTTGCAAAATCCAAATCTCACTTTGCCAGTGTAAAATCAGTCAAGAGCCAACTTACTCGGTATCAATGCAGATACGTCGGAAGTGGCACCATTACGTTGGAACTGAAGAGCTTCGTTCTTGAGATATCCACCTATATCAGACAATTATCATCTTTCATTAAAACTCAATCGGATTTCTTACGAGGAATAGATGTTGATGATATAGTATTGCTACCTATATCATTCCATTCAATTACGATTCGTGATGTCGTCGACTGAGAATCAAACAGCACATATGCATTAACTTCTGATATAGTATTAGTAGTTGATGAATAAGAAAATTGATAATAGATTTGTCGAATATTAGTCGAGCAAGTTAAACCTAGAAATAGTGGGTTAAACAATGGCTTGTAGAAAGGGGATCAATTTCAACAATATTCATGACATACTTGTTACAGCAGTATAATCCGAAAAACTTATCGAGCCATCGGTTGATGAATTTCGAGCGGTAAAGAAACTGTCATTGATGGCAGTGTACTGAAAAGTATCTCTCAATGGACATCCTGTCCATGACTCGTAATTCGGACATGAACTTGAGGATAATGTGGTACAAACGTAAAGATACCGTTGTGTTCGACTTGCTGGGTACAAGCCAGGACAATAATCGTAAATCGTATCATTTGTATATGGTATATCGTTGATACTTTGTGTGTATGAATTTTGAAAGTAATACTCTTGAGTGGAGCTCGGAGTGGTGATTGTACTTGCATTATAAGTTTTAGTGTAAAACTTGATCGTCACAGTAGCATTGGAAGTGCCATCCCCGACAAGGGTATTTTGTGTACTAATACTACTACAAAAAGTTAACTAAAGTAAAGAAATGATAAAGATTTTGTTCTGAACGAAATGAAAAGCATACATTGGATGTACATGAAACATCTCGATTGACTCCAAATAAAACAGAAACACTTTGTTGGCATGTAAAGCCAAGTAAACTTCCAGGTAGAGTAAATGTTGTCCCTGATGTCAGTTGAACAGGTGCATTTGTAGTATAGCTTCCAGTGGCTGCAGAAGCTGTCAGTGTCGAAGCTTGAAATAATTCAGGATATTGATCAACAAATGAAGAACGTAAATTTGTTGCATCGTCGGCACTTTGTACAAATTTGACATCGCTTGTTGAATGAAACGAACCAATGACTTCTGATAGCGAGAACTATAGACAAACGGGTACAATATATTGTTTCATGAATCATTTAGTGAGGCAGTTTTTATACCTGTACACAAACAAACGGAAAATAATCGAATGTAGCCGCAGTGGTTGAGTTCGAGCAATTCCATTTTTGAAGATTTAGGTTTTGTTGTGCCAAACTTTCCGAAGATGTAGTCCGTCCTGATGGACATAACGGTGATGCACTTATATCAGCATCGCTACAATCCTAAAATTTTGACAATTATTGTTTAATCTATCCGAATAAAATAACGCACTTGATCACAGCAACAATTGGCATCACAAGAATCCGCTCGAAGATCACAAGCACATGAAGCTGGATCAGTCACTGCCGGATTTGCAAAATCACGTTGACCAAATACAATACCTAAAGGCAAAATTTATTACCATAGCTATTGTTTCAAATCACTATCATCATTACTTGGATAAAGTTGAAGAGTAAGAACAAAATAGATCAGAATATAAGTTGATTTTGTCATTCTGTTTCCTATAAGAGCTAGAATGGCGATCTTTTAGATGCTTGCATCAAAGAAAATATCTAATCGCCATTATCGATATGGTTACTATTGACAAATTGATATCACCTTCTTAAATAACTGATATGATATTTTTCAAGCGGAACAAATTCTATTTCATTTGTATAAAGAGATTTTTGATGCCACATCGATATAAAATAAAAGAATGCATAACTGAATCAATGCTTTGCGATTGGTTTGTTCTCGTCCAATGAGAAAAGAAAAAACGAAATCAGTCTCTCACAATCCATCATCATTCATCTATCCATTTTCCCCTTGTTCTTCTTCTCATGTTTTTCGCAATCTTGACATCGTTTACAATTGTTTGATTTCAGATTAATTTTCCCTACAAGAACCGAACAACATAATGCTAGCTCATCTAGCTGCTACTACTCGATGTGCTACACGTAGTGTACTTCCTTGTACTCATTCATTAGCCGTCATCCGTCAAGCTTCATCGTCGTCATCAGGTGGCCATAAAAAAGGCGAAGAACCTGTTGCTGTTTCTACACCAGAGAGCGATGGTCCTTCACCGATGAGTCAACGACCACTACCGCCCGATGACGGCAAAGTCCGTAAGTACATTAACCTCACTGAGACACAGTAGCGCTATACGATACACTTGATTTTTTTCTTTGATAAAAGGTTTTCCAAATCCATGGGATATTATTCTTAACAAACGTCGTTACGAATATGCAATGGTTAGTGATCGAAAAGTACATTTGATTGTGTGAAATGCTTGTTTGTTGGTCTGTAGAAATTCAAAGGATATGATGATCCATTCGATATGATGCCAGTTAAACGTATTGCCAACAGTACACCAGAAAATCCAAACTTACTACCAAGCTCTAATGATAAGCGCCTGATGGCTTGTATTTGTAAGTTTCCGAAAGAAATCTTCGCGGATAGACAAACATATTCTAACGAAATGAATCCTTTCTAGGCAATGAAGATGTTTATCACTTAAAATGGATGCATCTTCATCGTGGTGAACCAAAACGATGTTATTGTGGTACGGTCAAGCACAGTTTTATTTTCTGACTCAATCGAATCTATACCATTGGATTTTATCTTTAGGTCACTGGTTTAAATTAACCGAACGACAATATGTCGACTTAAGCGATTTTGGTATCACCGAAGATATGCAAAAACCAGCCGCACATTAAAACGTGTCCTGTTCTATTCGTAGACTATCGTAGTCCTTCATTTCTCTCTCTCTCACATATTTTTCGCTTTAGTTTGTTTTTCTTTTCATTATCATGATCATCGTCAAATTGAAATAAAAGGAAAATACCCTAACGTTTTTTCCTCCGTCGCAATCTGTTGAGGTCACGAAGGAACTCCCATACGATGTTCTCTTTTAGATATGACCGATTATCAATTGAGTAATGAAGATCATGAAGCCTTGGGAAAGTTTACGAAATTTTTCCTAGTCAAAGCTGCGCAAATCATCGTTCAGTCGCGTTTAGGTGAGAAGAAAACAACCAAATCGAAACCTGTTTATTCAGGCAGTGAATGGGTAAGACAAGTTAAGTTTTTCTCTCATCTCGATCTATGCAATATCTTTTAGTTTCACCTTTCCATTAAAGACATTCCCGAAGTAACTGTAAATGCGAAAAAATGCCTCGGCGATGCTCAACATCTTCTAATTGATCCACCACACAGTCCATTTTGTGTTGAAATATCTCTTCGCACGCCCGATTGTGATACAATTACATTGGAAACATGGTGCATTTCTTTTGATGATTCCGTATCTGACTCCTCACAACGCGTTCGGTTCAATATCTATAATCGAATGAGTATTGTCCTTCGCTCGTTACTCGCATGTACACGCGCAACACCAACTTATCAATTGTCGCGTAAACAATCTGCAGATAAATATATCATTTGTTATAAAATGTACAGTGGGGAACCAATTGTGAGTCATCTTGGTGATCATTATTCGAAGAAAACGATCGGAAGTATTGTCACACCGATTGGTCGCTTTGTACTGAATGTGGCCTACCGCACACGATTGACAATGTCATCTCCGCAGATTGAAAATGGCGTAAGTGCAATAACACAATTTGGTATCGATATAAAAAACGATCATTTTTCATTGGATAAAACTCAACGAAGTGTTGAAGAGTAAGAGACTAGATCGTTTTGCTGGAAATGGATTCATATTCGGCAGGGAATTTTAGTGATAGCGATGCTCAATTACCTTCTGAACATAATTCAAGCGTGCCGAAAAGTTCACCGATTGAAATGATGAAACGACGACACGCTAGCTGTGATTCAGTTTCTTCCAGCCATGGGTAAATTGAATTTCGCCTTGCAACGCTTCAATCGACTAGATTTGTCTTCTTGTTCAGAACACCAGATAAAGTTTATTATAGTAAACTGCGTGCTGCTTTCGCAACACCAGGCACAACAACATATCCTACGCACGTTGGCTCATATTCACGAACAAACGATAATGATTTACCATTCGTTCTTATGATGCAACAACAGCAGCAACAGCAGCAGTCAAATCCAATGGATCACGATCAACAACAAGAACACAATATGAAAAATAATTTTTATGCAAGTGGTGATTCGGAAAATGAAACAGCACCTGATGATTTTATTCTCGTTGAAGTGGTAAGACTACTCAGACTGCTTTAACTTCGATCGTATTAATTTCGTTTCTCTAGAAACCATTTTTCGGTAAAAGCGATTCGACAGATGATCTGGCATTATTCATTCGTTCTTGTCAACAACCACCAATGCTCGAATCATTCATTGTTGAACCATCACTTGGCGAAACAATTAATCAATTAAACGAAGAATTACGCATTTTTGAATCTAAAGTTGAAGAATTCGATCAACTTGTGACAACATTGGATACCAATCACAAAGCTTCTTTATTTACGACGGAATAGTTGCTCTTCAGCGCTTGCGCATCGGGGTTTTTCTTATTTCATACATAACAGTGCTTTCGGATAACTTTGTCTGTAAAATTTAGATAGAAAATCAAACTATGAATTGTCGATGAACACTCTTTTTGTTATATGAATGAATTCAACGCTTAGATGTATAAGTTAAGTGATATGTGTTTCTTGTTCGCGTCTGTTCCTTTTGTCTATTTGACAAACTTTGTATATTTACTGTCTTGATTGCATTTTGGAAAAGATTCTTCACATTCTTGTAAATTTTCGTCTTTGAATAACGATGCTCGTGATGGACGAAACACGACTGAACGTGTGTATAATCTTTCCATGTTTGGCTAGTGGAAAAATAAATCTTCACATGGTGATCAATGAAAAAACTTGTCCTCTCTCTCTTTTTTTATAAACACGTTCTATTTATTTATAAATAAACATTCGCATCGAAGCGATATCTATCGAAATGATATTTTCGTTTGGATCAATCAGAAGAGAAGTTCTATGATTCATTCTAATAATAAATAATATCTTTCATCATCATCCACCTGTACATTTGATTACTACGATTATTTTTTTTCTTTCTCAATTAGATATCATGTTTTAACAAACATTCGATGGGGAATTTATTTTCTCGCAACAAAGAACCAGTAACAATCGCTGAGGATGATCAGTTTTTTGATTGTCTCAACGATGCTGATGAGACCCATGAACAAAATACGGAAAATACTCCACAAAGTGTTCCACATTACTATGCAGTGTGGATTCCATCCAATGTCGAAACTACAGGTAAGTAAAAACTTGTTTTTTTTTCTCGCAGCTGAAATTTATTTTGTATAGAAAATCAATTTGTCTTCGATGATATGAAAAGTGCTTTCGTTCTTTGTAAAAAATATAGTAAACATAATAGCCGAGTGAAAATATTTGCAAATCGTGATGATGCAGAGAACTTTATACAACAAACTCGAACGGATCCAGCGAGTAATATTGATTTGAATATGTCTGTCGATCAAATACCCAAGCCAGCAACGAATGATGCTGAAAAATTACCTTATAGTGATGTACCAACGTCTGAGTTGACGAAACTCTACAATTTAGCAGAAAAAGGAAATGAAAGCGAATTCGAACGATTAGTCTGGACAAATCCTCGTTATCTGATAAGTAGTGGTGATTCACCGACGATTGTTAAAGTAAAATTTTGTTTACGAATTATTGCAAATATGTTGGATTCATCTGCAGATCTCAGTTCGATACAATAGTATGCACGTTGCCGCTTTGGCCGGTCAATCAGGAATCATTCGTTTGTTAATCCGCACAATTAAAAACGTTCACTTCATTCGTCGATTGTATGTGAATGATACCGAAGGACAAACACAACAACGGATACAGTTCATTCTCGACATGTATTTGAATACACCGGATAAAATGGTACAGAATGAAACTTGTTTCGAGAGAAAGCGTGACGTTCAGATTTGTTTTTAATAGCAAAACGAAACTCCGCTTCATCTGGGATCAAAATTCGGACACTATGATGTTGTCTGCGCACTACTTGACGAACCAAGTTGTAGTCGAGACGCAGTGAACAAAGCCGGTTCAACAGCCTGTGATGTGAGTCATACAAGTGAACATATTTGAGGAAATCATCAATATGTTTAGATTATTTGTACTCGAGCCAAGGACAAATCCAAAGAAAAGAAAATTCGACAATTATTTGAGTGTATGATTGTCTCCGATATGACTTCTTTTCAGCTAGTATTGATTCATTCTAGCTACTTATTATATTCCAATTAACACTCGAAAGGTAACAATGGAAAAGATCTTATCCAAACCAGTGGACGAGAAAACATTCAAACCTATTCTGAATACTATTCAACAAAAATCAGCTAACTTGCCAATTGAATATGACAATGATGTTATATTAATTGCCTTTGCTGGTCCAACAACTTATGAAGTGGTTCGTATACTTTCGGGTGTCAACTAATTTGCTTTTTTTTGTTATCATTAGGCGATGAAATTCTATACATCAGTCAATTCGTCAACTCGTGGTCAAGCTCGTCGTACACAAAATCTTCTATCTTCACCAAAAAGTCCAATCTACATTGTTCGTAGCGATGCCGAAAAAGGCTGGGAACGTGTTGCGCGAAGTTATGCCTTGGAAACCTACTCGATCAGCTGGTGTGAATATTGGCCATTTCTTGATTCATATATCAATCTTTCTTCCATCGATGGTCTTCGATTATTAGAATATTACCTTCAACAACGAATCTTACATTCACAAATTTCGAAAACGATTGATCAATTAGAGAAGTTTTCCAGTCAATATCTATCCATTGAAAAGAGTGCAACATCGAACGAACATGATTCGGTGCTCAATTCGCTATCGCAATTGATTCAGTCGTTTTATTCGTTGATCGATCTATTCAATCTCAATGATCTAGTGCTAAATCGAAATTATCGTCATTACTTAGAAATCAGTGGATTCGAAAATCAACCAAATAATGATTTACAAACAATCAAAACCAATATTATCCATCAATTGCAATGGTTATCAACTGAGAAGAAGAATATTTTACCACTCTTTACTCGTCCTTTGCTGAATAGTCTAACCATGGTGTTTACATTGATTATTAGTCCATCCGGTTGTGCATTGATCGACAAAATTCAGCAGAATCAATATGAATCGCATCGCTATCAACAGAAAGTTCGTCCAGTGTCACGATTGAGTCTGATCGGACTTGTTTGTCCAAAACGTCGACAATCTCGTCGTTCGTGTCAACCATTCAAACAACAGTTAATTCGATCCAATTCATGGCCCAACTTATCTTTCGCATCTGAATCGCCGATTCTACGACGATGTCAATCCCAAACTGAGCTTAATCAAAATAATAATAATTGCGTCTCATCATCAATTAATCTATTAAATGAAACAACCAGAAAATCCATTCAAGATTTAGCACAACGCTCACTATCGATGTCATGCGCCTCACCAACGTTTTCTTCGCAAACAAGTGTCGATATGTTAAAGGAAGATAAAGCTAAGATCGATAAATGGCATTATTTTCTTGCTGGGTAGAAAATTGTGCGAAAAATTTTCTTGAAAATCCAGCTTTTTATTTCAGTTCCCAACCAACCAAACTTGATGCACATGTTTTACGTGCAATTGATCTGAACAATTCTCTAGACATATCCAATCAACCGGACTATCGCCTTTGGCCCAAATGGTATCAAGCAGTTCAAATGCGACCTATCGAAGAACAAAATCTTTGGACCACACCGATTCGAAATTCATCACCATCTAGTCGAAAGGTGAGAATGGAGCATGTTTGCTATCGCCGTTCATTGCTCATCGATTCACCTTAATAGAAATACTTGACCTATTGGTGCCTGTGATTGTCTTCACTTACATATTTGAAAGATTATAATAATAATTTCGCTTCATTTGTCTTGTGCTATTTTTCTCTCCTCTTTTTTTTGTATATTTTTTCAAATACAAACTAATTCAGATAAGAATAAAAGTGCCTTTTCATCATACAGGTTTTACGTCCTGGTGAAAATCAATCATCTTTATTGAAAATGGTCACAAGACAAGCATTTAAGAGGAAAATACCTAATCCGGAACGATCGCCACCCCTATGTCAAGACAAAGTCGTCGAGAAAAAGCGACCAAGAAAATGATTAATTTGTAATTATTTTCTCTTTTTTTCATCTTGTTTTTCGTAATGAATTGCTTCATAACTGCCTGTGAACATGTTCATTTTTTTTTATCGTATTTACATAAAGATGACGTCTTTCACACAGCGTACGCGATTTAGAGGAGTTCTCTTCATAACAGTTTTATGCTGATAGTTTACTGAAAACACATAAGTTCTACAAAGCTCATCCATTTCGTTTTAAAATTGGCTCGCGTACAAAGAAAAAAATCGATGCTGCTAGCATGCTTACTAAGTAGAATATAAAACAGATCCGATCGACAATAATCGCGAGAATTTTCCATTCTTCGTAGATGTCATGCAACGATTGAGAATGGAGATTCTGTTTTTTCGCGTGAATTGTTAAGAGTAAACGTTGACATTCGAGAATCTCGCGGAGAATGGAGATTTTCAACTGTTCATCATCGATTTTACTTGGATCGAATTGTCTTTGCATTTTGAGCAAGATCTGTTCGATATTGTATGTAAGTGAATTTGGTTCATCTGTCGGAGGACTGATTTCATCAATATCAATCTCGGTTGTTGTTGTCGGTGTTGCCGAACGACTGAGTAATTTGATGTTCATCTGATTGGAATTTCGATTAAGATCACCATTGACCACATCGCGACGAGATGAACGTCGTGCACGGGGGTTGGGCGTTAGGATGGGAGCAAGTAATTGTTCAGGACTAACGAAATTAAAGCCAAGCCACGGACCGATCTTTCCCAAGACAAGACGACGACACCAGGCAGGCACGCGGGACTTCTTCGGACCACGATAATGAAAATTAAGAACAACAACAGTCAAAACAACAGAAATAAGCACCAAGATTAAATTAACATTGAAATATAAACCTGAATTAGAACACCGTTTCGAGAAGTTCAAATCGACTGATGTGTCACTTACCTATTATTGGAAGAGTAGACGACGCTTTGGGAGTATATTCGGAAATGACTTGTAAGAAGACTGTTAATGCTAGTAGGATGGTTATTGTCAATGTGATCTTTTCACCGGAATCAGGTGGCAACCAAAAGACAAATAATGTCAAGCAGGATAAGATCGTAAATGGAAATATCATTTGATTAACATAAAATCGATGATTGCGTTTCATATTGATATGAAATACAAGCCAGAGGTATCGTTTCATAGTTGCATTTTGTACATGAATTTCATAGATTTGCCATTCAGTTCGGATGTATTGATTGCGTTGGCGAGCATTTTGAGGTTGATGACGAACTAACAATTCGTCCGAAGGTCTTGACCATGACTGAATTTCTAAGGTACAGTTTTGATTATCTAAATCAATCGAATTCAAAGCAAATGAAACTACTAAATGTCTTCTGTATTTACCGAATGGAAAGTATGTAATGACAACATCACAATACGATCGAAATACATCCGGAAAGACCCATTCAACCGTGCCATTGTAGTGAACAGTCAACAGATAATGTTCACGTTGTTGAGAATAGGCAACTTCAGCCGAATTGAACAGAACTATGTCTGGCGTCCAAATTTCACGCGAAGCAAAAACTGTTCGACCTTGATTATTGAAATCACTTGGTAGCCATTGTAAATGCTCATCTTGCCATCTTAATGTCACTTGAACATTTGTTGTCATTACTTGATCTTGTTCATCCTAAATTCAATTGTATAAACATAGGAGTTCATCTCACGATCCAACATATATTTTCCTCTTACTAAATTCATCACTTGAATGATTGTCAGACCAACGTCAACTACGGTGACAGTCGAGGTATTAACAACAGGACGAGCCTCGGGCACATAACTTGCAAGTAACATTTTACGTAAACGACATTCGTCGGAATTCGATTGACCCACTAAATAAAAAAGATGCACAGAATTGCTGTCTTTTTAGAGTAAATAGAACTGATAGATGGTCTCTTCTCACATCATGTTCTTTTTCGAAGACTTTCCTCCCATTCATCTAATCTGAGAAAATGAGTTAAAATTGAGTTTCCGTCAGAGTACAGAACAAAAATAGCGAAGTGTCTATCAAATAATCTGCATACTAATAGAACATGAATCAGTAAAAGGATTTTGGTGCGGAGCAGATGATTTTCTCTACAAACTCGTAAACATACATAACTGAGAATAAAGAATGATTTGTTTGCAAACGCAACAATTCATTAACAAAAAAAACCATTGAGCTAATCGCTAACTTGAATCTATCTGTAGGAGAATCTTACTTAAATCATCATCATTGTTGGAGAGACCACCGTCCGATTCATCATCGTGTCCACCTTTATTCTTGCGATTTGCTTGATTTTTATCCAGTTTATGGTTTTTGTTTCGAACTGCAGCACCACTAAACACCGACGAAGTTGACACGTATTGAATATAAGAAATCCCATAGAAGACAAGAAGAAAAAGATAGAATTGATTCGTAATCGTTGAAACCATGATTAGCAAATGGAGTTCATTGTTATGTTTAACATTCGACGAAAAAATTGATCAAAGCAGAGTGTTTGTCCTAATACGACTTTCATGTCGATCGATAAGCGCAACTGTTTGATGCTATTTGTCTACAATAACAGCTTTATTGTTCATCATTCTCCGATTTTTTTATTATTCGATCAGAGAGAGAGAGAGAGAGAGAGAGAGAGAAAGATGCGGCGTCGATACGAGAAACCATCAGTGCATGTTGTGTGCATTACCATTCAGAGATGGCAGAGAAAAGGAGAGGAAAATAGAAGACGAGTCAATTTGCTATTCGATTCGTCAGTATTGTCAGTCAGTTTCTGTCCCGCATGTTGTCTTTGTAACACTAGTTGAAAATAGTGACAAGGAAAAGAAATATGAACGAATGAAGCGACAAGAACAAATTAACTTGTCCATCGTAGTTCGATAAAGTTTCAAGAAGATAGAAAAACGGAAATATAGAAGAATGGAGATCGAATCACCAATAAGAATGAAAAATATGTTCAGAGAAAAGTTTCCTCTTTCCCATCGTGATTATATTTGCTGGAGACTTGTCAGTACAAATCGAATCATGTTAGATTTGTCAGAGATATCATTTACTAAGAAAAAAAAGAATAATAAGATTCTTGGGCAAATCTTTCATACTGATCGAAGTCGATGATTATATTAGGTTAATCAGATTTAAAGTGATTCGTTCGATTGGTGAAAGTAAAATTGTTGTCAAATATTTGGAAGTACTGTTATGAAGTTTTCTTTTTGTGATTTACATTTTCTCTAGAAAATGGTCCAGACAAAAAAAATTGAAACAATAAGTCTTTGTTGATGAGAACATTGAAAATGATAGAACAAACACAATTAGACAGAGGAAGAAAAGAAGCAGGTTGAAAAATACAGGGCAAATAAAAATCAATGAAAGAAATAGAATCAAAAGCCAAGAAAAAGAAATGAAAATTCTCTATCTAAACTGTTCAAATATGATAATTTTCTTCTATGATGGTATTGACTGTTCAGTTGCTGAGGTATTTTGCGAATTCGACGTAGATAAAGTTGCGTTTGAAGCAACTCCTTCATTTGTAGTGACATTGGATTCCGTTGGAGGCACAATTGCGATTTCCATGGGATTACTATTGTTTTCAACAGCAGGTGTACTTGGGACTTTCGATTCGAGTTTACCAATGGCTCTTTGTACATTGCGTATCATTTCTTTTCGTTTATCTTTGATATCAGCACTAACATCGACCAGTTCATCACAACAAATCATGATTTTCAATGCTTGTTCATCAAGCATTTTATATGCAAGATCGTTACGTGTCGAACCGTTGAAGGCATCAACGTCTTTTTCTAAGGCATTCAACATTCGCTTTATTTGTTCAAGTTTCTCTAGCGCAATTGTATTAGGATCGCGAACAGGTTCGGGTGGTGGCGTAGCTGTGTTCATCGTTGGTGCATTGGTTTCAGCTGATGAAGCTTGTGGCTCAGTAGGCTGTGTTGTTGGTGCCGAAGTTGAATTAGCAGGCGAAGATGGTCCTGGCATAGGAATTGGACCATCTGAATCGCTTGCCATTTTCAGTTCTGGCTCTTGTTCTTGTTGCTGTTGTGGTGTTGGTGAAGGTTGAGCGGGCGAAGCACCTCGTTTTGAAGCCGGTGAATGGGATCGATCATGTGCTATAAGAAAACAACAAATGTAAAATATAGTTTTTTTTTGCATACATTGAGTAGTGAAAGTGAAGCCTAGTCAATTCAACCTTTTCGTTTTCTTGAGTTAGATGCACCCATTCGCTTGACTCGTTATGTAAATTCACAAAAAAAAGAGTAACATCGCAGGAAAGAATTTGTTTTTTTTAAAGAAATAGAAACCGTATGGAGTGTACAAACGCTTCTTGTTCTCTTTCCTTCGTTCTTCGAATAGGTTTGCTTCTATTATTATCTTTTCTTTAGACAACTAGAGTGAAACAAAAGTAGAGTATACTGTTTGTTCTTCGATGATAATATATAAGTATGTGCGCACATGTCTATGCAAATGTATCTCTCATTATAACTAGATTTTCTCGAACGATTGCCGATGGTCTCTACTTGATTACTGATGTCATGACAGATAGAGTAACAATGGAACATGATCGACAGATTAATATCTTGTTGAAAAAAAAACTAACGCAGACGACGGAGTCATGAAAATTGTTTTTGATGAAAAGTTTCTGTGCTACTATTCGAGGAAAGAAATACATTCATGATTCATAATCAGATGTGAAAATAAATTCAAATCAGACTCCTGTTTTACCCGGGAGCAGAAATAACGAACGAAAACATATTTTCGATAGAAAACAAAAAAAAATCACTAACGGCCGCTAAAAATAGACCTCGCGTTTTTTTCCCCTCAGAACTCGACTCACCAGCGTTATTACCAGATCCTTGAAAGGTATTCTGATGATAATGATCTGTTGGTTGACCAAATTCATCTGTATATACGATATTAGGATTATAAAATGCTTGATTTCCGTAATTAGGTTGTTGTTGCTGCGATTGAGGTTGATGTTGTGTTTGATATGTCGTACGATAATTAGGTTGTTGCTGTTGAGGTTGAGTTTGTTCCGACTGATATTGTCGAGTAGATGGAAAGTTTTGATGCATATCTGGAGAATCATTGAGAGCATCGAATGAACGACGGTTCGGGCTCGAAAATCTCATCGGTTGAATAAAATCCGAATCATTTGGAAATCCACTACTGAACGGCGACATGAATGGCGCAAATGGTTGAGTATTTGTATGCAATGATTCGAATGGTGTCGAAAGAAGATCCTCATGCGATCGTCTTAGTTGTGAAAGGTTACTGTCATACATTCGAGATGGCGAATGACGAAATTGTGAATCTTGATATTGTGGATATGATGGATAATCATGAGTTGGTTGATTAAATTGGGAATTATGAATCACACGATCATAGGCCGTGTTGGGACTGTGACGTGGTTGAAAACGACCATTGGAATTTGAACCTCGTGGAGAAGAATCAGAAAAGCCACTGTAAGAATTATCATTGAGAACTGTTCGATATGGCGAATTCTGTCGTGAGTGAGATTGTGAACCAGTGGAGTTTGAATCACGAATGATTTCTACAGGAATTGTGACAGACTAAAGAAGATAACAAGCAAAATCTATCTGTTTCACCGTAAATCTCATTCAATTCTTACTCCAGTTGGACGACCAGAACTATTTGTTGAAGACATGATAATCTTTTTATTTATCGGAAAGCTCGATTGAATTCAATTCAATACTCAAATATCATCTAAGAAGAAAAAGTTCTCTCTAAAGTAGAAAAAAAGTCCGTCATAGATATCGATAGAAACAGTATTTACTGTACAAAAGAGCTAAAACATAGTGGCGATAGCTCAGAGTGATATGCCGTCGTACGAACGAATGCGCAGCCTGTTATTATAAGGCATGCGCACGACAAAGAAGAGAAAAAGAAATAACGCAGTGTGTTCTGTTACTTTTCTTTCTTTTTTTCTTCGCTTTTTCTCGCTCTCTCGACTTTGCCACCGCCTCTTCATGTCTTGTTGGTTATCAAAAAACTAGGTTTTGTATTCTTCTTTCTCCTTCTCGTTTTTTCCCGTTCTTTCTCAACATTCCTATTGAGTGCGTCAACATTCGAACGAACAAATAACGCTGCTTTTCATGAGTGAATGAGACACCATTTAAAATGACGTCATCAATGACAACAACAACATCCATTTTTCGTCTTTTCGTTTTGCTCTCTCGTCATCATCCCTTTTTTTTTACATGTAAATATAAACGAACTTACTGTTCTGTACACCGACATTTCAATATCAAACATGTGACTAAAATAACTCTATTTATTCACTTCAAATGTCTGAAATTCCAACTATTCCGAAGTGATTTGATACATAAATCATCTAATATGACTTGATAAGAATTTTTCGCTTGTCATTAATAACATCTACACGTTGAGTTGTTATCACTATGCCCTTTTTTCTACCCAAATAACAATCAACCCTGATCATCTCATTGACTTAGACCAACATGGAAAAATAGCTATTAACTCTATTCAACATTTGTCTTATGTTTTCCACGTGCCATGATCAAACAATGAAAGTCAACTTCTACCTACCGGTTATGTTTAATATTCTTTCGTATGATGTAATACTAAGCAAACGACGAAGTTTTTCTTTTGCTCGTTGAAAAGAAAAGGTACTTTGCGGTCATCGGATGAAATATTCTCATTTCGTCTTGTACTTCTTCCGATATTCGAATAGTAATGATCATATACTTAAAAAACTACGCAACAATTATATACTGATGAGTATCGCGCCTTCAGGTGAAGTTTTTTAAACGAAACTATTCATTTGATGTCACATTTATTCTCATATTTATTCATCGTCTCTGTTTTTTTCTCTCTGCCTCTCTTTCATTTGCTTACTCTCGCGCCTTTTCTTCTCGTTATATACAAGGACAACTACTTTTTTCTTCGATCTGTACCTCATTTACTGCCTGACGTTGATGTTGTTGTTATTCGCATTGTATAGAATGTGATTCTAATCAGAACAAAGGAAAAATCTATATTGCGACATACATTTTCTTTTGACAATCGAAAGAAAAACACTCGAGTCATTTAAAAACAAAACAAATCTAATTAATCTATTTCGTGCTTGAATTTATTTTTCAGAAAGCACACGTCATTTAATTCAAAGCTACTATCGCGTAAAGATTCAAATACTGTAAAAAAAGAAGCAAAAACATGAACTGAAAATAATCGACCGACAAAAATATACATATGTACGAAAAGGAAAAATAAGGATATTTATCAGTGAATAAAGAAGTTCTGTAGGCGGAGGAAGAAAGAAAATAGTTCTTTATGCTAAGATGATATGAAAAGAAAATAAATAAGAAACAACCAGTCGACTTGTTTATACAGAACAACAAAATCTGAAAAAAACTGTCGGCTTTTATTCGTTCTTCAATAAAACAAGATTAGTTATTACTCATTAACCAAGAGTTACTGCACGGGGTTTTTTCCTTTCAAACATAATTTTTAACACAAAACATGTTCGATGTTCCTGTTCTCTGTCGGTGTTCTCTATGTAAATTATTATTCATATTATTTCAGCGGATGGCAACTTGTTCGAGAAATTTCGCCTAAGTACACGAATAAAAAGGTTTGACAATAGAAACGAGAGAAAACATCGTTGTCTATACTGTCTTCTCGATTAATTTGTCGACTTTCAATGAGAAAGCCTTGACTTCGATAGGGAGCAAACTGTGGAATATTTATAAATAAATAAATATCAGTTGATACCTAAATGCAGCAGCTTTCTTTTTTACAATCGTCAATGACAACCATGGAATTGACTGAAATCGAAAGCAGAGAAGTTGATTTGAATCTGTAAGAGATGTATAATCAATCAGTAATCTAACAGTTATCTGATCCTTCTCAAATATTTGTCGATTAACAAAATATGAGATCATTGACATTGCATATCCAGCGTATAAATCAGTTCCTAGTTCACAAACGTACCTAACGCGATGGTTTTAAACAGAAAAAGTTTCTCGAATGATTTTTACTGTATAAATGTCGGAGCTTCAGTTCAGTTATTTTAACCTCTCAAGTCGAATTGCTTTTATTCATAAAAAAAACAACAATGGTCGATAAAACTTTATTATCTTAAGTAATCGTTATCATTATTGACAAAAGCAGTACAGAAAACATGACATGTTGCATACCGAGTAACTTATATTGTCGATAAATTACAAACACACGCGTATGTTTCTCCTTTCGAATAAGTTCTGAAAATTTAGCAGTAAAAGAACTCGAACAAATTCCGACAATATCTGGCAAATCTATATCAATAATACATACCATCAGTATGTATAGATTATATGTTGACGATAACAATTACTCGAAGACTGGCAAATATTATTAACCATACTGTTTTATCAAGTGTCGCATGATCTTTGACTTGAATATAAGCATTCATCGAAAGCATAATCTCGTACATGAGAACAGCTGTATCATTTCATGCGTCTAGCTCCTTGTTTGTTTTCAAAACCTTTCTGTTACATGAGTACAAGTGTCCGTTTCACGAGGCAGTTCGGTAAGTGCGAACAGAAATTCAATATGCATATCGATTCATTCCAATGCAAGTGTACACGGTAATTTTTCGAAACACAAATGAATTTATCGATGATATATTTGTATTTATACGATAGTATAATGCACGTCGAAATGATCTATTTTCGCATTGATACAAAAAGATGGAGAAGAAAACAAAAAATAAATTAGAGAGTGAAACAAATAGATATATACGTAGCAAGAGTAGAAATGACAAGACATTGTGATATATTTGTACAAAAGATTCGAAATTTTACATAAGTTCAAGTAAATGATCTGTTTCTTGTAGCGCTTCATCAATTAATGCGAATGTATCGACAATGTCCGTTGGTTCATTCAACTTCAACAATTGATTTTCGTCTTCCTCATTGATAGAATTTGATGTTGAGCACTTCCCTGTTGATTTTGTAGTAGAAGGTTGACTTTCTGAAGAATTCTTTGATGGAATCTGTTCGATTGATTTAGCCTTTGTCACTGGAGTTAGGAATTGTTTAATCACAGTTGATGGAGGTTGTCGAAGACGTGATGGTTTCGTAGATGAAGAAGGAGCCTCAATAGGTTGTGGCACGAAACGCGGACGTGTTATAGGAGACACTGATGAAGGTAATGATTGATCTTGCGATGTCGATGTAGCAAGACGCTTTGGTGGTGGTGTAGTTTTAAGCATTGTCTCTGGTACAGTGCGTTTACGTTCATTAGGTGGCGAAGTAGTCTTGTTATTGGTCAAATGTTTAGTATTTGTAGCAGTTGGAGACAAGGAGACAGTTACTTGAGGTGGTGATACCGGCTTTTTCTGGAAGCGTCTAAAATTGAATTGTATTCTATTAGTTTTACAGAAGGATCACATCATTGATTATTTCTTACTCGATACGCAGCGTTCGTCGTTCTTCTTCTCGTGATAATTCTGTTCCTAGAATATTGCGAATACATATAATCCTACGAATACATTTATCTCATGCAATTCAAAAACACCGAACCATAATGACGATGTACAATAACATTTGTGTATAGTCTTCATTAATCTAATGTATCTCATGTCAAAAGAATTGAAGAATAATACAAGTAATAAGAAATCATTTCGTTTCAACATCCTAGCTAATCTCACTTAATCTCATTCATATAAAACACACGATAAATAGAAAGAAGACAGGAGTCTTTGCAACTGCTGTTGTACACAATTGGACGTGGATAGACAGACAGTTTGACAATTGTGGAGAAGGGAAAATAAATAATAAATGTAATGCCAACGAACGTACCCGCAGATGGCTAAAACGAAAAAGCAAATTTAAAGATTTTCTCTTCTCTCACGTCATACTTTGTCTTCATTGTTCAATTTCGAAGTGGAAATAGATGAATTTGCATCGGAAGTTTTGCTTGTGGGTAATCGATTACGATTTAATCGAATTGGTTTTGTATCATTATTTGAATTTTTCTCTTCGGATGACATAAATGGCAAACTATTTGGCATTGCCGGCATTGAACATGGAAATGGAATATCAATAACTAACACAGACATACGTTCAATGACCTTTGCTGATCACATACGGATAAAATGTATTTACTTGATTGACAATTTGGTTTGAATTTCTTAGTCGTATTCTCTTGTCCATTGAGATCCGGATCGTCAGATTTTCCTTTGGGTGAATGAGTTTTATCAGATGTAACGACGACACGAGTTGAAGACGAAATTGGAGTTTTCAAAATTTTCCTATTTGGAATAGCAGGTGGTTCAGCAGTCACAACGCTTCGACCTATAACTATCCGCGATTGAGTCACTAGTTTTTCTTCTTGATCGACTATTTTACAATCCGTAATGACACTACGAGTAGTGGATTTGATTGAACTGCGATTGGTTTCACTTTGATCTGGTTGGGTTTTTATTTCCATTTTCGCTTCACTATTTGACGTAACTGCGATACGACGCGGTATCGAGTCGGATTTCACTGTTGATGAAGGTTCAAGTGTTGTAGTTGGTAATGTTGCTTGAGTTATGTTATTTCCACTAGTGGTGATTGGTGTGATTTGCGGTGGAGTGTCGATTGGCAGAGAAGTTATGACAATCGGTTTAGATACGTCTTTATTGACCAGAGCCCCAGCTGACGCTGAAAGAAATTCACAGATTTGTTCTGAACAGATTGTAAACAGTTGAATTTGTTGTTCTTACGTCGAATCACTGGTGCGTTTCGTAAATGCGTTCGTGGTTTCGAGTGAATAAATGTACATTCAAGTTTCAGACAACCCATGGGTGTGTTCTCATAAAAACATAAGATGCCATTACCAATCATTGGACGCTAATAAATATGAATAATCATGCGAAGAACGTTATTTCGAAATAACATACTGGTGTGGGTTTCGTATGCCGATGTGGACAAGCTGGGTCCAAACAATTTCCACGTGACCATGACGCACAAATCGTATTTGATGCTAACGCCAATGGACTATGTCGAAATGTACATAATGGGCCCTAAAAGACGACGAGATGAACATCAAACAAAAGAATATTTCAGAAAATGATGACGCACTTTTGTACACGATGATGTAAGAAAATAAAAGCAATCTTCATTTGACTTATGCATATTGTTACTTGTTTGAATTCAATCTGAAAATAGTTTGATCATCGCGGTATTCATTTGAGAGAGTGTATAAACCAAATAGCCGTTCTGGAATGTTTCTTTTGAATAATTCGTATTTTTCTTACGCGTCTTATTTACTGTTATTTACATCAAAATAAAACTACAACGCGAACTGCATTGCTTAGACGAAAAAAAAAGAAACAAAAAACTATTGGGTGAGTCATCGTCCAATAAATTATCAAGTTTTCATAAACAAATAATCAGTAAGAAACAAAAAAGAAGAACGATAATGACAGTTTTACATTGTACCTCATGCTAAGAATTATGATTATTAAAGTCAAAGATGCGAAAACACAATATTGGGGTATATGCAAATCGGTCTTATAATTATAATAACTTAAACTAAGAAAAATTCCCTTCTCTCAATGGTCAAATAAAGAAGACAACTAAGTTTCACGACACTTGCAGTGCTATTCTTTATTTCGACATGGCTTCTACCGCATCAGACAGTAGTGAATATGAATTGTAAAATTTGAAAGGGAAAAATAAGAATTTTTATCCATTTTCGGCATTTATGTGCGTACAAAAAATTTGTTTATAAAGAAATCAATGTAAATGCAGGTCGACAAAACCCAACATTGAAGTAAAAGTACATCCGGTTATGCAATTTCGCTCAATTATCTAGTAATACTGGCATCAAAACTAAGTTTGAGTTAAACAATACATCAACCATTCAATCCCCACACAAACTACTTCGCTTTTGCTCTTCCAACTGCTTTCCACACGACCAATATCCTATTATTCATTAATAACAATACAGTCATAGGATTGAGTTTACATTGATAGATAGTTTATACCAATCGTAACTGGTCAGAAGAAAAGTGGCTCCATCTTTGTCGTAATTGTTTTCGAAAATTTCTTTTTACCTAATCTTTACAATCGAATCCAAGTAAATAAAACATTTTTCGAGATATTTTCTTCGTAAGTCGAATTGGTCAATTCTCGTTTTTTATTTGCTTGTTTACACTAAATGACTGTTCGACATTTATTTTTGCTTTTTCCTTATTTCTCCTTTAATATCATTTATACAGGTAAAAATAATTACTCCCTCTTGCGTTCTACTCACTAGGTCACAATTGAATTTCAACTCGATCGTTCACTATCCGTTGTACTTTTAGATTAGAAAGGTGGTGGTATTTTTCTTCTGTTTTGTTTTGTTTTCATCAATTCTTGTTATCCACAACACCGTATACTACATAGATCTTACTGTGATTATTTTTCCTTCTGCCACTGATTTCTATTTCCCTTCGTTCTACTGACGATTTATCAAAGGAAAATGGATTATACTTACGCGCAACCGTATGATCATCCACTTCGGTAAGTGCTTTTTTTGTTTCTTTTGGGAATTTTCTATGAGAACACGTCTCTTTTTTTCAGAATTCTTGTACCCAGCGATTCTGTCGGAGCTATAATTGGTAAACAGGGTTCGACAGTGAAACAGATCAAACAAATAACACATGCAAAGTAGGGGAAATTTTGAATAATGAGTTATTCTTACAAATCGACAATCGTAGAGTGGACGTAAATAAAAATGAATCGACGAATACTCAAGAACGAGTGATTGTCATTCGAGGTCAACAGGAAAATTGTATTCAAGCATGTCGAGAAGTTCTACGTATAATGTATGAAGATGCGCAAAATAAAAATAAAGCAAAGTAAGATTCAAATGACTTTTCGTAAGATTTAAATTCAATTTTATTTACTATTCTAGCGAAGTGGTGTTGAAAGTACTTGCACATAATAATTTCATCGGTCGAATTATTGGGAAAGGTGGGAATATAATCAATTCAATAAAGAAAGAAACCGAAACAAAGTAAATTGAAATGAAATATTACTCACTAGATTTTTCGAACTAAATATCTCTTCTTCTCTAGTATTACTGTATCAAGTATCAATGAATTAAATACATACAATGTAGAAAGAATTATAACGATTAGAGGTGAACTCGATCAACAAATACGTGCACTTGAAACAATTTATACGAAGTTATGCGCGGCATATGAAAATGATAATGCAAGAGCATGGAATCATCCCATGTCAACGTACCATCAACAGCAACAACTAATGCAACAGTTTGCTCAGCAAACAGTCATAGCAGCAGCTGCCACAGGTGGTCAACCTCTCCTACCTACTCATTACACTCAACAACAACAACAACAACAACAAGCACACGCACAACAATCGCTAATGTCACACACACCAACCAATAATAGTAACGGCTCATCGAACAAATATGTTGAACAACAGCCTCATCCGACTGCAATATATCATCAACCTTACTACGTAAGTTGAATGATAGGCTCGAAAACAGAACAGAAGAAAGAAAATGAATTTCATTTTAGCCACCGATGTTTCCCGCCCCAGGACCATATTATATGCCATATGCACCTACCGGTCCTATGATGCATCCTCACTATGGAAGTGTGGCATTAAATGGAAATGGAACGCTTTCTCATCAACAACAACAACATTCGCCATCAATTACACACCTGTCATCAAATGTCCCAGCAGCGATCGAAACGGTGCATTTATATGTACCTAATACAGTAATTGGAGCTATTATTGGTACTAAAGGTCTTTTTATTAAAAGTATTATTAAAAATTCAAATGCGACAGTTAAAGTAACTAATGATCGATTATTTAAAATGAATTTTATATGTTCATGTTTTTCGGATGTTTTAGATCAGTCAACAAAGTCCTCATGAAGATCAAAATAAAATAGTTGATCGGCAAGTAACGATATCAGGAACTCCTGAAGCACAATGGAAGAGTCAGTATTATATCTATGATAAAATTCGACAAGAAGGTTCGATTATTTCGTTATTAATTCAAAATCTCAGTTGAGTTCATCATCTAGGTTACGCTGGTGATGATGAAGTTCGATTACGAGCAGAGATCTATGTCCCAACATCGTTAATTGGACGTTTGGTTGGTAAAGGCGGACAAAACGTATGTAATTTTGCTGTTTTTTCTTCTGTTTATTTCGTTTATTCGTCTCGAAAGGTTCGCCAATTACAACAATCAACAGGTGCAATTATCAAATTGCCCGAAGATTCTCAACAAACATCAGCTAGTGAAGTACCTGTCAAGATCATAGGTCCTTTTCAAGCTAGTCAAGTAAAATCGAAGATATCCCATTGCATTCATTGCTTTCCTCTCTTCTTTGTCATCGTTTACAGTTTGCTCAGCGGCGTATCCAATCGATAATACAAATGAATCGTGATTCAAGCAATGTGTCAGCTGAAGATAGTAATTTCACTACTATTAATGACGATCAATCGCATAGCACTGTTTCGAATAATCTACCGTCGACTAATCTCAATGATACATCGACAATCGTGAATGGCAGTACAGTTAGTGATGATGCTGTTGTTGCCTCTAGTACAATACGAAATTCTGAAGATAGAATTACAGCGTTGGATGAGAAAAAATCATGTGATGAATGATGAAGTTATTTTCTTGGAGAAGTTCGTTTCTTTTTTAAACAAATCAAGTGCAATAGAAGAAGGGAGAGAGGAAAAAGATTGAAATTCTAACCAGCATTTATTCGTATGTATGCGTATCTTTTGCCCAAGAAACTCGGTGATAAATATCAATCTCTCTTCTTCTTGTTTTTTCTTTCTTTTGTTTTCTTCGGGCTTCTGTGAGATCCTAGATTAGACTTGGAGAACTCATAGAAATCGCTTTTCATTTTTTTTATCTCGACACTAGTCGATGAGTTGATGTGTATGCGTGTGTGGCTCGTTTGTTTTACTTTTTTTTCTCTTCGTTTTTTTTTCTTTTGCTTGTTTTATCGTCTCGTGTGTTTGCCGTGTGTGCGCTGGCTTGTTTTATTTTATTTTGTACGACGGAATTGAACGGTGGAGAACCGAGATATTTGGGCATTTTTCTTTTGATACCGCGAGGGAGAAACGCGATCTGAGACAAACAAAAAGAATCATAGAAATAAAAACAAACAAATAAAATCGAATGAATGATTTTGTTTTTTTTTTCAACGAATTTGTCCTGGGACAACAATAGTATGAAGATCTTGTGGTTCAAGTTCAAGATGCTGTTTGTGTTTAATTGGTGGGACTATGCCGTTGAATAAGAATAGTTTTTCCATCTAGATAAATTATGACTGCGTCGTGGCTTCATCTCAGCGAACTCGACACTTCTCTCGTTGATGTTGTTTGTGTTGTGGCACGAGTTCAATCGGTCAATTCAATACAACAAACTTTTATCATTTATGACGATGGTGATGATGATATCAATGGCAATTCAAGATCATCAAATGTGTGTGTATCACTTAGTAATCTTCGCACAGCATGTGATCTACAATCATTAGCGACACCAACAGGCCAATATGTACAAATTTACGGGAAAGTTCTGCGGCAGGGTGGTAGTCCTATACGAATCGATGCCCAAATAATTCGAAAATTAGGAAACAATTTTGACATGAGAGAATATGCGAAAGGTTTAATCCTAGCAAAAAATTTCATGAATAATACTGATAGTAACGGAGGTGATGATGTTTGTAGATAGAAGTGGTGATCATGTCGTCAGAGAATTCGGTGAAATCGAATGTCTTAGCTGCATTTCGTTTACGTGGACTGGATTTGAAATTGTAAGTAGAGATAAATGAAAATGGTGGATGCAATTGATGATGAATGTTTATTCAGTGATGCGTCGCAATATCTTGTGGAACTTGCATCGAGTGTTCCTTCGGCTTCGTTAATGTCTTGGCTTGATCAATTGATTGACTTGTTGACAAAACGAAATCGTTTGTTTCTGTTGCTTTTCCTGTTGACAAGTTCCAATGAATGTGATTTTAATCTAGTCTCGTCTTCGATCGTGGACAAATCACTTGTGACGAATGTCGTTCAAGAACTAAGAGCTCAACTCTCGAATGATTCTCAGTTTGTCTCATTCACATAATTGCAAATACCGAATCATCAGTTTCTTTTCGAATTTTTCAGTAGTGAAGCACTTTTCTCAGTTCAAAACGCCTTTTCCTTGCCGAAGTTTATCTATTCGAGATCAATGAAGAAATTCATTGAGTATGGATTGTTTCCAATATGAATCTCTCATTTTGCGATCGTTTTCACTGTAGAAAAGAAATTGATAGTGATCTATTCGGAAATGCTCGTACACGTTCGGAAGTATTCTGGGAACGATATGATTTGTTGTTACAAGTAAAGTTTTACATTTAATGAAATCGATCAAATATGACTATTTGATGAAAAATTAGAGAACATCAAGACATGATGTATTTTCACAAGTTAATTTAGCCGCAGCGGCAACAAGTAAAGGTCAAAAGTATCAAGTGAGTCTGATCAAAATACACGATCTGATTATTCTGTTGATATTTCAGTTGAAAACCATCGAACATCTGTTAGCTGCTGGTTCAAAATCGGAAAAGGTCGTTTTACTCGGCATGTTATCGCAACTACATGAGGTAATACGAAGGACAGATCGAGAAATAGGTTTTAACTATCTCTGAAACTCGTTTAGGCAAAATATGATCTACAAGATCCAACTGGCGTTATTTCTCTCAATTTAGATAATGCGGTATTTGATTTCTGTTGCAAATCCAGTGAAGAAGGAGAGAGTTTGTTTGTAGATCTTTCATCCAGGATTCTATTTCGAAAACTGTTTCGTTCTTGTCGAAGGACAGATTGACGACGGCGTTTTCAACGTTTCAGGTATATGTTAAATCAAAAGAATCCTTTCATCCCTGTTTCTGTATTGCAGGTGTTGGTTTGCCACCACCGGAAACAGCCCAGAATACAAGGTAAGACCATCATAATTCGACATCGAATGTATTTTCGAGTTAAATCGTAGATCGTACTTTGGTGAAATCAATATAACTGGAAATCCGCATGACCAAAGCGCCAAAACTAAGATTCGCCTGAAAGAAATTGAAGAAAAATCCGACGATGCTTTTGTTTTCCTTTCGGATGTTTGGCTCGATGATAAAAAGGTCAACTGAAAATCTTCTTGTAACATTCAATCGATCTTTCTTCCCTCTAGGTCATGGAACATATCGAACAATTATTCGATGGCTTTGCTGATCAACCACCATTCGCATTTATTTTCTGTGGCAACTTCCTTTCTCGACCAACAGCAAATCTCTATATCAATGATTTGTCAGGTTGGTTTCTATTTCGTTTGAAATCAAAGATTTTCTCATAATTATAAATAGATGCTTTTAAAAACTTCGCAAAATTGGTTGGAAGATATCCAGATATATGTGAACGTGCTCATTTCGTCTTTGTGCCAGGCCCTCAGGATCGTCATGCACCGAAAATCTATCCTCGGTTTGTTCTTTCACACACGCCTTCAAATGATTCGACTCGACTATTTCAGTGCACCATTTCCTCCATCGATCAACGATATTTTGAAGAAACGTATTCGTCACCTTCACCTCGCAACGAATCCTGTTCGAATCCAATACTGCACTCAAGAAATCGTCATCTTTCGTGAAGATCTCTTGCAGAAACTGTGTCGCTATTGTATCAAATTACCCTCAGATAACTTACCCATGCATGTAAGTACCACCACTCTCGTCAATCTTTACCAAACGCTTCTATTTAGCTTTGTCATACACTTGTCGCTCAAGCACATCTATCACCATTGCCAGTTTATATGACACCAGTCTATTGGTCATACGATCATGCACTTCATTTGTATCCTTTGCCGGATCTCGTCGTTATTTGTGATAAATTCAAATCAATCACAGATACGATCGCTGATTGTACAATTATCAATCCGGTAATAGAAAACTGATGTCTAAAAAATATACTTTGAATAACTTCTTAATAGGGCTCATTTGCAATCAATAAATATTGCTTCAAAGTGTACCTACCGGGAACACGTGAAGTCGAAGATAGTCAGATAACCAATATGTAACACTTGTCACTTAGATATTTTTGTTGATAGATTGAAAGAGAGTAATTTTTTGTGAATAAATATCTGAACATTTCTATGCGCTACGTATTATGTTAGGAAAACGTTCTTTTTTTCCAGATTGGATGAAATTATGATGACAAATACACGACCTAGTTTGGATATTCTTGTACCATTAGTTATGGTAGATGAGAATACGACAAACGACGAAAACATGGAGAGTTTATCATATGAACCAGAGAAAGGTTGGAGAAACAAAAAATTCTTCCTTTCGAATTTTGTATGGAATATCTTTTGTAGAAATCTTTCGTCATTTCGAATCAGGTGATATTGTTCTCGTTCGATTAGATACACAATGTTTTCCTGCTATTGTTTTTAATATCAGTGGTCTTGTTATGAAATTTGATAGTAAGACTATTTCAAGCAGACATCATATCATTCACTTTCTGCTTTAGTCGATCGACAATTGTATCACGTGTGTCTATTCGATAAAGAATTTACTGAGAAATGGATTGATGCCACTGATATGATTAGCTATTCAATACCAGTATGAATGTAGTTTATTTGTTCGATATTGTCAAATTTGCCAGATCATCTGTATTTAGATGGTAGCCGAAGGTGACAATGAACAACTTATGTTGATGTGGACTGTGGCTAATGAACTTTTAGAAATCTCCAACGACAATGAAGAGAAATGTCGTCTAGAAGAATTTAGAAAGCGGTTTCAGGAAGTCAGACATCAAGAAGAACCAGTTTTATCGATGAACACATCGAGAAATAATCGACGAACTCGTAGTTCAGTTTCCAAAGCAACCGGTCAACAAGTAAACAGGTCTTCTCAAAGTCTTTCCTCGAAAATTCTCTTTTCTTTTAGATCGTTATCTCTCCACTAACCACCTGCGAAGGACTATATATCATTGATACGATATATCGACTATCTCCTTGTAAATATGCTGATGCCAAACGTCTTGCTGAAGAGACTTATACAAAAATCATTTGTACGAATAATCGAGAAAATGTTCAAACATGTCCAGTCGAATTGGCATCAGATCAATGGTTTTTTACCTTCGCTATTGAACATGCACCATATTTTCGACAGTATTCATCGAGCTGGTTACCAGAATTGGAAGAAATGCTGGATAAGAATGAGAACAACCATGATCTGCTTTCACTGATCTCACTAATGAAAGAATCAGCTTGATAAACAAGTTTCTTTACTTTTTGTATGTGTTCTTCTTATTTTTTTTCTTTGTTTGCTCGACTATATATGCAATAGAACATAATATTAACTGTCTTTTGAAAGAAATGAACAACGCGATTGATATGCATATTTCGAGAATGTGCAATCACATTTCTAATCTTTATTAAAAATGAAAGTTAAGAAATAGCAATATTAGAAAAGTGAATAGAAACGGCGTAGAAAGTTTATCGGATCGATTTTCGATGGACATTCCCCAATAGTTCGTTGTAGTGCCACCGAACAAATTATAAAGTGTCTTATTTACTGTCGCATCTTGATAGAACCAATCAATACCAATTAAAGTTTGCTCAGAATTACATCGATCATCGAGATTCGATAGACTAACATTCAATTCTTTTTGATAGAGAAACTGTGCAATAATCTGCTCTGTACAGGATGGTGATTCGAATCCGGCACTTTTTGTATAAGATTGAGGAGCAGTGACATGAGTTAATCCTTTCATTGCCACTAGTTTCGTTGGAATCTCTTGCATTCGCAGAAATTCTTGAAATTGTTCAGCTGTTACTAAAGGTGAGTTATAATCTAAATCGCCATTGAATAGCAATACTCCGCCTTGTCGAGATCGAAATATTCTCGGATTGACTTGCAGTTGTCCCCAATAAAGCGGATTTCTCGAGTATAGGACATCTTTGAAGTCACGCGATAGTACGTAATTGTATTTTGACACTTGTGTGTCATTACACAGTGGTAAAAGACCAACGGATGCGATATAAATCTGATAAGAAACGTCAATTCTGATGCACAGATCGTTGTAGAATTCGGCGTTGTCTTTAACACTTTCAGTAAGAGTCTTACCAATGTAATCACTCCAAACCGTGACAATACTTAAAACATTACCATCAGCTGGATAAGCTTCTGGTGGGTCGATTGGTGTTCCAGGTCCGTATTCACTGACTAATTTGATCATAATTGGTAATGCTTTCGATAGCACTCGTTGATCCTCAACGGAACATCGATAGATCCGAGCAATTAAAATTGCTGTTATCGGACGAGCTGAGACTGTTTCAATACCTTGATTGGCGATAAGAATAAAAAGTGGCCAATCTGTTAAGCCCGCTTGATGTGTGCATAATGGATTGGTTTTATTGGTTAGGAATAACATTTGTAAACGTAATGTCACAGTTATAATGTCTTGATCACTGCCTGAGACAGCATTGAAAGTTTTGGAACATGCTGAATCCTGTTGGCATTTTGCTAAATACATGTAAAACCGTTCGTTATGAAATTTAAATTGATTACTGCCAGTATCAGAATCTTTCACGGACATAACACCATCGAGAATAACTCCGTCAATGACTTGTAAATTGGAATCGATTGTTTGAATTGTTAAATAATGTTCAATGATACCAGTGCCTATTAATTCAAAAGAAAATTCAGTATTTAACGAAAATATTAACCAATATCTGTAAAAATGTATGAGCTAACTCATTCAACCTCACCTTGACTCAATCCATAAATATAAGTAGATGTTTGTGCTGTCGATTGTGTTTCATTCATAGCATACTGAATTTGATACTGCAAATCCTGTGCAATATGCTGATTAGACATAGCATTTATAATTCTTAATGATTCGGCGCGTGAGGATGGCACTGTTGTGTTGATTAATTCTGTAGCACAATCAGGCCACGTTCTTGCCGTATGACAATGTATCGATGGTGTACTCATACCTGCACCTCGATATTGAAATAGATACATGATTGGATACGTATTCGGATATGTCAGATGATAATTGTTCATCGAAATTTGTTTCAACATGGATATACCGAATGACTCCATTCCAACTTGAGAGCCACCACCGCCGTTCAACAGCCAATAATTAATGAAATGTTTTCCGGATGAATTTCCTTGTGGTGGTAGTTTTGAAAAGAACAAACGTTTCATATGAATATTCATTACTGGAATAGTTCTTGTTCGATTGTAAAGCGCGCCATCAAAAGTATTTGGATTGAATCCTTTCCATTCTAGTGGACTTGTTAGAAATGTACATTCAGCCTGAATGATCACATTTCCAGAGATAGTCTTGTTCAGTGAATTATCCGTAAATGGGCATGGGTACCAGGCTAATGCAAGTGAGCAGAGATTCAAGAGTAAGAGTAAACGTTCCTGCATCGATCGTTGAAACGAGAACAGTGAAATTCTAGTTGCGTTGTTCGAAAGCTTCACAAAATCAGAGAACCTTCTAAGGTTTTGTTCGAAATCAAATATTTATTGGGGATTAATTGTCAACCCACGACGCAAATATATTTTCAATATTTATCAACAATGAATAATTTTTCGAGCTGACGAATGACAACAACGATCGAAGTTTTCAAATGAATACTAAATAAAAATGATGTGTTTGGCAAAGAACTTCTTTCATATAGACGTGACCTGATCAGCAACGCTCCAGATTAAGTAATCCTGTTAACATTCACTATTATGTTACAAAAATATGTAGATTAACTCGAATCGAGGCTTGAATTTCAATCAAAATTTATCTAATCTACTCCCACTTTTTTGCTCAAAACACAGATGAGATTTCAGTCGAAATCTTTGTCGTCATGGGATCGTCATGTGAGAGAAAATCGAAAAGACGATCTTAAATGTCAAGCAACCTTGACAGCTGAAAATCGTCATTAACGATATATACAATATCTGGTCTTTGCGTAGAATGCCAAAGATTATTAGATTACGAAGGCTTGCAGATACTGACGAAGGTTCTTTACGAACACTTTGATATCTATGTTGTAATAGAATCGAGGTAGATAGTATGTAACAAGCAATAGTCCTTCATCCTCTTATCTCTTGCGAGAACCCTCGCACTTGCTTAATAAATTTCTTTTTTGAGTGAAAATCTACTTCGAGAAACGAAATTTCGTCGATTTCGTCATTACGGATACGTTATTTTGTAGCAATCAGCTGTTATCGATTTTCATTTATCCTTGGCAGATGATGCATCATTATAATTAATTTTCTATCCTTCTCTAATCTGTATATGATGATTGATTGGTTAAAAAAAAAGGAATTAACTAAGAAGGCAGAAACTCCCACAATCTTGTTTAAGAATCGGAATTTTCGAGGAAACTTTTTCCATTGTTTCTCCAAACTTCCGTCAAGGCAAAAAAACTGAATTAATAAATTCTCACTAGAAAATCTTCAGTCGATACTTTAAAAAAAAGAGAGCGCAAGAGAAATACAGACACACTCATTGATGAGAGTAAAAGATAGTACAATTAACACCACCGACGTATGCACATTCAACTAAGAAGAGAAAAGAAGACGTTGTGGTGACTGCTGCAGATCGTCTCGAAAGGATTTTGAATATCCTCGTTGTATCGTTGTCATCCACTGTACACAAATACACACGATCTGACCGACTAGAGAAAGATGGAGGAAAAAGAACAGAAAAAAAAGCCAACTGCCACACAAGACACTCGATCAGTCATCATAGTCGACAAACGAAGCAACAGTGCAGATCAGTGGTGTTAGAGTCAAAGACGAAGAATAAGAAAAAACGAGAGGCAACAAGAGTCTTTTTTTTAACAGTTGAGTTTTTTTTGTAAATTTATATTTATAAATAAGTGTATATAAGCGTTTATATGACCGTACATTTGCTCTTTTCCGCCCATGGATTGTTCTTTTTATCCGGTGGATGAATAAGCGGATCGGCTTGTTCGTTTTCTTGAATGTATCGCTTTAGTCTAAATGAAAAATTCATGTAATCAGTCAAAAGGAAAGGCCAATGCATGAATGAATGAGCAGATCACTCATCTTAAAGAACTAGCAGAGTGGCAGAAGACGAACTTACTCTTGGAGTGTTTTAGATAGAGGAACTTTTTCCACTCGTAATTGATATCGTAGGGAATCAATTTGCTTTTGTAAAGAACTTTTGTCCATGTTCTAATATATCGAAAATTTTTGGTTTTCTTTTGTGGTTGTTTGATAGGTCGATTCTCCGATTACAAACAGTACTCAATGAATAGTACAGAATGATGATGGACAAACACACGGTCTCAAAGCAGAAAAATAAGAGACAGAGAGAAGCAAAGGAAGAGAAAAAGAAAGAGAACAACAACTACAGAAGCAAAGACATAAAAACCATTCTTAATGTGTGTATGTACGTGGTGCAGAGGAACAGGAGAGAGAGAGAGGAAAGAAAAGAGTCGAAGAGCTAGCTGGCAAATTAGATACCAAGCAAGTAAACGCAAACGCACGCGAAAAAATCAGGCAATATGTAGTTTTACTAATATGTGAATATTACAACAGAACGAATAAAGATCGATGAGAGAAGGAAAGAAAGAAAGAAAGAAAGGAAAAAAAGTACGGCAATGCGCTGTTATTACTACATACACATACATTCACTATGAACGAGTGTAGGACGCTTCTTTGCCGTTTCTCTCGTCCTTTAGTATTTCTTATTAAGACTTGCCGTCAAAGATTCTATTATTTTCTCTTTCTCGTTCTCACTTATTCTCGCTCGATGGTATGCTTAGTTCATCATCTCAACTATCTTTCCTTGCCGACGACGTTGCCGTCGGCTTCTTCTAGTTTGGGACGAGAAATAAAGGCAGAAGAAGGAAATGAGAGAACGAATAATATCTAATGGTGCCATACGTGCTCTTACTAAACGCTTTTTTCTATTAGAAATCCATTTGGGATAGACTTAATCAGGCTATAGAAGAAGACGGATGTCAATGCAAAATAAAAAGGAAAGAAGGAGAATAAAAAGAATTACTCACTCCATCAATGTCCTTGATAATGGAAGGCGATCAACTTTGAGCTGCTGTCGAAGATTTTCGACTTGTTTCTGTAAAGTAATATTGTCCATTCAAAAGTGATAATCTTCAAATTGATCAAAGATATATTAAATATGAAACAAAAACGGAAAATATTCAGTTGAAATCAAACGTTGCACACTATTGATTCGTTTATTACATCTAAAACAGAAAGAAAAATATCAAATCAAATTATATTATTGACTTTTTTAATCTGTCACTTCGACTTTGCATGTTCGCGAAAGAACTTTTCCTATCGTCGATATCCGTATATCACTATGAGTTTTGCAGCGATATGATATACATTTCTGACTGTGTAGGGCAGTTAAAAAACAACATTTGTTCCTATCAGTTTTTCGGAGATGGTAATTATATGAAAAAAGAGAAAAACGACATTCATGTGATGTTCGATACTCTTGACTATGCGACACATATGACGATACAAAATACAAAAAACTGTCATAATGTGTTCTGCATCGTAATAGCGAAAAAAACTCGCACGAACGAAGAAGGGAGAAAAAGAGGCGGAAAACGGCTTTTAGTCAACTCGTATAACAGTGCACCGCTATGAGAAAAAGAATGAGAGACAAAGTAATAACGAGACATGAACTAACATTGTTCTATCTTTCTTTCTCTCGTTTCTTTTTGTTCATGTTAGCCGAGAAAGTCAAGAGGATGGTTGAATACATTCTCTTACTTAAATCTCTCTCTGCTTCTCGCACGCGCAATAGTTTTTTTTCTCTCCTCATCGGACGAAGAATAAAAACAAAGATTTTGTTGATTTCTTTTTATTCTTATTTTTTGTGAATAACAAAAACAAATATAATAAGACAAAGAAACAAATGTCTTATTAAAACAATCTAGAAATCTTCTATGTTCGATTTTGCTGATGGATCGTCGTTCGCATTGACATATTGAGTGATACGTTCTTTCGCGCGATTCAAATCAGCTGTTGTACCATATTGTTTTTCGAATTGAAGATATTTCTTAATCAAAGACTTCATTTTCTTTGGCGGAATATTTAATGCAAGTACTCGATCAAAAATTGATCTAAAACGAAGATATTTTCTATAAATAACAAAGTGAGTGTCGTCTTGGGACACTTACCTGGCGACGACTGATGGGTCTGGATCATATTTGATTAACATATCGATGTAGATCGACCAAAGATCAGTACGTTTGGGATAACTTGAGAGTAATTTCTCATAGAGAGTCTTAGCACGTTCTTTATCACCGTATTTGAATTCCAATTGACCAAATTTATTAATCATTTCAACATCTAGAAATCCAAATAGAATGAAAAGAAATTCTTCGTGCAATTGTCTTACGATCAGCTGATGGCAAACTTGAAAATGATTTATCAAGTGTTGCTTTCGCTTGTTCAGTTTGTTGATGTCGAAATAGATACATTATATATTCTAACCATGCCTGTTTATCTTTATTGAATTTCTTGACTAACAATGCAAATGTGGCATTGGCATCCTTTGAACAAAAATCAAATTTCTTGGATTCCTTTTCATACAATTAGTCAAATTTGTCTTTACATTGAGTTGACCATTCTTTTCATAAACATCACAAGCTAACCGTTGATAAACTTTCGAACTATCGCAGTTGCCCAATGCTCTCGATAGGATCGAATTGACTTTTTCTGGTGTGCCATGCCGATTTTCAAGTGCAAGGTATGCAATCCACATATTGAGTTTATCGCGTTCCTCACTGAAATCAAAAGAAATTGTGTTTGAGAATAATCATCTGGTTTCGATGTTCATTACCGATAAAAGATGCTCGCTAGTGCTCGTTCAGCTAAAGTTCGAGCACGGTCAATTTCAGCTTGATCAACGAAGAATTGCATGTATTCCATCCAGAGTTGAGAATCGTTTGGTGCTTGTTTAACAAGTTCTTCGTATTGTTCTTGTGAACGTTGAGAACGGACAGATGTCGAACCATTGGATTCCAGTTTTCGTTCTTTCGTTGCGGATGAAGTTGAGATAGATTCATCCATTTGTTCAGCATCAACATCATCATCCATGGATGAGCGTAAGGCAGATAAATCATCCGTCCAATCAAATTTTAGATCACTACCAAGTGCGCTTGCTGCTGAAGCGTTCTCAACTGTTTTCAATCGTTTTACGTTCGTTTCTTGGCTTTCATCATCGCCTGCAATCGAACCATTCTGAAAAAATTCAAGAAGTTCATCTTCTGTGGGGAAGAAAGAATTATTCTTACCAAACTATTTGTTCTGGACAGACGCGTTCGTTTCGAACGTTTTGAAACTAATTGTTCAATGAATTGATCGGTTAGTTTCATTTGACATTTATTCTTCTCCTTATCCACACTACAGACAAATGCATTCTCTCTCAATTCGCTCAAAGTATCATTCCTTACTTCAGAACAACCGCTTCGACAATCATTCCAACATCTAAATATTCTCTCAAATGTCCATTTAATGTTCGATTGACTACTTTTTCGATCTGTCCCACAATAGATCTTCCTCCGCCCAACAAAACAGTTATTTGCCGATTAGTTAACACATCGATATAACCATGGAGAATATCGCCTGCTGATATTTGTTCAATTGTTTCAATTTCTTCATCAATAACATCCAAATGATTCTGTTCCAATCTATCAGAACAAAAAAAAATGATATTTTAAAACGAAATTTCGAAACAAATCACAAACTTGGATTTTCTTGTGGATAGAATCATTTGTTGTTTATCCGAATTCTCTTCTTTGACAAAGGCACGAATGGATTTATTTCGAAATTTCCACAATTCCTTCTTCATGTTCAATTGTCCGTTGACTAATACTGGTGGTTTGACATTCATCAGATATTTCCAGAAGACAAAATCTTCAAAAACATCGGCAACGTCGGTTGAAACTAAGATTCCTTCGTAACTTTCATTATTTCTTGTCACATCAAAACGAAATTCATTAATTGATTTCATTTCTTTGAATTTTGCATAGACAACACTTGCTTCCGATTGATTCTTTTCAAACATAGATAATGTGTAGTATTCGCCCTTGTTATTCGTGGTTTTCTTCACAATTGTCACGTAACAACATTGTCCTATTGATAATTCTTTAGAAACATGTTCCGGTGGAACATAACCACGTGTATGAAGTGACAAATGTAACCACAATCCTTTGTTTTTCTCATCGATTTTGTCAACGAAACCAACAATTCGATCTCCAACTTGATATTCTATCGTTGATTTCTCACGAAGGGATAATTCATAGACAGGTCGTTGATGTTTTGAATCTTTTTCGATGTTTCTCGTTCCGATAATTCGAGCATTTAAACTTTGATTGACTTGATATAGATCAGTCAAGGATTGAAATTGATCCGGTGATGGATTATCGAAGAGTTCAGTAATATGCAACCGACCACGAGATCCGTCGTTTAATTTGACGTTCAATTGTTTAGGTAAAACATCAACGATCGTCACAGGTACTGTTTGATCGACTTGATAAACTTCAATCGATGACTTTCTAACTGGAGTTGGCAGAATTGTGTAGTTCAATTCTTTGGATGTATAAGGTTTGATCGAAGAAACATCAACTTGTTGATTTCGTTTGTATGAAATTCCGGACGAACTTGAATAGAATGAGTTCAAATCGGAAAATGTTGGCAAATGAACGAGTTGATTGGAATCTGTTGTCAATGCTAAAGCATAGGATTGCAATTGACAAAGAACGGTACACTGTGTAAATGTTTGAGAAGAAAATTTCAATGGCTTTTTCAAATCGAGCGTAAGGATAAATTGTTGAGCAGGAATGCTGAAATCAACGATGTAACCATCGAGAGAATCTCCGATTGAATAATGTGCGTCATAAGGTAATGCAGCTGGAATACCATTTTCTAATCGACCGACGAACCAATCATCCGACCGTTTTTCGATTAAACATCGGGACTTCAGTCCAATCCATTTGCTCGTTTCCTGAAAGAATTTTGATAATGGGCCCGTGCCGTGTAATCTCATATCTTGAATTAATTGATATTTTTCATCGAGATAAGTTCGTAGGACATTCTCCGGTTGAGTCAATTCAGCGATTTCGCCATCGTAGTTTAAGGTTTTGAGAGAAACAATACAACGATGTTTTTCTTCATCCAATTGTAAAATTCGGACGAATACGGTTTGACCAATTCGGTATTTCTTCTCGGCAGTTTCCAAGGAACCATGTAAATCCAGATGTTTATGTGGAGCAAAAGCAACAATTGTATTCGGTAAGTCGATAAAAACGCCATAATCAAAGATATTTTGAACAACACCTGGAACAATCGATCCGACCTGAACAGAAAGTTTGCTATTTCATGTAAAAATAGAACAATCAAGAATATTTACAATGCAATCTTCGAACTTTTGTGGAAGAGTCGATCGTTCGCAGAATTCGACAAGAGTTTTCTTCATGGAGATATTGATGTATGATAAATGAGACCAAAAGATACCTTGACGCTGTTGGGTGGACTTTTTAGATAAATCAACACGCATGAGCAGAGCTTGATGTTCGATGAAATCAGATGTATGATTTTTTGTTAAAGTTACAGTAAGTGCTTTCTTCGGACGATCTTCATCCAGAGCAATGCCAGTTAAATACTCATCATTTTCACATTCACTCACAATCCAGCAGACAACCTGAACGGAAGGAAATGACTTGGTATAGATCATGGACTGTTGCAACTTACTTTGCCAATCGAGAAATCACGTGGTACTGCTGCTAATTTACTACCAAATGTCATTTTCCCCGGAACCTAAACGACAGTTGATTACAACAGGTAATCCGATTCTTTGATAGTTACTTTAAGGCTTAATGTAATTTTCTTTTCTTCAGCGTCAAAGTTCAACACTTTACATGAGACTGTTTGTCCGACGTAAAACATTTGTTGCAATTGACTTTTGATACTCGTACCAACCAATGTTTGCAATTGTCCGATTTCGGTTTTCGGTACTAAACCACACAGACCTCCGAATAGCTTCACTAATAGACCATATTCCTGAATCGATGTGACCACACCAATAGTGAGAAGGTCGGTTTGTAAGTCATTGTAAGAATACACGATTGGTATCTTCGTATTGATTAAGGATGGTTTCATTGTTAAGATTAATCGTTGACGCAATGCATCTACTTGCAGAACCTGGAAAAAATTGTCATCAGATTTCTTTTTCGTTTTCAGAGAATTCACTCACTCGACATTGAACTTTCTTTTTCAACGAAAATTTATTCAATGTTTCTTTGATTGGGATATCAGCATTGTGAAGTGTCGGTACAAACCCATTGATATATTTCGTAAGATTAATCGTCAGTCCACGCTCATTAACCTGACTGATGGTACCCTAAACATTCTGTGTTAATCGAATATTCAACGGAAAAAACGAAGAGACACTTACTTTAACTAAACTACCGATTTGAATATCCGAATAAGTGATAAAGGGTGCTTCAAGAACACTCCTAGAAAAGAATCAATCTTTGATTTTAATTATGATTCTGTCATTACTTTTTTAACGAACAAATTGCTAAGTTACTTGATAAGGATATTCCGATGATTCGACATCTAAATCAAATCACGACAATGCAAAGAATATTATCGAGCCAACGCATGACTTACTGTGTCTTTTGTCCAGCTACAAATGAACCCAACAGTTGTTGGATATCATCATATTTTTCATCGGTTAAGTTTGTCGATGAAACAACTCCATATTGTTTCAACGATGGAAGTCGTATTGCAAGTGATGAGCCAATAGCACGCACGACCGTACATGGTTGAATGGAGCCAATCATCGGCGATGTGGCTTCATTATTTTTGTCAAGAATTGTTGGTGGAAAAGTCAATGCTAAGAGATGCGGTTGCATTGAATAATGAATCAATTTTGTTGTTGGATCAATCGATAGGATTGTTGCTTCAAGCTAAAGAACGATGAGAAATATGTTTTCATTTGATTTGAAAGGAGAATTACTTCTTGTTCGGGGGAAAAGTCAGTTATTGGAGTTTTTAGTGTGTCGAAATCTTGTAAATGAATAAACCCTTTGATTTCACCAAATGATACTTCGAGACCATTGACTCGAGTCTAAACGATTTTAAGCAACGATCGAGAAACAAAAGGACTTTTTCGAAGAATTACTTTCGTCACAGTCACTTTACATTTCAGACCAGGTAAAAGCATATGAAAAGGTAATTTTGTCGGTGATAATGTCTACAACGAACATTTACTTCAATCAAAATTCTGTGAAGGCTGAAACATACTGTTCTAGGTTTCTTATTATCAAGAATTTTCAACGGAATAATACGCGAATTAACTGTTGATGATTCTTTAATTTGAAATAATCCATGAAATCCAAATTTCAATTGATCTAAATCACGCATTGACTTTTTGTCTGAAAACCAAACGAACTCACCTTCATCCAGGTGTTTATCTTTCGCTAGAAAACCTTTTCTTTGCGAAAATCCAATATTAATAAGAAATCCATGATCAGTAGTACTGGATACTACACCAGGTATCATCTTTGAGAAGAAAAAAAGATTAGATTCAAATAAATTCCTTCAATGTCAATTACCATTCCTTTGACAAGTTGATCGGGTGTTAATTGGTCACAGACATCTTTCGGATTAATGGAAAGATGCAAACGTTTCTGTTGATTCGGTTTTTCACTATCACTGGTACTTTCTCCCTCGATTACACGACATATAACATATTGTCCAAGATGAAATAGATTGTCGAAATCGTCGTCTTGATTGTTATTCGATAGTTTCTGTTGAATTAGTTCGGTATATTCATCCGAGATCATTGATAGCGGAATATAGCCGATATTTTGATGTGGAAGACTAACACGTAATTCGTACGGAGTGATTTTTTCGATACAGCCACAGAGGAGCACACCATCGGTAAGATTCTGAAAGAGAAACGAGAGAGCAGAGTGAGAAATTCAAAGAAAAAAGATAACGAACTTGTTTGTGTAGTCGACGGTATAAAGCTTCTTGGCGATCTTCACCGTCAAGAGCTTTTTTCTTCTTTTTCTTACGTTCTTCTTTGAGTTTTTGTGCATCATGTTGTGAGCGTTTTCGTTTAGTCGATGTACTAACAAATAGATCATCACGATCCACACGATTCAATCGAGCTTTCTCAGGTTTCGCTTCAGCTTTCGTCGTTGAGGAACCACGAGGAAAATAGTCAATTTCAGTTGACATGACTGTTTTTATCTGAAATGATATACATATAGAAAGAACATATTTATACACATATAAAAAGACAATTATTTAGTTCTATGTAGACATTTCTTCAAATTTTATATAACGATCCGAGGAACTAAGACGATTCATGTAATTGATGATGTTTTGCACGTGTTTGACACCTTCGGGTTTGATTTTACCCGTTTGAATTTGACGTTGGAATAATTTTTGCAATAAATGAAATAATCGTTCGCGAAGACCGTAAATAAATGCACCACGACAGATCTTATTCAGCTCCTAAAGAGAAATCAATTGTACATGCACTGCCCTATCACATTTTCAATGATATTTACTCGGTGAAATATATTCACTTTGTCCGGTAGTTTAGCCGAAGCACGAACAAACTTGTTGATATCATTCTGAAGAACAAAAGTCACACATTAATGGTTAATAGAAAGCAGAAGAGATGTTTACTTGGAAGTTATTCTGTCGACACCAAATCAGAAATGTTTCTGCATAACTTCGTGCAAAAGGTTTCACTGGCCATGGTTGTTTCTTATAGGCTAATTCACCGTGATTATCAGGAGGGAATACCATAGCGTAGGGTCCAAGACGCTCGAAACTAGAGATCCATGGAATGCAATCACCGGGTTCGAAAACTGACAGGATTAGTCGACTGGATTTTTTCTTCCGTTCGAATTTTTGACAATGAATCGCGCCATACCATTGATCGTTGATAGAAACTAGTGCAGCAGATTTTTCCTTTTTCAGTGATATTAACAAAAGATAGTAGAGATTATTTGTTGTGTTCAACTTCTTTTGATGTGATACAGAAGGACTTGATGGGGTTGTAGACGCAGTTGTTGCTCCTACGGCTGATTTCTTTGTGGCAAACATAGGTACTGCTGGCTGTGGTCGAGTATATCGTTGAATTGGTAGCAGTATATGTTTTGATGTTGCCATTGCGCTACGAATCGAGGATAGTTCAATAAAACCATTGACAGTCAATGTATTTGAAGGCTGGAGTAATTCACCGGTTGTTTGTCTAAAATGTAAATTTTAGAGATATAGATTTGAGGATATGTGACGTACAGAATTGCGGGTTTGATGATAGGATAAACCGCAAGTTGAGATTCGTAATGGCCACATTTAAGTACAGAAACAAATATATCTGTTAGATCAGCTTTGATGTTTGTAATCATGTCTTTGATCATATCTTGTGTAACTGTTGAATTGTTTTCTTTTTCTCGTTTTAGTAACCAATAGATCTTGGAAAAAGAACACTGTGCTTGAGTTGTTAGATCTTCTAACCGTGCACGATCGCTATTCGATGGTTTTCGAATGCAGACAAATGAAACATCGGTGTGCGAGTTCGATGAAGATACTTTGTTGTGTTCATCGGCCACTGCTGGTTTTCGTAAATCCACATCCATTTGAATGTTGGATTGTGTGAAATTTTTATTCAACAGCTCATCATCGCGATGTGAACTATCTGTAAAGACCAGAATCTGAAAGATGGTGTTTGAGGCGAAAGAAACGGACAACTATGAAACCTACTTTTTGTGATCGTTGAGCACCGAATGCGGTAGTTAAATATTTTTTCGAAAACTCAATCGCTGATCTTAATGACAAATCACCAAAAATTGGTACTTTTTGAACAGATTTGATGATATCATCGGAATTCTTTGTAAAATTTTGTACAATCTTGATTGTATCTTCACCCGCAAAGAGTACCTGTCGGGAAAATGGGAATACAGCATGATATGCGATGAGATTAACAGAAGATGACTTACCACACTCATGGTATCAAGTTTTGTTGGAGTAGTAACATTGGTCATTAATGCTTCGATTATTTTCGCAATTAAACTACGTTTTTCGATGTTCATCGTTGTGGCCATGTTATCACCTTGTTTGATCGTCAGTGAGAAACGTTCAGCCATACCCAACGAACAGTCAATTAAAAGTACCGTTGGCATTTTTTGATAAATCTATCGAAACAAATCCTTTTCACTTTTTAAAAATCATTTAAACCATTTCATCTCTTTCTATGCCCATCATCCTATTGGTCGAAAGAAAGTGTTTCAATTCAACCAGTAGAAGAATGTCCTCGTTACTCCACATTACCAAAAGAGGTCTCTAACAAACACCGGATAATGTATTATACTTCTTCACTGGAATAATTTAAGTGAATAAAGGCCGTTGAGTATAGGGCGAACAAAATTCATCCAGATTGTATGTCCGACTAAAACAATCGTTTGTCATGTTCCTAAATATCCTTTGATAAATAGACGAGCTATTAACGGAACGGTTAATTCATCACTCAGTGTCTTACTTTATGTTCTTATTTTCCTTTTGAGCACATCTGGATATTGATCTACAGCTGAAATGAAGACAAAACCAGAGTAAAAGAAAGATCAACATCTCAAGTTCCAATCTATGAAATAGTTTTTTCCTTGAGAGAAGAATATGAAATTTCACTCATGTTCGGCGCACTACTTATTGTTAGTTGATCACTTTTCTTACAGTGTTTTGACCTTTTTATTCAACGATGGATCGCTTGAGTACTCAATTTGATATGAGATTTGTCTTTATTATTCTCCTTGTCACCGTCATCATATCAATATTTCTCTCGATTTTCATTATTACACTGATTTTCTTGAGTAAAGCTATTTCTACACCGGCAAATCTTCTCGTATGTAATACATGTATAGCTACAATTCTTCATCTGATCATGTCAACAATTAGCATCTCTTGTTTCTATACGGAAATCGCACTAACTGACTGGTGGTGTCGAATTATAGCATATTTTTATTACACTTGTCTTACAATGCTCTCCCATTCCTATGCTATTCAAGGTATGTCTCGTTTACTTTTCATTGTCTTTCACACTCATCGAAGATTATTTAATCACAAATGTCATCTTATATTTATTCTCAGTCATATTATCATTTCTTTTCTAATCACGCTTCCAATACTCCTTACTCACGATATTCAATTCCGTCCATTACATATCTGTCTTATTCCCGCTGTCAATATTCTTCATGTGAGTTATTTCTTTGTCACTACATACTTTACTCCATTTTTAATTGTGATTATCATTTATGGTATTATTTACCACCGAGTTATTCAATCATCGATTGCTGTTCGACAGTCAACTCATCCGAGTAAACGAGATCTGGATTTAATTCGAAATATTCTCATTCTTTTAATCATATTTCTTATGGCTGGTGTTCCGAGTATAATCTACATCATTCTATCAGCAAGAAACACGAAATTATCGTATGCTTTCTATATGTTTACCATCGTTGCAACATCAATCGCGACCCTGATGGAAAAAGTTTGTTTACTCTTTCTAAACAAAGAGATTTGGCGAGAACTGAAGAAGATGTCGAACAAATTGCATCCCGCACAAGCAATAATGCACCACAATACTCGTTCAGTACTGACCACCAGACTCAATAATCGATCTGTCAGTAACATCGTAGAAGACCAACTATGAATCCATTATTGTGAATTACCACAATGTTTTTGTTATCATTTTTTATTATCTTTCCTTTCTTGAATATGTATGAATAAGGCGCAATGTATCATAGTATTGCTGCTAAACACACACACACACACACACATCTTGAGCGTTTTCCGAAGTATAAAGAAATGAATGAGTAAGAAAAAAAGAGTAAATTAATGATAGACAAGACAAAAAAAGCACACAGAAAAAGTTCTTCGATAAAATCTTCAAAAGATGGGAGTGAATACAATACATATTATTAGTACGGATTAGAACAAATATGAGAATCATTCGAAATATTTGACGATTATACAGATAAGAAGAAATAGAAGTCATCCAACAATATCTGACAGGAATAAGGTTATGATGCAAAGACAAACAACAACAATAACAACAACAGCTATTTATCTGAAGACAAAACGAACAAGAAATATTAAAATGATCAAGGTTTTTATGTATGTATGGCAGGTGTACGTTGAGTTGGTGAGGCTGGATTGTTATTTGTACCATTGTAATAATGAATATCATTGATGATGGGTGCTTGACGAACTTTAACTGAAATCAATTTCGTTGGATGTGAATTTGATGTTTTACCATTTGGAGAAACAGGTGAAAATGAATTCTGATGATCTTTTTGCATGGTTACATCGGTCGATACTAAAAAAAAGGGAGTCGTCGAAATTAGATAATCAGAAAAGAATACAATGATTTACTTCGCAATGGAGTCGATTGAAATGAAGGTAGATCACGATCAACAGGTTTCTGAATTTCATCACTAATGAATGGCAAAAAGATGAAGAATAGAGAAACTTGAGTGAATCTAAAGGGAATTTTGTTACTTTGATGGGTGATTATGATTATTTGTTATGTTCATTGATGTTATTCCTGAACTTAAATCAATCGCCGAATCAGAATTCGTACTAAATCCACTGTTATTTCCGATGTTGCCATTTTGATATGATTTTCCAATGGCATTGTTCGTTTTGCCGTTAACAAATTCTTCATGTCCGTTGGACATTTTATTTTGATTCACATTCTATTGAATAAAAATGCAAGTTTCATTCGAGAAGTACGATTGGCATGAAATTTACCTGGTGATTTCGTTGTGAGGAAGGTGACATCGATGATTTCGATGGTGTTTCTTGGTGTTTCTCACTTACTGTTGTTATTGTTGATTCGTCTGCATGTTCAGATAGTTTCGAAGGTGTTCTACAATAAAATCAGCCTATGAATACGATTTATTTCTTGTCGTATACATACAATAGGAGGGCATCGTTTCCGTTGGTTAAATTTCGTTGTGGACTTGTTTGTCGTACTGCTTTGTCTAATTCCGATCTCTGTATTGTTTTTCGTTGAAGTTTATCGTATGTGATTGACATCGAATAAGGTAAAATAGTTTGCGGTGAAAACGTCACTTGAACTAATTCCGATGATGATTGTAAATAAAGTGCATGTGCGAATGGAGAAAATTGAACAGTTGACAAAGCATTTATATCACTTGCTTTGACACAACTGAATAGAATCTGACGACGAAGATTTGGTAGAGTGTAAATACTTATTTGACCCATATTATCCAAACATACAAGACACGATTCCGAATGAGATTCGCTCACGTTATCTAGATGAGACAGAAGAATTTGATAGGACGACCGTACTGAATAGATTTACCTGATTTGAGTGCAAATTGATTGATGTTTACTTTGCGTACACGAGTACCTTCGACCGCAGTTAGTTTAAATTTGCAGTAAGGTTTTAAATTTGGTAAAGTGAAAACCTTTTACAAAGAAGAATGAATATGGGAGATTTGCTATGAAGAAAACTAAAGTACTTTGAATTGTTCTTCGGAACAAATAAGAACTTTGTGCGAAGTGATCGCTGTTGATAAAGTTGGAGAGGTGTTTTCCGAGTTCGTCGCTGTTGCAACAGGAACATTTGATATTGCAGATGTCGACTCCATGGTTGGAATACTTGAACCATGTCCAATCGATTGATTTGCATTATCAAGTACAACTATACTCAAGACAGGTGCTTTATGCTTCAATCGAATTTCCTTTGCTAAGACACAAAAAAAACAAGAACTGAACTGAACGTAATTCGAAATCGACTAACCCATTGTACATGTATTCGTCTGATCTGTAGCAATAGCCGCACCATTTGTTGCTTGAGGTTCAAAGCCAGTTATCGAATAAACATACACATGACCGCCATTAGTTCCAGCCCAAACTGATCGTGTTCGCTCATTCACTATTGATCAAATCTTTCGATTTTAGTTGAGTATAATCACAAAACAACTTACCACTATTGAGATATGTCTTAGCAAAGTAAAGACATCGAACCATACTAGCAACTTGATCATCAACAGGTTTAAATTCTCGAAATTCGACTTGTCGTTCTACAGGTACGCGTATAACTTCTTCTAAATGCATGTTTGCTTGTGAGAGCGGATTGTTTTCGTCGGATCGCTTGGTTGCTGGTAACATTGTTGCTTTCCTTATGGTTCGACCTTTTCGTAAACGACGAAATGATTCTCGTAGTGACTTTTTCAATGAACGTCCACGAATTAATGTCGATTCACCCGTAGATGATGGAACAGGTTGATTACTGGCCAATGCATTTGGGTCAAGTGTGCATTTGGCCGTGAGAATTCGATTTTGTTTGTAATTAAATATCGTAAAACCATGTGCAGTACCAACAGCATAACTAAAAATCAAACAGATTGTTTTTCGATATCAAGATGATACGATGAGCAACATACGTTTGAATATCTGAACATAATGCTAAAGCTGAGATGGCTGCTGGTGGATAAAGTTGAACTAATGATGTTAGAACAAGACCAGATGGTATAAATGCTGATTTCGTCTTCATCTCTTCATGGCCTTTCCAGACAAAACTTTCACAACCATCAAGTAAATTGACTGTTGTTGTCTATAATCAAAAACAAATTAATAAAATATCATCAGAGAATTTCAAAAGCACCTACAGCGATAGTCACATCAGTGGATTCAGGAGAAAATTCAAACGTAAGAACTTGTCCAGCTGTTCCTGCGACAATCAATATATCTGTATTTGTACACAATGATAGTTTTTGTATTGCCAAACGTGGATCGTCACAGTATGGATCATATAAACCCGTCTAAAGAGAAAGTATCCGAATAAAAATGTTCTTAGCAAGCTCGTTGGGAACACCAACTTTTCGAAATGGTGGCCAAGTCTCTTCATCTGTCTCATCAATTGGTGCTTGTTCAATTTGAAAATAATCACTTGTTTTTAGTTTATAGATTAATGGCATTGAAATATTTGTTATATCCCAAAATTGAACTGAACCATCTTCATGGCTACAAGATACGCGATATCTTTGAAAAATCTTCCGACGCAATTCTCTTACCCGGTCAGCAATAAATGCCGCTGTTCTACATCATCGCTCGAAGTATTTGCATTGTACTTGATATCTCCTCCGGTGATCGGCCATTTCTACCAAAGAAATTAATAGAAATAACATTCGAAAGGCACAATTCTTCTCAACAAACTCGATCAGAATAATCGTCGAATTGTATTGTTGCATAATTAACAAGCTTCTTATAAAATTCAGGATTAACATTACATACTAATGTCGTACAAATGACAGGAGATGCATGAATACTATTCAAATATGGTAGATGATACGATGGCCAACTATCCGTAACAAGATCGATAACAACGATTTCTTCATGTAATAATATAACCAATGATTGAGGATCATCACGAGCTGCAAAAAAAGAAAGTTTTCATTTGAATTTTATGAATACGAATACACGCACTTCCATCGTTTGATGTTTTATCGATAGTGAAAAAGTCAATCACTGCTGTTGTAAAATCGAATGTGACATGTCGTGTTCGGTCATTATTATGATCATGTTCATTTTCGGATAAACAACTAACGCTGTGTTTATTTGAATAACTTGAGCGAGGTAAGCCACCGGCAAATATTATTAAAGGATCACCACTTCAAATGAAACGAATATTTGGATAAATAGAACACTAATCGGACGGATGTGATGCATTCAACTTACTTTCGCATGATTTTCACGCAAATTTTTGTCATTGGCGTACATGGATAAGGTCCGTAAGGAATCTTTTCTGTTTCAACTATATTCAACTGTTGCTTGGCGTCCCATAATGCATAACTGCCGTTGTTGTGACATGTGACAAAATTCATTCCTTTATTATACCAACTAACGGATTCAACTTCCTTTAGAAAACAAAGAAAAACGATGTATTTTTATCTATTTGTATTGAGTAAGAATAAACAACAAACTTGTTTGTATATGTAAGTACGATCATGACTATTCGATGGCAAATCCCAATGTACGATCAAAGTATTCTTATATCCGATTAATATTTTATCCTCGTTGATTGGATGCTGCACAATAGACTGGACAGGGCCTGGGTGAATAACTCTACCACTGCAGTATTCAACGATTCTAAAGTAAAGGAATGAGTTCTTTGATCGTTGGCTAACGTATTAAAATTAAGTTGAAGGTAATTCTCAGGAGATGTATTCATCGAGGGAAACATTCTTTCCGTCACTTACGTTTTTTCAATAACATCAGTTGGAATGATTGGATTAACATTTAATGAGAAATTTTCGATATTAAACAAATAAATGTTTCCATCATTGAGACCAATCAAGAGGTTTAAATGGTTTCGCAATAAACAAATTGTTTGTGTATTTTTCAAAATGGCTGAATCATCGTCACTTGATGTGCAGATACGATCAACCCGTACGGTGTTATGTGACAAAGAATCAGTCTGTGGTGGCATGTGATTGTTAATTTCTAGTAAATGTAAATAACCGTCGACGGTTAGAATAAGAAGTCGAGCGACACCGTCGAAAAAGATTAATTTTCGAATCGATGATGACGGAGCGAGCTCAAGACTGTAAGATAATTGAAAACCTGGTTGGCCATAACTATTCAAAAAAGAGAATGATTTTCAGAAGGGAAAATGTGGATCTTACATTCGTATTTCGCCCGAATGTGTTCCAATGGCAATCAATTTCAATTGTGAATCGTATGCAAGTGCTGATGGACGCGATGGAAAGCCTCGATCGCAAATCTACAAGAAATTTCAGGTCAATCTAGCAAGAAAAACTATTACAAATCTTACTTTATTTAATCCAAATAATTCTTTTTGAAGACGTCGACGGGCTTCATTATCCTCGGGCTGTTTACGTCCGAGCTTGAATTTGAACATTATATGTTTTGATTATGTCGTAGGTATAGGTCAATAAAATCGTAAATATCTACAATGAATGACTCATGTTACAAGAAAAACACAACGTTTGCTGATTTCCGTTCTTTTCCTCGTATTTCTATTGGAAATGAAATATGACTCAGGCCGATAATCAAAGTTAACTTAGCTCAATAGACGATGTGAACTGAACAGATGTGAAACTAATCATATTAATTGAATGTAACAGAAGAAAAAGGTGGTGGCATCGATGATTGCACGACATACATCACGAAAAGTAGGCCAACAATAAAAGTAGTCGTCGCTCCAATTAATGTCATTGACAAAAAGACTGACGGCAATGACGAACAGTCCTTCTACATGAATGTTCTTCTCTCTTCTCGTGTACGTTGTTCCATCTATCCCTCATCGACCAATAGCCATGACATGAATATACAGCGAGCAACATTGAACCGGTCAAACGGTCATTCTCTCTGTTTCTCTCTCTTTTCCTTTCTTCCTCTTCCTCCCTTTCGATGAACTATTCGAAAGACAGACAAGCGTTAAGAATGGCGAGTTGAATGAAATGAAATAAAAAAAAAGAAAACGATAGAGAGAGGGAAAGAAACTGACGCGTGCCATGTTCTATTAGCTATGGAAAGAGAAGAACAAGTCTAAGAAGATGATGTGTCATCATTTTACCTGACTAATCGTCAATGACTAGAAGTGTGAATGTGTATAATGACTAATAGAAGGTCTTGGACAAAAAAGTGATTAGCTCTTTTTTTTGTTTTGAAGACGTGACGTACACGTTCATTTATTGTTATAAGAATGAGATATCTGTTACAGACAGACTAGTAACATATATCTTATCCGATCAAACTATCAATAGACGTTAATGGAAAACAAAGAAGATGTATCTTTATAATCGATAAAGAGAACATAGACATTGAATAAAAGCAAACATTCTGATTAGACTAAATGTGCAATATGTTAAAAGGGCACAACATTGTCTTCTAATCTCGGATAAACTAAAGATTGCCAACGGAAACACGAGAGAGAGACATTGAAATACAAAGAAAGATGAAAAATGTGAAATATGATATGTGCTACATTCACTTCTTGTAGCAGTTTAGTAATGAGACAGACAGATTATATCAATCCTATTTGGTATTGTGATGCATTGCGATCGCATTTATATTCCTACGTGGGACTAAACGATTCGAGAAGAAAAAACGGATCTGCTGTTTAACTGTTCGATTAAAAAACATGAACGTGTATTAAAAGTGACTACATCGTTCAGTTCAATTTGAAGAATAGACACTTATTTAAACTTAATAATCACAATTTTAAGAGGATCTTCAATATACTTTGAAGAAAATGGAACGATTGGTTAATTATGTTGGTCGCATTTTTGGACAATGGATTGACTTCCTCATCTATCTACAGAATACCAGTAGAAAAAGATATAAAACATGAAATAAGACTTTGTCTGTATTTAGAATGATAATAAAAGAAAAGAACTAAGTAACAACACAAGAATGAAACTCTCGGCTAGATTGTTCTGTAATGTGTGTGTTTTCCATCATTTTGCATGCGCGCGTTTATTCTGTATTGCGTCTAGAAGAAGGAAAATGCATTTTCGATCAAATGAAATCATGTGGAATAGAAATGAAAACGTACAATTTTGGGGCTAAACTCCAATCAGGTTGAACTTCTTTAGCTTTGAATTCAACGCCATCTTTGGTGACGATGCAAACACGATACTAAGACGAGAAAAATCAGATAATCCAAGGGAAAAGTGTGTCTGTCTTACGCGAGCAAATGCACGGCAATCACGATAGAACAATTGTTTAATAATGCGATCCATTAATTGTTCAGCTTGATCTTTATTTAATTGATTGGCATTTTCGAGAATTGTTCGAATCCAACCCTAAGAGTAAATTAACCTTTAAACGAATCGTGTCCGTAAATTCATAAACATACTTGGGCTAAATGATTTGCAATACCAGTCATAATTAAGAATTCTTTGTAGGCCGAGCCCTTGTCATTCACACGTCCAAGAAATCTACAAAGAAAAGCCCGTACATCATGGGCAAAATTTTTTATTCAGTGTTTTCATTTTACGGTTCATTATTTTCTAGACCAGCTACGACCACACTTGTCAACAATGGATTGAATTTTGTTCGTCGATGATACATCAATCGTGTACACCACGAATAGAGAGCCAACGGTGTCATTTCACCACCATCTTCTTGAACGATATCTTCTTCACTAGATAATGATTAAACATGATCAAACATTAGCTCGAACTGGTCAACTTACACTTTAGAATCAATGGCTTCTTTGATATAGTCAGCATCTGATAGATCACCACCGAGTGCCAAAACTGTTTTGTCATTAACTTGGTGAATACGTGGTAAATTACGATATTTAGCCAGAGAACCATACGAGCCGAGTACATCAGCAGCTAAAATAACGCCACCATTGAAAACGAAGGCGGCAACAGATGAACCAGTTACGATTGGCGTACTAGAGAAGGTGAGAGAATGGAGGTTGTAGGCTAAAGAAGTGTTTTACGTACACAGTTCGTGTTCGAAGATTTCGTTCAGCTTCGGTTTCTAATGGATCAATTGTATAATTCCGGCTTGTATTTCCGATGTTGAAATCATCTTTATCGTTGATTGTATCGTAGTGTGCTTCGAATGGATTGAATGTACTCATCATTTTTCGAGTTTTTTCTCTGGGAATTTAATCTAGAAAGAGAAAAAGAAAATCGAAGAACAATAAATAAATAATCAAATCAGAAAGAACCAAATAAGACACCGGCAGATAAACAACTATATTTATATATGCATAAAGAAAGAAGATGAAAGACGAAAAATAGATCAAGTTAATACTTCGAAGAGAACATTCAGTATCCATACGAGAATATTCCACAGTAAATGTTGCTCATCATCTCTGCTTTCACTAGTAACTCGTGAAGTCTTTTGATTCTTTTGTGTTGTATCTTGATCTGCTGTAGTTGGGTCATCGTGTAGATCATCCAGTGGAATTGTCGCGTCGACTAATTCAACAAGTAAACGATAATGACTTACTTGATATTGAGAATAGCCGTAGATGCCAATGTAAATGGGTCGTTTTACGTAGGGATCGATCAGTATCTCATCTATGCCACACGTGCATGAACTAAAATCGTAATTATCATACGATACATGTTTATGGCTAGTTGAAATATATAGATCGGCATCGCCACGTAACGATATCAGAATAAATCGATAAGTCCCACGATTTTTAAATGTAAAATAAGTAAAATTCGATGGATGAATCCGATCATCGTGCATTGAGATATAAGTCCGATTGGGTGCATAAATATTCGCTAATTCAGCTTGTTCGTGTTGATATGAAGCCCGGTCATATTTTGATTCGCTGGTATATTGGTCATCGTCATCTTTCGTTTCTGTGCGCCTCTGATCATCTTCACTAAATATAATGGAATAAATGGATGATTGTTTATGTCCATAGGAAGATGAGAATAGAAACGAAACGATCAGAAGAAGAACGAACGATCGATAGAAGCAGGCGATCATTGCCTGACTAGAAACATCGGAGTGTTTTGAAATAATCAAATGATTAACAATGGACTAAATAGAAAGTAGCGAAATTAAAACAAAACAAACTCCGTTTTTAACCTTTCTTTGCAAAACGCATTTCAGCAAATGATTGGTTTGTTCAAACAACGTTCTGCAGATGTCGGTAGTAAATTTCAAATTGTGATTGGTAAAGTAAAAACGGTTAGTCAATTGTATTGTTGCTGTATGTATGTATGTCCATTATTATCGGCTGTTCGTTCGTTTCGTTTTCCTCTCTTTCTATATGTAACGAACAAGACAACCGTCGATTATGCCAGTTGAATTACAAACATCAGTAATAGTCGAATTTTGCTTGAATAAGCAACTAGTATCTCGTTCTACTTTAGTCAATGCAGAATAAACTTCCATTACAAGGTGTGGTCATTTTTGTATCTCAACAGCTAGTCACAAATAGAATGGCATTACATGAACAATGTACAGAACTCGGTGGAAAATTTGTTTGGATGTTCGATGTACCTTTTACACATTATATTTGCAAAGTTAGTTTGTTCGTCATTTGTTGAATTTGTTTGCAGTTGTCATTTACTATTTAGGGAAAATTGAGTAAGAGAGGAAAAGAATATAAAAAAGTTGAAGAGTATCGAGCAGCATGTGTACATCCAGCATGGCTCAAAGCTTGCCAGACGTTTGGACAACGTGTAGCTGAAAAGTTATATGCTTCTACCTATAATCCAAATAAATCATTGGTATGTTCCGACGTACTTGACCCAATCTTCTCGAAACCTATAGCCTATCGTAGAATTTTATTTCCGCTGGCGATGAAGATGACGACGATGACGACGAAGAGAATAATGTACCTTCATTAACAACAAAAGCAACCACAGTAAGGCCAATGAAGGCCCTCAAACCTGTTCAAACACTTCGCAGTCTACCGACTATGAATAAAAAACAAACTCATCATCTTGCCACACATGTTGCGGAATCTCAAGTATCGTCACCAAAAGTGATACCAACATCGATGCCACCACCACCATCATCATCATTATCACAAAATACAAGTGAAGCCGAAACAATGCTTAATGATCTCGAGTCGTCATTAGCACAATTTCTCAACAACAACACATCCATATCACGTGCATCAATAGTCGACGATGAACAAACTAAGAAATCACTTCCAGTTATTCGATCGATAAGTAATATGAAGAATGATCATAATAATAATATTGATACAGATATCGAACCATCGATGCGTGTCGAATGGCTCGATGATGCAATGCAAGCTGAACGTCAGAAGATGATTGACGAAGATGAACACAATGCTAGCAGTCAACAGAAACAACTACGAAGTGGTGAAGCAAAGACCGGGAAGAAGCGGCCATTAATCGACTCCAATTTTGATCAATCTTTCAATGCCAAAAAATGTCGAACTTAATTCATTTTAATTCTTATTGTATAAAGATGTTCAATGTCAGATTCAGAAATATTTTATATATGTATATTGTTTGTTTTATTAATGGAGAAATGACTGGTTCATAATAGATTTAGATACATAAAAACTAAATTGGAGATACACGTAAATTAATGACTCATTGAAAGACTATGAAATAGATTCTGTTTCCATCCTCATTATATTTGTAGAAGATAAATCCAATATGAACAACTCAGATTGACTTTTGATGTTATCGTTTGTCTGTAGAAAAATTGAACGGTTTCTATTCATAATCGTCTACTTCATATTGATAGTCGCGTGTATGTAAGTTATTAATTTTATTTTCAAACAACAAGCACAAAATTCTTCTTCAAATATAGGACACATTATTATTTATATGGGTATAAAGATGATTTTGATTTAAATCTAAAATGACGACAAAATAGAAATCACTGAACGAGTCAGAACAATGATTACTTGTTTGATTATACGGGAGATTTGAAATGTACTGACTGATGTCAGATGATGAATGACGATAATGTTGAAAATCAGGATTTATTGACATAGTGGATGGATTTGGAATTGTTGCTGGTAACTCATACCTACCGACAACTTCATGATATATATCTCTATTTCGTTCGTAAGCATCGTCAATGGTGTTTATATTTCGTGCTCGATTGATATCTTCTGGACGAATTGTTTCGTATTCTTGATCGTCGAACTCTAGTAAAAACTTTCATCAAAATCATGCTAATTAGAAAAAAAGCGAAGTCTACCAAAAGAATCAGTTTCAGAAAAGTATTCAATCTCATCGGAGGTTGACACATCCGATAGATTATCTGCAGTTGTTGGCAGAGTCGTAGCTGCACGATTTGAACGGCGCGATGGTTGAAATGTCGTTGGAAATGATTCCTGTTCTAGACTGATTTGCGATTGGTTTTTATATGGTTCCACTATTCGGTAAGGTACATAATCAATCACCTCGAACAATCTCTTTTTCTGTGTACTTTCGTCCAAGTATTCCACGTAACGTCGTTCAGTTCGTTGTTTGACTCTCGCAACAAATTGTTTTCCATTTCGTTCAATTATGGGATTTTTTGGTTGAGCACAAGAGGTACAATCATTGCCAATCGTATTCTGATCATATTCATCGGTGACTGAGCGAGAAATGATAGCAGTGTTATTGTTTGTTGTACGGTCACTCGGTGGATCGTTATCCATGTGTTTTGGTGGAATTTGATTGAGGAAAATATAGGATAGATCCGGCTGTAAAAGTCACCAAAATGTTAAGTATATAAAAAAAAAAGAATAATATTCTTACATATAGTGAGCTTGTATTCACAAAAGAATCAACACCCCATGAAAGCTCAATTTCATCTTCACGCTGGCCCGCCGGTTTCGAAATTAGTTCAGGAATAGGATTCTATTAAATACAAGAGATATAGTCACGTAATTTTGCGCTATTGTATGACAATATACAGAAACACAAAAATTGTAGGAAATACAAGAAACCGATTCTTACTGGTATGGGGCCGATTGACGTTTCGCTTTGGGTAGCCTGCAATAAGTCAAAACGTGGTATTGTAATTGATGCTATTGGCTGTTGGGCAAGTACACGATTAAAATCTTTCTTCGAACTATTATTTAGATAAACAAAAATATAGAGAAGCAACTAACCTTGATCATCAAGTGTACATTCATTGAAACAACAATAAATTACTCACCTTAATGTCGTACCCATTCGTGATTGATCTACTATCTCATGGTAACTCTGAGAAGAAAGAACGCTAAACAACCCGGTAAACCATCGTATCCTTTAGATCAATGTCTCATTGTGTTTCGTTTCGCTCTAATGATTGTTTGTTCCTAACCATCTTGTGTTAACGCAGACCTGATATTGGTTAACTTTCATTCTTGTCTTTCTATTATATCAACGATACGAATAAAACGAAAAGAAGAGCAGCGAGAAAATAATAATAATAAAAAGATGAAGAGAAAACAAAGCAAAGCGACAAGGTTAGACAAACACGCATTCACATGAAAAGAAAGATATGAATATGAAACTATACAAAATAATCAGAGTTATAAATCTTCAATACTGTAGTACGTTAAAAAGTTGTTAGGCTAGCTGACATTGAAGTGCCTTGGGCATGTGTTTCATTGTCTAGTTTGTGAGAGAAATAAGTGCTTGGCAAGAAATATAGAAGTCTATATGCTCAAGAGATAATTGTTCAATAAAAATTTCACAATTATGAGTTGATCAGGATCGGTTAACTTAAAACATAAAGTTTCCTAACGATTGATCAATCATCTTAAAGTTTGAGGTCGTTCGATACACATATAGCAGATTTTGCAAATTTTATACGTTAACCAATATGTCCGAAAACGGCGAATGTCAAAATCGTTATAGTAGTTGCACCTCGATTTTATTTAAAATCTGCGGCTCTCCCTTTGACCAAGAGTGAGCATGCTAGTTTGTAAAACATCTGAACTACATACAAAAAGAATTAAATATGTTTTCTGCTTTTGTGATGAATACAAAAATCGAACCTAACTCTCATCCAGTCGTATCATGAAAATAAAACAGATATGGTTTTCAACAATGTTGTTGAGTTTTCATTTTTTTTGTGATTGGCCTTGTTTCATACGATAATCTCGGATGAGATCACTTTACGCTGGTAAATGTATTTGTGCCGCTTGTTACAACTGTCTCTAAACTGAAAAAGCATACTACTTTCGTAGCTCGACAAGCACCTGTTGCGACTGGTCCTGTCATACCTAAAGGGATTAATAATTGATTCCATTGTATACGTGAATCGATACATAGCGACCATGCCTCCAGTGGCTAAGCAAGCGATGTAGGCAACTTCACATCCAAGCGTTGATCATCAGGAAGTACCAGTAAATTTGTCAGACAAGAAACTTACACCACTGTGGGTCGGCAGTAAAATTAAGACCAGGCGAGTAAATTTCATAATAGAATTATTTCTCGAAAAGATTTGAAATATCTAAATCGCTCGAATTTATAGAAAAGTAATAATGGTTCATGTTCACACAACTCGAGACGAGATACACTTATATAGGAAATTGTTGCCAAATGTGGATGAGACCGTAGATGTTTGTTTGTCTCTTCTCCACTCCATCTAAATCGATTTAGTTATGTTCTTCGATTGGACCAAATTAGAACTTTTACCATAAATATCGTCGATAAGAATGTTTTACACAGAAAGACTCTCGAAGCGCTTTTTTTTCGATAAATCTTAATTTGTTATTGCATTACTCAACTAAATTTTGTCCGATTGATCTGAGCGTGTTTTTTAAATCGCGGACGACTACAGCTTTTTATGCTCTTTTTTTCTGCCTGGCACGAAACTTCTCGTGAAAGCCTTACATTCTTCTATTCTATTTTATATTTCAAAAGCGACGTTATATACATGTTGATGACATTTCATCGTGGAAAACCGAAAATAGCTTATAGTGTTAGGGTTTGCCATTGGTGTCTGATTATAATATGAAAAACTGTGCTTCGTATTTGTTTTCGAAAGTATATGTTAGTTTCATAGAATAGAAGCGTTTTGTCATTTTTTTTCTGCTCTTATTGTTATTAACAAACGAAACAATTCATTTTATTTTTGACTCAGATTAGCAAACACGTTGAATGAAAATTAATATACGATAAAGGAAAATATGCATGATAATCTTTCAAGCCAACAGTTTTTGTTTCTCGTATATAATTGTTTTACAATAACACAATGGCTCCGTGTTGAATCTCTTGTAAAATGTTTTGTAACAATTCTTAAATGCTCATATCGAATATTTAATTCACCAACACGAGTTAGGTGGGCTTTGACTTTATTTAGGAACCGTTCGATATAAGTAATATCGCAGTTCTTCCAATCTCAAGTGAAGTAAGATGATGCTATTGAACGATTTCATTCGACTGAATACTATATTATCAGATGATTTCTCCACGTTATTTGACTGCGGAGTAATATTGCCTATTCAAAACGTTTTTTTAGCGATGGGAAAACTTTAGCTATTCTAAGAAAAAAACCATGTACAAATGAAGTCCAGTGATCTATATGTAGCTCAATAAGGTAATTGAACACGGTATTTGTAAATAATAGACCAAATTGTACATATACAAATCTTGCGAGAAGACAGGATCGTATGATGTGCATCATTTCTACAGAACAACAAAGTGAAGAAACCATGAATTTAGTATTTAATTAGCATCGCTAATCATTCGAAGAGTATAAGTCGACTTTTATCTTATTGTTACTAGTGAAATCAAATCGAGGAAAATAATTTTAGTAAGAGAGACTGAATTCGCATCAGTTAAGCAATAAAATTGATTGTCAGGGAAATCATATGGGCAATGTATATCTCAACAAAAGAAAACATTTATTTTGTTCATATTCATAATACAAATATCATTTCAAAGGAAAACCGATGCTGAAGAACTAGAACGATGTAGCTCCATGCGTTTCATAACTTATTGCACAAAGCATAGAGTAAAATCCTAGGAAACAATATAACATGTAGCATGCTTGACATAGAATACTATCTTTCACAACCAAATGATAAGCTTGGTACTATTTTTGCTCTTCGTTGTAACTGGTCGGATGTGTCCATCACGGTTATTGTATTGTCAGAAACTAATCGGCAGTTCGCTGTTAACAGGACTGCGGATGTTTTAAAGTAAGATACTGCAGCGTTCTTGTAGATTTGCCAATTATCTTCAACGCCATCTGCTTCGGGATATTGAAAAGCGGTTTAACTTTTCCCATAAACTAAACGTCTAGTTTCCTAAGAGAATCGATAACATTTGTTCTTTCGAAGGTTTTCCACGCTTTCTTATTTATTAAAATATCATAGGGTAATTAATTCATCAAAATGAGTTCACAACAAATCGTTAGAGCGCCTTGATGGGGGAACTCTCATGCTATTTATGTAAAAGATGGTGAGCGTTCTAACTCACCCTTCCACACAAAAATTAGATGTGTCTTAGGGGTGCCAATTTAATTTAACTTTAAATGTTCAAGTTAGCGTCACCCCTGCAGTAAACCGTAGCTCAAACTTATACTTTGTGGCGTTAAAACTGAAAAAAAGGTCATGTGACTGATTTTTCAGGTTGAGAAACGGAGGTGCTGGGGTTTTTGATTTTGCGGCAAATTCAAAATAAACTTAACATTATATCATCCTAATCAGTACACACCACCGCAGCAATGCACTTAGCACCTTCACACACATCAATAAGCATCAATGAACACTAACTTCGCCTAATTCATCAGACCAATCTACAGGTCTTTCGGACATGGAACAAAATAATTATTTATTCAAACATAGACCAGTAACAGATATCGAAGTATTCGTCCTACTCATCCTATATATGATAATATAGGCACAGGATAAAAATATGTATAGGTGATATTTTAATATTGTGGTATTGCGGTATAAGCGATATATGTTGTATTGCGGTATTGCGGTATACTACCACAGGATGTATAGTAGTGTAGAGGGTATACGCGGTATATGTGGTATATGTAGTATTGTGGTATTGCGGTATACCACCACAGGATGTATAGAAGGAAACTACTATTCCGTATATACCCTCTATACCTCCTGTGTTATTATACCGCAATACCGCATATACTGCTTATACCGCAATACCGCATATAACACTAACCCTATCATGTATTTTCAACTGCACTTTATAGTTGAGTAAACAGAGTCTTCCTATATTTTGATTTTGTCAAAAATTAGGAATTAATTTAAAAAGGTAATTTGCCGCAAAATCATATTCCCCAGCTTATGCTTCCAATATATTTTTTAGTTAGAGGAATTAATTTATGGGTGTTAATTCCTTTTCACAAAAATCGAATCGGCCTGCAAAGGAGTCAAAGGCACAGAAGATTTTCTGCGTTTAATTTTTAAATTCACCATTATGAATGTCAAAACAGAACTCACTGAGAATACATATTCCAATGCCATCTATCTGCACACGCCAACGATTCGTAACTGTTGAAATGATTACACGTCATTCGTTTTCGTCAAAAACATATATATCTACATCATCACCATGAATTGCTACTCATAACGAACGAAACCAAATATTTTCCATCGCTTCCAGTTTCTACGGTACGGTCTGCTGCACGACTGAAATACAACATGCACACATTTTCCACATTACCTGTCGAACTAGTTTATCGAATTATGGATCATCAAAATGGCCGGACGCTATTTTGTTCAATGCAAAATATCTGTCGACGGCTCAATCAGATCCTGAGTACTTACCAACGATATCAAGTAAGTTTACTTGGTATTTTAACATTCTCGTCGACTGTGCTATACATAAGCTTAATGGTATTTGATGTCGTAGATTCCGTCATAGGACAACCCAAACTAATTTCATAATTCACAAACAGTTTGCTAGGATGAGACAATCACAGTCAGAAGTCATATGAAATCAAGCATTCCTTCACTCGCTCCCTTTTGTTCTATGTACATTGAGGATGCATTCGGCAGATACGCGACCATGAAAGAGCAAAACGCTTACTGATGCGTTACCGTTTCTGCGTTCCACTACTCGACACAAAAATTGCATCACTTACAACTTTTGACGGAACTCATCTACTGAAGCAAACAACACTGTACAGTTCTTTGACCTATGCCAATATTCATTCTCAACACGGGTACATCAAGTTCAGCTCCTACATTTCAAAAGAGTAGGACTTGGATTTCACTGGACCGCGTCTTCAAAAGAGAAATCTCATTACCACCAATACATATTGAAACTTATGTTCTACCATTTCTATCCCATCCTTTCACCGTAATCTCCAGTCTAGATTCTCGACACAGCACCTCTTTCCTGAACAACAACTAGCATCATCATGCACCCGAAGAAACTCACATCCACACACGGCTGCTCGTTGAAAATCGACCCCACACATAATTATTTCAAATCCAATACATACCATCCGAAGTGCCATCTCTAACCGCAAACTAGTTGAGTAGCTTACCGCCTCTCATGGTATAGATGTTCATTAACTACTCTACATGACCAGACTGAGTCTACTTCACACTAAGTCACACGCTTATATGGAGAAGAGAGAAGGAGAGACATGACCCGGAGATAGTATGATATAGAGCTGAGAGAATAAAGAACAGAAAGAGATTAACGATATCATTATCGTTACAACATCAAAGGTTTTCTTTACTACTTCCGCTTTTCATTACATATTAACTCAATTCAGACACTCACCACGCTTGATCTCCGTTGGAATCAAATCGGTGATGAAGGAGCACAACACATTGCGGATGCGTTGCGAACGAATACGGTAATATTGATCTCATTTTATTAGAGATGAGGCACTCAGTCTATCGCACACCTACACACACTCACCACACTTGACCTCAGTTGGAACCAAATGCGTGCTGAAGGAGCACAACACATTGCTAATGCGCTGCGAACGAATACGGTAATATTGATCTCATTTTATAGAAGATGAAGCACTCAGTCTATCTGACACCTACAGACACTCACCACACTTAACCTCCGTTGGAACCAACTCGGTGATGAAGGAGCACAACACATTGCTCATGCGCTCCGGACGAATACGGTAATATTCATTTCATTTCATAGAAGANAACCAAATATTTTCCATCGCTTCCAGTTTCTACGGTACGGTCTGCTGCACGACTGAAATACAACATGCACACATTTTCCACATTACCTGTCGAACTAGTTTATCGAATTATGGATCATCAAAATGGCCGGACGCTATTTTGTTCAATGCAAAATATCTGTCGACGGCTCAATCAGATCCTGAGTACTTACCAGCGATATCAAGTAAGTTTACTTGGTATCCTAACATTCTTGTCGACTGTGCTATACATAAGCTTAATGGTATTTGATATCGTAGATTCCCTCATATGACAACCCAAACTAATTTCATAATTCACAAACAGTTTGCTAGGATGAGACAATCACAGTCAGAAGTCATATGAAATCAAGCATTCCTTCACTCGCTCCCTTTTGTTCTATGTGCATTGAGGATGCATTCGACCGATACGCGATCATGAACGAGCAAAACGCTTACTCATGCGATACCGTTTCTGCGTTGCACTACTCGACACAAAAATTGCATCACTTACAACTTTTGAGGGAGCTCATCTACTCAAGCAAACAACACTCTACAGTCCTTTCACATATGCCAATATGCATTCTCAACACGGGTACATCAAGTCCAGCTCCTAGATTTCAGAAGTGTAGGACTTAGATTTCACTGGACCGCGTCTTCAAAAGAGACTTCTCATTACCACCAATACATATCGAAACTTATGCCCTACTCTTTCCAATTCCACCCTATCATAGTAATCTCCAGTCTAGATTCTCGACACAGCACTTCTTTCCTCAACAACAACTAGCATGATCATCCACCCGTAGAATTCACATCCACACCCAACTCCTCCTTAAAAATCCACCCCACACATAACTATTCCAAATCCAATACCTACCATCAGAAGTGCCACCAGAAGTTCTCTTTAATACTTCCGCTCTTCATTATATACTACTTCAATCCAGACACTCACCACACTCGACCTCAGTTCGAACGACATCGGTGCTAAACGAGCACAACACATTGCTAATGCCCTGCGAACGAATACGGTAATATTGATCTCATTTCATAGAAGATGAAGCGCTCAGTCTATCTCATACCTACAGACACTCACCACACTTAACCTCAGTTTGAACCAAATCGATGCTGAAGGAGCACAACACATTGCTAATGCGCTCCGAACGAATACGGTAATATTGATCTCATTTCATAGAAGATGAAGCACTCTGTCTATCTTACACCTACAGACACTCACCACACTTCACCTCACCGTGAACCGAATCGGTGCTAAAGGAGCACAACACATTGCGGATGCGTTGCGAACGAATACGGTAGTGTTGATCTCATTTGATAGAAGATGAAGCACTCAGTGTATCTCATACCTACAGACACTCACCACACTTAACCTCGATAGGAACGGAATCGGCGCTGAAGGAGCGCAACACATTGCGGATGCGCTGCGAACGAATACGGTAATATTGATCTCATTTGATAGAAGATGAAGCACTCAGTGTATCTCATACCTACAGACACTCACCACACTTCACCTCACCCTGAACGAAATCGGTGCTGAAGGAGCACAACACATTGCGGATGCGGTGCGAACGAATACGGTAATATTGATCTCATTTCATAGAAGATGAAGCACTCTGTCTATCTTACACCTACAGATACTCACCATACTTAACTTCTCTTACAACGAAATCGGTGACGAAGGAGCACAACACATTGCGGATGCGTTGCGAACGAATACGGTAGTGTTGATCTCATTTGATAGAAGATGAAGCACTCAGTGTATCTCATACCTACAGACACTCACCACACTTCACCTCACCCTGAACGAAATCGGTGCTGAAGGAGCACAACACATTGCGGATGCGTTACGAACGAATACGGTAATATTGATCTCATTTCATAGAAGATGGAGCACTCAGTGTATCTCATACCTACAGACACTCACCACACTTCACCTCACCGTGAACGAAATCGGTGCTGAAGGAGCACAACACATTGCTAATGCGCTCCGAACGAATACGGTAATATTGATCTCATTTCACAGAAGATGGAGTACTCAGTGTATCTCATACCTACAGACACTCACCACACTTAACCTCGATAGGAACCGAATCGGCGCTGAAGGAGCGCAACACATTGCTAATGCGCTCCGAACGAATACGGTAATATTGATCTCATTTCATAGAAGATGAAGCGTTCAGTCTATCTCACACCTACAGACACTCACCACACTTCACCTCGATAGGAACCGAATCGGTGCTGAAGGAGCACAACACATTGCGGATGCGTTGCGAACGAACGCAGTAATATTGATCTCATTTCATAGAAGATGAAGCACTCAGTCTATCTTACACCTACAGACACTCACCACACTTAACCTCGATAGGAACCAACTCGGTGATGAAGGAGCACAACACATTGCTAATGCCCTGCGAACGAATACGGTAATATTGATCTCATTTCACAGAAGATGAAGCGTTCAGTCTATCTCACACCTACAGACACTCACCACACTTCACCTCGATAGGAACCGAATCGGTGCTGAAGGAGCACAACACATTGCGGATGCGTTGCGAACGAACGCAGTAATATTGATCTCATTTCATAGAAGATGAAGCACTCAGTCTATCTTACACCTACAGACACTCACCACACTTCACCTCAGTTTGAACCAAATCGATGATGAAATAGCTCAACATATTGCAGATGCATTGGGAAGGAATATTGTAAGATTGATACTGTGCTCCAAGAAGTTTGTAATTTCTGTTTGTCTCATTCTTAGAGCGTCAAGATGGTATAGATCTGGCTTTAAATTCAATCGGAGAACAAGGCACCGTGGATCTGATGGCTCTTTGTGTTGATCAGATCTTTTTCGATTGAGATCTTAGTAGTTGTTATTTTTTGTGTGGTTATTGTAACATTGATGAGTAATAAAGGTATAGAAAACGAATGTTGTTGTGAGAAGCGAATGTTACCTGAATGTTAATGCTTTTTGTTCTGTGAAAAATGCATGTGCATTAGTGAAAATGAATGGTTTAGTTACGAAGGTATAACGGAGCAGTGTTTAGTAGAAGAGACGCCATAGTGCGGTGGGTTTAGCAGTAATCCTCTCGGTTTAGAGTTTGTTTCTGAGAGGGTATGATGTACAAGACAACATTACTGTAGACAGCTGGACTATATTGGAGATGTAGAAGAATGGAATCGCTGGTAGTAGGAGAGAGTAGTATTCATCCGTTATGTATGAGTTCTAGGGTGCGTTTGAAAAAAGCACTGCTTTAAACTGACTAGAATGACATAGTGAAGAGAGAATAATTAAAAAATAGCACATCTAATCGTTCTGTTAGATTAATTATTTCCCACCATCAGCGTAGTCTGAAAACAAGTTATTTTGTCGAATATGATCAGCACTATTCACTCTTGGTGCTTATCCATGTTAAAATATCAGGGTAGTGTTTTTATAGTACTTTATCGTGGAAAGAGCTTTGCAACATATTCTCGAGCTCGTATATCATTCTGATAACAGGGCTTTGTGTTTATGGTTTGCTTACATCGAACATCTCGACACTGTTTGAAGCGCTCAGAAGTTTGAGGTCGTATGAAATTTCATGATAGGGGCCTATTGTACCCTTGCTCTGAGATCTATCTTTTGAATGATGACAAAGCTGAAACCGCTCAACTGTGCATAATTCAACATCCTAGTCTGTATGCTAAGATATTACATATATATTCGTAGTGTTCTTTAACATTACACGGTAAGAGAACGTACATTTCATTTGGTTTAGATACTTGTCTTTGAGTTCTCTGCACGTATCGGTGATTGAAAACTCGCACGAGATGATGATCATTGAACAGAAGTGGATTTTGGCTATTTGGAGCCAGCCCAGACTGAATTTATACATGTAGTATTACTACATTTAGAGGTGTATGTGAAATGGTATGTATATAGCCCTCCTGTTTGCAAGGAGTTAACGGCACTTGGTCAAAATACACTCATATAAATCGAGTGGAGTGAAAGTATGCAAAGGATCATCATCTAAGTACAGATATTCTTGCTTTTAATCGCGGCATTTGAGCACATTCAGTCTCTGTTTGTTTACGAATGAGTACCAACAACGAATACAACTGTTTAAGAATAGTCTGTATGTGATGTAGATAAAACCTAGAATTTGCAGCAACCAGTACTGCTATCCACGAAGTCTGATACAATGCTATCGACAAGATTTGTATACACGGGCATATCAAGCAGTCGGAGATGAGCGTGCCAGTAGTCAAAGAAAGAAATATATGTGCATTTTGTTTTCAGTAAATAAAATCACACCGTGCAATATTGAAACTTTTTAACTGAGTACGCAGTCGCTTTTTAATGTCATTGTTAAAGTGAGGTAAATATGCTTGGATTAATTAATGTTCTTTACTTCTCAGTAATTGCAGAAACTTCTCCTAACGCACGAAGAAAGCACCTTCCCACATTTGCTCTGATTAGAGAGCGCACGCGGCTCAAAAGCATTACTTTCTGACGACCAATCTTGTTGAATTTTCAGGTTCAGATATAATGTTTCGAACAAAAGCGAAGACCAAGTTCAAGATAACGAACACGTACACAATTGGACTGTTTTCAATATACATATGTAATTTATAAGCAATGCGTGCCATTTGAATTCGCTGATTTGATACTGAAATGGTAGAACTATATCTTTCAGCATACTTGAAATACCATAGAGACTTGTTTCACCTCATAAACCAAACCACTTGTCTCTTTGTAAAAAAAGTCGTTGTTGCCTAGTTGATTATAATGACCTATCCACCGTAAATCTGTTTTTCAATTCCTATTCGAATTCAATGTATACGTTGAGCTTTATACCACGTTTTACGCCAAAGACATTCTACGGTAGAATTTCTACTGTACCTCATGGTGTTCTTTTTTTTCAGCATAAAACGGCAAGGGATTCACGCATACTTATAAATGGATCGGAAAAATCTCATTTCAGGTAGACTATATCGAATAAGATTCGAAAAAAGGTGCAGAAGAAGAAACAAATGTCGAGTTTGAGGTTTTCAAACTTAATTATGCTTTAAGGAATGGTTGCTTAGAGCAAGTACACTCCATCGGATTCGATGGAAATATGACGAAATTCTAGCGGAATTCTGAAGGATCTGAAAGCTGGATTACTCGTTGTTTATTTTTATTTTTTTTTCTGTAATAAATTATATAATCGAATATGAAATAAGCAGTAAAGTAGATTTGTGAGCGAATCTTATAAACAATATGTATGCAGCAAAGATATGCAACCATTTGTTTCTATTTATAACTTAAAGATATTTTCAAAGCGAAACGAATACTGCAGACTTAGAATAACAAAACGTCCTTCGTTTAATAATTGATTTCATGGAACAAAAGTAAAATTACTAGGAAGCAATGTACTACAGCATATTTTCCAAAGAACTAATGAGTAACAACTATATGAAAAATCGGATGTCGTTTTCACTGTTGATTGTAATTTCATGTCTAGCGTTAATAATATGTTCAAAAATATCTTTATTATAAATAGAAAAATGATATTTTCTTCAACTACGTATGTGGTATAATACCCTTCCGTACAGCAAAGTATTTATTGAACCCGATAAAACTGCCTTTCTCAAATATATTTCGCTGAAATGAAAAAAGATTTTCTTTCAACTGTTCCATGTATGAATCTAGTGCACAAGAATTCGAATTAGTCACCTTCAAAACTTCCATCTCTGTGCCCAGAAGCAAAACGTTTCTTTTTTTCTTGTAGAACGAAAACCGTTTGACCAGAAAATTCTGTCAGTTTTAGTTTTATTAAAAAACCTGTATTCTTGTGCAAAAAAACTCACATGTAACTTCTGTAAATTAATTTTCATCATTGATAAATTTCCTTCTATCGAATAATCCCTTTTAACAAGTTTCTGTTTCACTCGTCCGCAATATCGCGCACCTAACAGCTAACAAAGTGCGCCATTTATAAACGCGTTGACTTGTTTTTTTATATCACATGCTTTGATTATCCGATAGATAATCATCAATAAAGTCTAAAATCTCTGAAAAATAATAATGAAAATATCAATTAGGAATAAAAATTTCCGATATGAAAAACAGCTTTTGATTCATGTGAATTCATCAATCAGATTTTTTATGAATGTGGATGTGAACGATAATTTGACAATGGGCACTTTTCTCAGCTGTATAATACTCGAAATTGATAAAATATAGAATCGATAGAGCTCATCGAGCTCTACATGGAACTAACGAAAAACGTAAGTTGAAACATACTCGTGTGCGAATCGGTGTTCAAGATATTCTACATTTTTCATCGTTGATCGCTAACAGATATAGAAATGCATTTTCAAATTTTCGTAGTATATTGTCCTTCTTATACTAGTTGATTCAGTGTTAAAATTCGTGTTGCTTTCATCTTGTAACATTGGTTTATAAAATATAATACTAATCATCATGTAAACTGATTCACTATGTTGTAGCGTTTGTTTGGTTCCAATTAGGTCTGCATAGAAACTTGTTCTTTCAAACGTCTAATTTTTACAACTGTTTGTTTCAAGATAGGTCATTAATATTTTCCTTTAAAACCAACACAATAGTTTCACTCTTGAAAACGACCGAAACTGGTCCTAACGCTTCAAATAAGGCTCGTTTAGTCGACGAGAAAATAAAAGTCGAACCTAAGCCAGAAGCTAAGAATTTAGGTATTTTTATATTTGAAAACCGGTTTCCCGAGATTACAGAAATGTCCTGAAACAGGCCGTTACCACATCAAATTCTTCAATTTGGAGAGCCATCCGCCATAGCCTTTCGAATGGTATCTTTTTTAAATTCATGGATTCAAAATTTGTCCAACAGCGTATTCACGGTAGATAAAAGAAACTTAACATCATGTGTGTTTAATAGTTCTGCGACAACAACAATATTCGTCGTCTTTAAAGTTGCATTCGGTCAGATCTGACTCCCGCACTGTATTGGTAAATTACCACATTTGGAAATACTTTTTACCTACAGAAATTAGATTAAAAAACACGGTTGCTCAAGAGAAACAGTAAGAATCACATTCAAAGTAGATACTGAAATGATCCCGAATGAGGAGATATGCGCCTTATCTACGCGTCTTTCTCATGGCCGTTGAGCATTAGTCCAATATATTCTTCTGGTACCAACTACAGCTTTTCCAACAGATGAACCCAGTCGTGATTCGAGTTTCGAAGCATCGAAATTGTCTGTTCTACATTTCATCTTTTAACACTGAATTACAAAAAGAATTCGACTGTCGATACCAAAAGAAAAAGCAATGGATCACTTTAGTATTTTAGATGAACATTTCATATTGTTTCGCTTTTGATTATATTGTTCAATAAAGATCTGGTATCGGTTGACTTTTATTCTTGCCTTTCTATAATATTAACGATACGAACAAAAGAAAAGAAGAAAAAGCGAAAAAAATATTAGTAAAAAAAGATAAAGAGAGAACAAAACAAAACGACAAATCTGTACAAACACACACACACGCACAAAGAGAGAAAATGAGTATGAAACTGTACACAGAATAATAAGAACTATAAGTCTGTAACGGAGGCACGCATTAATGTTGTTGAATTGGTAGACGATGGTGTCTTATGATGGTAACCATTTGATATTAAATTTGGTTTGGCGATAACTATTGCCGGTGATTTATGCGAAACAGTTCCACGAGGATTTGATATAACCGAGTCAGTATCTGTACTTGAAGATGAAAAGGAGTTACATCGACCATTATGACGTCGATCAGGTGAAATAACAAGTGGAATAATACCACAGTAACCGTTCATGGAACGTGAATTAGCACTGCTGTTCGATGACGTTGATGAACTGGATGAGGACGAGCATGATGCTGCACTTGAAACAGCCGATGAGGAAGTGCTTTGGGTACGTGGTGGCGGAGTTGGCTTGCCTTTCTTATTCATACAAATGCCATTGGTTGATAAAGACGAATCCGTTGAATGATCACGTGAATTCGTTGAGGATTTTCCATTTGTTATTAATTGTTGAGAAAAGGTGACTTTCGACGGTGGTTTGATTAGAGATTGCGGGCGCATCTTACATTCAGTTGTGGATGCCACTGCTGAGTTTGTGGGAGAAATGAGTGCTTGACGAACAATATAGGAAAGAGATGGTGATGGACAATTATTTGATAATGCGACTGAATCGGTTGTTGATTGCACTGAACAAATACTTGTTCGTGTACTCGAGGAAAGTAGAATAGAATTGGTTAAGCTTCTTGTATCAAAACATTGATTTGGATCGGGTCCATCCATCTAAATTATCAGGAAACTGAATGAATTATTTTCTTTTTTCATATGTGACAACATACGTGCTCGGATGCATATTTCATTTGTTTCAATACTTCTAACTGATTCGTATAATTCAATCGACGTTCGCGTAATTTTTCTGCTTTCTATAAAAAAAGAGTAGAACAATGAGCATATTTTTAAATGAAAAGAATTATGCACTTCTATCGCTTTAACGCGGCCGTCGGAATTTTGAGTAACTGTTTCAATCTGTTCTAACAATCGTTTACGATCTACAGCTTTTCCATTCGAACCAAATGAAAATCGACGTTGTGACTTAGATGGAAATGATTTTTGTTCTTGGGTGATTGCTAAGCGTTTCAATTGATAGAGCATTGTTGTTAAACGTTTACATTTCTTAATAGTATAATCTAATCTTTCTGGTTCTTCATGTAGAAACCTAAGGAAAACGCATTCGAACATTGAAAAGCTCCATTTTCGACAAGACATTAACTACTTACTTCTGATCCTCATTCAAGGTTGACTGTGGACCAAGTGAACAGATTTTCTCACGTAATACAGGAAATGAAGCTATTCATTATGAAAGGAAAACTAACAGTAGAAGTCAATTTCACATTCAACATTCTTACCTTTCAAGTCAACTAATGATCGACTAATTGTACTGAGCACTAATGCAAAACTTTCTACATCATTCATTGTAACATAACATTGTTTAGATTTCACATCGTTTTGTAATTCTTCGACCGATGCTTCCAGATCTCTAGATTATTTTCAAATAGAACAATGGTCAATTCACCGAATAGAAAATATTGGATTTTGACATACTCTAAATCTCGGTCAATCTTCGTACTGTTTATCATATATAAATCAAGTTCATTTTCTACACTTCGACAATGTGCTGAACGCGTTTCTGTTTGATGTAATTGATGAATATGATTCTACAACATCAAAAATAAACTATTTTCTTTCTATTAATATTTCTTTTAATTTTACTTCAATTTTTTTGTTTGCATCATGCAATTGTACCTTGAAATTTTCCTTTAATGATTGTTGCAGTCGTCGTATTGATACTAAGTCGTTGCGTAATGTGTGCATTTTCATTTTTAATTCATGTAATTGTTGACGTAATGATTTGCCATTAATGTCTAAATGAACACCAGTTAATCAAATGGTAACAAAGCACAAAAATCAATTTATTCGATGCTAGAAATTGGCACGTTCTCTCGATTTTTGCTTTGTCTTAGATTGAATCCGCTCGAAGCCGGAAATGACACCATCAACTAGTAATGATTCGATAACCTAAAGGGCACTAACTCTGATTATTGTTTGACACAGACTTTTTTCTTTTGATATTCATTCGATCAACTAGAAGAATAGCTCGTGTCCAAATACCTGCATTCATATCTGTTCTGGTTAGCAGTCTTTGTTCATTCAATGTACGTTCACGTGTCAGTTCTTTGACTAATTCAGTTAATGATTCCAATTGTTTCTCCATCCAGATCATTTTACTTCTAAAATTTATAATTAGTTTCATTTCACATCGAAGAAATGAATATGTATTCATTATTACTGAGCATCATCATCGTTGAATCGAGGTGTTGTCGGCGTCGTCGAACCACTTCTCGGAGATGTAAGTATACCCTTCGGGGCTAGACAATAAAGCGCATAATACAGACATATTAGGCTATTTGCAACTGACCTAATGAATTAGAATTTGTATGTGTTTGATTATTCACAGTAGATGTTGTGTCATTATTGCTGATTCGACGTCGTGGTTCACTAAGAGATCGTGATGAAGTTGAGTTCGATGATATTTGTGAATTAGCAGACACATATGATGTTGATTTATCTTCAATTGAACCGCTTCTTGCTGTTGATAGCACGGATGTCGTTGATGGCATACGGCCGAGTCGACTCAATCGCTGATAAGTTATTTCACTTGCTAATGTTGGCCGTGATGTAAACGGTACATAAATAGATATTTCATCTGACTCGGGTTCTTTGAATGAAACTTGCGGTTTGGGATGATGATTATTGTTATTGTGATTATTGTTTAGTTGAACGACTTTGAGGACGGAACGATCTTTGACATCACTAGACAAATAAGACGTTTGCTACGTGATTGACATTTGAATGACAGTTTTTACCTCATATCTTCTAATTGGTAGAATATATCTTTATCCGGTTCACGTATATAAATTCGTACGTCGTCGGTGTCCATCTGTTTCATAGTTAGATGTTGCGGAAATGCTCTTCAAATAAAGACAATGAGTAAGAAAAAAAAATCTCGTGATTTAAAACCGGATGAACTCGATCCTTTTCTTTGTAATCATTCATTTCTTTTTTTGCTTTCTCTTTGCCCTATCGGCTTTATCTATGTTAATGAGAAACTGTCGAAACAAGAAAAAAAAAGAAAACTTACCGAACAAATAATGCCTTGAGTGTATCTATGCACGAAATGTATGATGGAAGAAGAACTTTTTTTGTTTCATCACCGCAAATTAGAAAACACAAGCCTAAAGAAGAAGAGATGTTGACAGATTCTTTTTCGACATTTTCGAATTGAATTTACCAAGTGAATTCGCTTTTGAAATGTTCGACGCGGGTTTAATGATAAAGGGTAGACTTGAACGATTACGTTGACCACGAACAAAACCTAATAATATGGAGAATTTTAATTAAAATCTCATTTCAAATGTAAATCTTCATCATCCCAACCATTTGTCATACTTGTTGTTAATTCTTCATCCGTTGGATCAGTCGATGACGAACGTTGATGAGGTGAATTGGTTCGTGGCTGTTAAACGGCAACAAAGAAAAATTCATCAAAATTGTCTAATGATAATCAATCGATATCTCTTACCATCATTGGTGTCGCTACAGCTGACGATGAAACATGTTGTCGTGGATATTTTTGTTTGAGTATGTCGATCAGCATACGTTGTTGTTCATCGCCATTCTGTAAATTAATATGTAAAGATAGAGATGTAACCAATAGCTAAGTAAGACTAATCAAACAAACTCTAACAACAAGAAAACGAGAGACAGGAAGAGAGAGAGAGACTGAAAAGAGAAAATCCTCTTCTCATGCTTATTCACATACTCAAACAATCCGATTAATTCCTTTTTACAGCTACATGATTATTATCCTTATGAATTCATATCAATCTCTCCACCTCTCTCCCTCTTTCGTTCAATATATAAATATATGTCCATTGCCTTCAGACAATCAGAGGTTCGAGTTGCACTTTCGAGTACTATGTCTATCTTCTCTCACTTATTTACTCGACTCAAATGTCCGTTGAAGCTTCATCTTATAAGTTGGATATGTGTATTTTATTATGTAATAGATATATGTAGTAAACACACGCGAATCAATCATTTGACGAGGATGATTTCTTAATAGATTTCCTTCTCTCTTCCCCTCTCTTACTGCCTTTGTTTGGTAACTATGTATCAATATGTTCAATTTTTCTTCCGTTCTAGTTCGAATCATTGCCCGTTGGACACAAAAAAAAGGACTGATGACTTCATTCGGGTGACTGATATTGATAAAATAGAATGATAAAACCTTCAACAAATCGCGCGGAACAAGCAAAGGTATTTTGTCTCTCATGATTAGTATTCATGGCAAGATAGTTACAATCGGTCAATGATGATGTTCGTATTCCATTGTAACTGCAATTTAAAATGCGAATTTCTCTAGAGGTTAACACTTCTCGTCCTTTCATTTTACCTTCATCATTCGCCCATATGAAAAATATTAACAGCAATGATTTCCGACGTTGAAGTAGAATTGTTACTTCTAATGCTATGACTGGCGCTTGTCGTTTATAACTCACACATCAGATGAACTCGCCGCCTCGTGTCTACGGACTGGCTCTACTTATGTTCTCTCTTTTTCTTCTTCTTCTTCTTCTCCTCTTCTCTCTTCGTACTACTACACATTCATATTAGCTAGAAACGGACGGCTCATTCAAGTAAATCTCGGTCGAAGAAGACAATCATCTTTTCACAAAAAAAATGATAATGCGGCAAAAAAGAAGAGACAGAAGGAGAAAGAACGTACATCTAAATCAAACGAGTAAAAAGAGACAAAACGGAGTGACAGACATTTTGATGATGATGATGATGATCAATTTCGAATTAACGAGTACTATCAACGCTTCATTGCTATCTTTTCAATCTTAAAAGAAATAGAACGAGAGAAAGAAGGAAAAAACTCAATATTCATCCATTCTTCTTTCATATTGAACAGTTACAAATGATGATTGAAAGGGAAAAAATAGAAACGATCACAATGACAATGTGTGTATGTTCATACAATTGCTTGTACATGCCATCAACTACGAATGGCTTATGTACGTATACATATATATATATATAACATACACAGCAGAGGTCGAAGCAACAAAGAATAATAATAGAAGCAACGAAGAACAAAGAATATATCGAGGAACTGAATACAACGACAATAATCAAAGAAGTCAAAGCATTATGGAGCTGACTAGAAGAAAATAAATGGACGGTGTATGCACACATGAGGCAAACAGTCAGTCAATGTCCGACCGTCCCCTCGAGTGTCTTTTATCTTTGTGGCTAACTACTATTAGTGCCAGAGAAACAAAGACAAATGCGTATAGATCTAATCGAAGAAATTCAAAGGAGAAGAAGAAGAAGAAAGAGCAGACTTTTTTTTCTAAGGAATCAACTAATTAGAAGACTAGCTTGATCAGTAAACTTTCAGTTTAGATAAAATATCATCATTCGGAAATATTCTCGCCTATTCCTTCTCTCATTCTGCTATGTATAAACTGTTAATTGAAAAAAAAATCTTTACGCCGTCGTAACTTAGAACTAATGACTTTTCCCTGGTGATCTTCAGCGAAAAAGAGATTTCTCTAGTGCCTATTTCATTTCTTTCAAGACCTATTTTCTTTTCATTTATCTCGTCTCATCTCCTAGAAACTTGATACGATTTTCTACTCCGATGAAGGTCAGAAAGCAACCCGTTAAATTTACCTTCGAACATTGTTGTTTACGATCTTCATCGACTTCTAAACATTCATCTTCTTTAACAACTTGCAGTGGAACAAAATTGCCGTTTGTTAATGAATTTGCGCATTTATTATTGTTGTTGCTCAGTGTTTCTTTGATCTGCTGTCTTGATCGATCTGGTATTGATACATCAATGTCATATGTTGACTTGGACTTGATATTATTTGTTCCGTTTTTTGTTTGTGTTACTAATCCACATGATGACGACGCATCAGCAGAACGTGTCATAATGGATGTTGCATCATTTCGAAAAGAATTCGATGGAGTTGTTGCTTGTGACGAAGAAGTTGCAGTTGAAAATGATGACACTGACGAAGTTGACATAGTATTGGTATTTCGTGTATTATTTGATGATGATGATGATGAGGAGGACGATGCTGATGATGGTGGTTGTACACGTCGTTGCTGTTGTTTAAGAATAGGCATGTAATGATTGGTACCGTTAACTAATGTTGGAGGTGATATCGATAATGGAATTGATTTGGTTTTCGGAGGAGTTTCAGCGTAAATGTTATTTCGTTCCATATCAGAATAGTCTGCATTGACACATTTTGCGGTTGAAATTAGTGTTTGTTTAGGCGAAATGATACATTTCATATTTTGACAAGACTTTGTCTGTTGACTGTGATCGATTCCATTTGGTTTGGTTTTCCGATTGTTAACGTTGGTTGAATTGATAGGTGAATCCGCGACTAGAGAAGAAAAAACAGACATATACACTCGAATGGATGATGTAAGAATGTTTGCGTGAGAAAATTGAGCATTTTATACAAATGAGTAACTATCATGAAAAGGAAGCGAACCGGCTACTAAGATAATAACCTATACACTGCTGGCAAAGAAAATAGCATTCATTGCCATTTCCTTTTTTTTGTTCTGATCGAGGCGACACATGCTCGTCGTTCAAAAGCGATAAGATCGAACCAAACAGTAGCCAAGTTTCCCTGAAGATTCAATCATCAGATAAAGTCTAATGCAGTTAGACACATTCGATTATTTTCTTTTCATAGAAAGATCTTTTCCAATAATTCATCTATTCAAACGTTCAAGTACATAAATGTACAATGTTGATTTTGAAAGGAGCAGATGTTTAAACACAAACATAAACACTTGTGAAGATTCTTCAAGACTAAATCACAAGTAAAAGCTTCGAGGAAGGTGAAAGTATCTCTACACATCATTGACAGTCGACCTTATTGGGATCAAAATTGAAATTGAATAAGCAAACAGTGGATAGATGTCTTTGTGAAATTGAACATTCTGATGCAATCTCAAATAAAAGGAATAACATAGCTCTTCACATCTGTCTATTATATATTTATTCTCAAATATATATATAACCTTCTCACATTATATGCTTTTATTCTTTGAAGTTCGTTGTCATCCTGAAAGAATAAAGGTCGACACTTGAAACCTTTTTTCTTCTCTCTTCATTTTCAACCTAAACTGCTGTTATGTATTGTGCGTCTGTACGGACAACATGTTAACGAGTTACAAGTCTTGCTCAAGGTGAGGAAATGGAGACTATAAAAAGTAATTTCCTTAAAATCGGTTTACGACAATCTTCTCTCAAGATTTATTCATTGAACTTATCATTATTACTCACGTCGATTTTTCTCCCACTGCGAGATCTATAAACACACTAGAGAGCGCACGAGTAGGAAAGAAAACTACAAAAGATGCAGATTTACGATACTACCTACTGTTACGTAGGAGGCGATTGATATGAGCCGTAGTAACGAAACGTAATGAAGAGAAAAGGGAAAGAGACGACGGATTGACTTGAGAATAAAATGACGAGATGAAGTAAAACTCTATTTACTAAGTACTGATATAAGTTCGATGTACATGAACTACTGAAATCTGATATCCACGTACGATGGATTCGATCGTAAAATTGCATCATCAACTGAAATCAAAGAGCAGAAAAAAAAACGGAATTCCACTTACTTTCATAAGTTTGTTTGACAATCCAGTGCCAAACATGATCGTAGATCTTTCTCACTGACTCGATACTATGATTATTTGTTGTCATAGTTTTCTTTTTCAAATAACAATAATTAATAAGTAGAATAGATATCTTTTCATGCTTATTATATTCTAATGATTTCAAAATGTCTATCACGCATTTCTCATTTCGTTTATAAATGCATGGAATGTTCAAATTTCCATTCACATTTTTCTCTCTTTCGCTTCGTTCTCTCCTGTCATCGAACGAAAAAAATTGTATATTTTTTAAAGAGGAGAAAAGAGAGAGAGAGGGACAGCGAGAAACGAAGACGACGACGACACGAATCGTACGGAGATGGCAGAGAAAGTGTTAAAAGAACAGGGCAGGGCACGCAGGGTGACGAATCTCATTCCCTCATCTAATCAATCAATGTATGCGGGAATGCTGGACGCCAAAGAAAGAAAAATGATTGTGTGGACATTCGTGTCGCATGATTGTTGAGGATTTATTGAACAAGATTAAAGACATGAACGAATGTGCGGCCACAATCATCTGACCTTGGGTGCGTGTGGACAATCGATGACAACTGCCGCAAGGTCATTTAGTTTGTCACACAAAGTGCCAATATTTTTCTTCACGTTTTTTCACTCTTCAATGAATGTATCCATTAAACATCGATATCTCTTCAAAATAATGAATGCTATCAATCACATTGATAGTTTTTCTTCTTTTAACTCAATCAACATCTCGAGATATTTTTCTAAACACGTCAAAGACACATTTTCAGTTAATTACTCAATAGATTAATCCATGACACTCAACTTATGTATTCAAATAGACGATGTGAAAATCCATCGTGAAGATAAAAGTCGTGACATAATCTTGAATAAGAGAGAAAATCTCCATTACGATTATGTATGCTCACTGAAATACAAATAGCACTTAGGATTGTCATGATCACTGAAAACGTGAAGTAAAGCCGACGATAATGATGATGGCATTAATCGCAAGCGAAAGAAGAAGGAATGACAAGAGTCTCATGGGAAAAAATTACAAATTGTTCTTCTTCGACTAAAGTTTACTAAAGCGAAAAAAAACATCAGTGAAATCTTCTACCTGTAAATGTGCAAGACATTCGTCCACCTGCAACAAGATTATCCAGTGATCGAGCCACAGAAAATCGATCACTCAACGCTGAGAACATAACAAATGATTGTGATTATATGTAACGAAAGACAGTTCACAACTGTACGACACTTTACTTCTTATCTATTTTTCTCTTTTTATTTTGTCTCTGTTTGCATGTATGTCTAACAGTTCAACTTTCTTTCTCATTTCATTTTTTGTCACACCTTTACTCTTTTTCTCTCTCTTTCTCTCTCTCTTTCTCGCCCTCGATTCTAATCAGTTAAAGTAGTCATGTTGTAGTCACTATACAATACAAACAATTCACCTCACTGACTCGATGACCAGCTGTACATTGTATCTTCTTACCCAGTTGTTACTCGTTAACTTTCCTTTGTAAATTGCTAAACAAAATGTATTGGAATGTCTCTCGCTGGAATTCTTTCTAGTTCACAAGACAACGACGACAACGGTCGATCTAATCATATTCTGATCTATCTGTCGCCTTTGCTATTGTTGGCGTCTTTCGATTCTTTTCTTTAGTTTGTCACAGACATCATTCTTTCTTTCATTTTTTTACTTAAGACAGCGAATAATCAAGAAGAGAGGGAGAGAGAGGGAGATAACGAGAACGACAACTCCATATACGATAAGCATCGTGGTTGTTTTGTTCGCTTTAACAAATGTTCATTTCTTTTGCTTGCAAACATGTACATACGAAGTGGGAGGGAAAATGTCCAACAAGTTGAGATTGAAAATGGATTAATCTATTGAGTAATTAACTGAAAATGTGTCTTTGACGTGTTTAGAAAAATATCTCGGGATGTTGATTGAGTTAAAAGAAGAANACCAACTCATCTCCATACAGTAAATTGTAAACAAAAGGCACAATCAATAATTACGTGCTTGATCCTCCGATTACAAGAACAACACGCACTTATTCACAAGTACAATAATAAAGAAAGCTTTAATCGATTTGTTTGTATTTGATAGTCGCAAGATGAAAGTAAAAGACAAAATAAAAGCAAGACGATGATATCCGATGCAAAGGAACGTATCTGTGAAGAGTTTTTCTGTTATGATATCTCAATATTTACTAGAAAAATAATAACGAAAGAGAAGATGAACGTGAACGTGAACGAAAATGACGAAGCACATGTAGATCATCTATCATGGAGAGAATGAGTGTACATAGATGAGCTAGAGAAGCCATAACGTTGATTGTGTTTTGTTAGCATTTGAATCGTGATTTATTTAAGAAGATGAGGAGAGAAGGCGGAGAAACATGATTCATGTTCATGAAAAGGAAATAATCAAGCTAATAAGATAAAATGAATGTGTATATTTCTCGAAATACAAGTCGTTGTGTGTCATCAAGTTGACCTCTGTCTATCTAGTTGACTGTCTGGGACAAAAGAAGAATGGTTTCAATAAATTGGAGCAAATTCTTTCTTGCCTTATATAACGAGACAAACACTTGATAGAAAAAAAATATGTAAATGAATTTCTATCTTCAAAGAAGAAAGAGAAAGTCGCTCACGATTACAACTGTATTAATAATCTAAAGAAGACTTCTCATTTCGAGTGTAAAAACAACGAGTTTACTTCCCAGAAAAGACTTCGATATTATCTAAGGAAGAAGATGAATGCTTCGTTCACCACTTGAATAAACTCTTGTGCTATGAGAACATATACTTACCTTAGAGTTTCTGTCACATTCATCGATCCATGTATAAATACACAATGACAAACCATAATTTTTCTTACTATGTCGATTGTATGTTTACAGTTGACCCGTAATTGAATAGATTCTTTTCAATCGTTTTCATCAGGTATATGTCCGCATTTTTTTCTTCATCGTCGTTCTCTTTGTCGTTTACTTTGTATCCTAATGGTCGTGCTTGATAGGCCCATTGATTTTACTGCTCTACTGGTGCCTCGCCTTCTCTTCATCAGCTTTGAGTTAGTGGTAATGCGATGATCGGTTGCACGGTTATTTAATCGAGCGCACAGCTTGATTATATATGTGCTTATGTGCCAATATCCATAGAAAGAAGCAAATGACAAAGACAAACATTACAATGTTCACGACGCGCCCACTGTTCATAATTTTTTCAAGTCTCTTCTTCGTCTTTTGACGTGGAATGAAAGAGACGAGTTCGTTCACTCGCGAGTATAACGATATTTATTTGTTTTGGTTATGATACCTAAACTGAATTTAATTTAAGCAACTTAGATATACTTACAATAGTAATTTGATTTATCTATTGAAATATGCAAATCGTAAAATATAACGAGAAAAGAAGAAAGAATTCTTATTAGAATGTCATTATATCTATGATGATAAACACAGACAAAGAAAAAGTTATTCTAATGAAAGAAAATCAATATAACTCTTCTCTAGCAATCTCTCGTCTTGCTCTACTTCTGTCATTCTTTATATCACTGTTTGTATCTATATATTGATCCATCTATCATATTCTGTGTTGATGTTTTATGTGTGTGCGTGTGTCTATGTATATAGGAAAAGTGAGATTCGATTGAACAGGCGACAAGAAGCAAGAAATATCAATCTCAGTTGATAGATATATAAAGATAGATAGAAGAAAGAGAAATTAAAGATTGCTCAATCAATCGGATGCGGCACGCACTGAATGAATAACTAATTTGGACAGGAAATGTTCCTATTATTTTAGACGCACATGAGAATCGTGCTTGAACCTAAAGAGATTGCGTCATAAATATTATGACTACTTACAAGTGTACGGATAACATCCATCTTTTCTTGAACATGTCGGCTGTAAGACTGTTAGATGTTCAGTCACGCTCCTTCATATGTATTCATCTATGATGTCGGACGTGAGAAAAGAGAAGAAATTGTGTTTATGATTTCCTCGGACAAAGTTCTCTACATATGCATTATTAATTAGTGTAAAGTCTATATTTCTCTTATTCTACTGTCTATTAACACTCCTTGATCATTCAATATAAATGAAGTGTTTGTTGATAAATTCGATATCCTAATGTGAGTGATCACAGTATGAAGTCAACTCGGACGGTACATCTTCTACTATATCCTGTAATAGATAAATAAAACAAGAGGGAGAGAAGAGAAGAGATTACAGAAGGTTATTGTAAATAAATAGAAAGATTTGGATGAAACAGTCCGACTTTTCTTACTGTTGAATAGATTGATGTGGAAACTATTTCTTTTTCTTCTTTAGCGCACAAGCTAATCTTGATGTATTATGATCTCTCATGATAGTTCATGCCCGTTGTCTATATAACAAGTACAATTTAGATAAATGTTTGATGTAAGACGATCGATGTCTCTTGAAGAGAAATTTACTATCATGTCTGCCTCTCAACAAATGAATGACTGATCGTCAAAATATTGCTTCGAGGTCAATGATGATAACCGATGGCAGGACATAAAAAGAAAAAAAAAGATCATGTGAAGTATTGTTCCTACAGTTCATCATTTGCACAGAAAGAATAATAGTACATATTGTCTTTGCATCGAATGCATCTGCTCTTAGAAATATCTTCTTTTCACTGATTGTATGGATTCTCTTCGAAGAGATAAATCTTGAAAGAGAAGTGAAATTTACATTGATAATTGAATTATTAACTGGAGAAATCGTCAATGTCATTGACAATCTGTATTAACATTTACACACAATTTCGTTTTTTTAATATGACATGTAAATTTTATCTGTAATTGAGAATCTAGTTGACTGTTCATATTGTCATTGATACATACAATTAAGAGAAAGACAGTAAATATACGATGTCATTTCGAGAACATCTGGTTAATGTTATAAGCACCACTTGATATTACTTTCTCTCGTTAATGAATCCTCATCCGTCAATCACATTCTTTCGTGCGCGGACGAACAATTCATTTCAATCAATAAAGTTTCCTACTATCACATATTCTGATGCTACCAGTCAAAAAAAGTGGATTTGTCTTTCATCGACATACATCTGCATTCGTTGTCTATCAACAAGTTGATCTGGTATCAAATCCAATCGCAGCATCAATGTTAACATTGATAAATCGAATGTAATCGACCCTTCACTATAGTGATATAGCTATCGGTGATCATTGTTTTTTTTTACAGAAATAGAAACCCATTTACGAAGAGAACACTCATTGAAACAGTATTGATGAGTACGATATTTTTCTTAAATGTCAAATTGAAACCATGTGCATATTTTGAAAATCTTCTTGCTAAGGTGTGAAATCTTCGTTTATCGTTATATGAATTATTTGTTAACACATTTTCAGTCTCCTCATATCGATAAAAGCGATACTATCATTTCTCAAGTCATGCATGATTGCTTTAATTATCTCGCTTTTTCATATAAGACTAAAAACAAAACCTGTTAGCAAATATTGTCGATTTCAACAGTTACAAAGTCAACATGAATCTAGCAAATATATTGATTACTTTTGTTTGAATCGATACAGTGTCATTAAGCGATGGAAGGTAATTATTTCCTTTATCAACAAAGTTCTCATGATTTTCTGAGATGTGTATTTGATAGACTACAATAATTCATCTGCGAACAGAACAGTCATTGCAGAAGAATCATCAACTGCTGCGATTATTCTCGTTCTATCCTCGGCTGTCTTAATTTCATGTTTGAGTAAAATCGTCTTCATCAAATTTCTTCACCATCGAATCAATCTTTCATTTTATATCGTTGTTTTACTTTTGGGTTTTGTTATTGGCACCATAGCGACACAAATCAAAGGACGATTCAGTGAAGATGATTTTCTCCGAGGTGAACTTCATCTCAGTAAAATAAGTCCAAGATTAATCTATTATATATTTCTTCCAATTATTATCTTTGATGCATCATTCAATGCACACTTTCATGTTGTTAAGCAACAATTGATCACCACGATTTTAGTTGCAGGACCCGGTGTTCTCATTTCGACTGCATTCATTTCATTATTTGTTGTTTACCTCTTTCCATCGGATTATCAATGGTCATGGATAACTGGCCTTTTATTTGGCAGTATTTTAAGTACAACAGATCCAGTCACAATCATTACGATGTTAGGAGATTGTGGAGCGAGTCATTCCTTATCATCGTTGATTGATTCGGAATCATTATTGAATGATGGATTAGTTTTTATGCTTTTTCCAGTGTTGACTCGAATTGGTCTAGGTACTTCTCATACGGTTGGACAGATCGTTTGTGATGTTCTTCGGTATGGTGTTGGTAAGTAATTACGTCAAGGGTCAGAAGAAAACATGTTCATTTTAATGATCTGTATAGGCGGAGCTTTGTTCGGTTTATTCTGTGGTTTTATATGTGTATTTGTCTTGAATCGAATTAATAACGAATTAAAAATCGAAATTACGATCACATTCAGTGTGACATACCTTGTATTCTACATCGCAGACGCCGAATTGGGTGTTTCCGCGGTGGTTGCATTGATGTTTATGGGCTTATACATGGCCAAACACAAATACTGTATCAGTAGTAACGTTCAATTATCACTCGCTGGTGCATGGCAAATCATCATTTTTGTTATCAACATTCTCACATTTACTCTAAGTGGTCTAATTTTAGCACATACATTTGTCGGCATTGAAAATACATTGAGCAGTCGTGATTTCGGAATCTCTCTCGTACTTTATTTACTAATTCATGTCAATCGAGCGTTAACAGTTGGTGTTTTGTATCCCGTGATCACATGGAGTGGAATACATTTAAATCGAAAGGAATGTGTAATATTCGCATGGAGTGGAATACGCGGTCGACAAGCTTTGATTCTCGCTCTTTTGGTGTACTTGGATAAGAAAACTGAACGTGCGACGAGTGAACGATTTCTTTTCAATGTTTCAATGTTGGTTTTATTAACACTGACAGTGAATGGAACTAGTAGTAAATTTCTTGTGAAAATGCTTGGACTGGATNCGAAATTTTATGTCCGATTCTAATTACAACAAATGTGACCTAAATGTCTGATAATTCATCCAATTTCAACCATTTTCTCTCGTCCTCCGCCGGTAATATCATGGATGCTTTCTTAGCTGTCGTGACTGATTTCTTAAAATATTCATTTCGTTAGATAATAAGAAAGAAAGGGTAGGCGAGAAGAAGTGTGTTTAGTTGATTGTTTGTCTTCGTTCTCGTATTCTCTGAGTTTTATTGTGCAACAATCCACATGTATTCCAATGATCAACGTTCGAACAGATGCCAATATTTATTCAACAATAGTCATCTGAACCTCTCACACACAGTTTTTTAATACGGATTATTTTGACGAAAAAATGTGTATAAACGGTGTTACTTACGGTTAGATGATGTTTGAAGATGCTTTGCTATTTTAGAATCATTGAGACCCATTCTGTTTTGGAATGTATTATTCGATTGAGAAGATCCGAAGAAATGTTGAATAAAAACGAAATTGTTCGCGTCGCTAGTCACTCGATAGCAAAGCTTTTTGTATATGTTAATCTAGAATATAAAAAGTACAATAATGATCACCAACTCATCTCCATACAGTAAATTGTAAACAAAAGGCACAATCAATAATTACGTGCTTGATCCTCCGATTACAAGAACAACACGCACTTATTCACAAGTACAATAATAAAGAAAGCTTTAATCGATTTGTTTGTATTTGATAGTCGCAAGATGAAAGTAAAAGACAAAATAAAAGCAAGACGATGATATCCGATGCGAAGGAACGTATCTATGAGAAGCATTTTTGTTATGATATCTCAATATTTACTAGAAAAATAATAACGAAAGAGAAGATGAACGTGAACGAAAATGACGAAGCACATGTAGATCATCTATCATGGAGAGAATGAGTGTACATAGATGAGCTAGTGAAGCCATAACGTTGATTGTGTTTTGTTAGCATTTGAATCGTGATTTATTTAAGAAGATGAGGAGAGTAGGCGGAGAAAGATGATTCATGTTCATGAAAAGGAAATAATCAAGCTAATAAGATAAAATAGATGTGTATATTTCTCGAAATACAAGTCGTTGTGTGTCATCAAGTTGACCTCTGTCTATCTAGTGGACTGTCTGGGACAAAAGAAGAATGGTTTCAATAAATTGGAGCAAAGTCTTTCTTGCATTATATAACGGGACGAACACTTGATAGAAAGAAAAATATGTAAATGAAATTTTGTCTTCAAAGAAGAAAGAGAAAGTCGCTCGCAATTACAACTGTATTAATAATCCTAAGAAGACTTCTCCTTTCGAGTGTAAAAACAATGAGTTTACTTCCAAAAAAAGACTTCGATATTATCTAAGGAAGAAGATGAATGCTTCTTCGGACACTTGAATAAACTCTTGTGCTATGAGAACATATACTTACCTTAGAGTTTCTGTCACATTCATCGATCCATGTATAAATACACAATGACAAACCATAATTTTTCTTACTACGTCGATTGTATGTTTACAGTTGACCCGTAATTGAATAGATTCTTTTCAATCGTTTTCATCAGGTATATGTCCGCATTTTTTCTTCGTTGTCGTTCTCTTTGTCGTTTACTTTGTATCTTAATGGTCGTGCTTGATAGGCCCATTGATTTTACTGCTCTACTGGTGCCTCGCCTTCTCTTCATCAGCTTTGAGTTAGTGGTAATACGATGATCGGTTGCACGGTTATTTAATCGAGCGCACAGCTTGATTATATATGTGCTTATGTGCCAATATCCATAGAAAGAAGCAAATGACAAAGACAAACATTATAATGTTCACGACGCGACCACTGTTCATAATTTTTTCAAGTCTCTTCTTCGTCTTTTGACGTGGAATGAAAGAGACGAGTTCGTTCGTTCACTCGCAAGTATAACGATATTTATTTTGTTTTGGTTATGATATCTAAACTGAATTTAATTTAAGCAACTTAGGTATACTTACATTAGTAATTTGATTTACCTATTGAAATATGCAAATCGTAAAATAAAACGAGAAAAGACGAAAGAATTCTTATTAGAATGTCATTATATCTATGATGATAAACACAGACAAAGAAAAAGTTATTCTAATGAAGGGAAATCAATATAACTCTTCTCCAGCAATCTCTCGTCTTGCTCTGCTTCTGTCATTCTTTATATCACTGTTTGTATCTATATATCGATCCATCTATCATATTCTGTGTTGATGTTTTATGTGTGTGCGTGTGTGTATGTATATAGGAAAAGTGAGATTCGATTGAACAGGCGACAAGAAGCAAGAAATATCAATCTCAGTTGATAGATATATAAGGATAGATAGAAGAAGGAGAAATTAAAGATTGCTCAATCAATCGGATGCGGCACGCACTGAGTGAATAACTAATTTGGACAGGAAATGTTCCTATTATTTTAGACGCACATGAGAATCGTGCTTGAACCTAAAGAGATTGCGTCATAAATATTATGACTACTTGCAAGTGTACGGATAAGATCCATCTTTTCTTGAACATGTCGGCTGTAAGACTGTTCGATGTTCAGTCACACTCCTTCATATGTATTCATCTATGATGTTGGACGTGAGAAAGGAGAAGAAATTGTGTTTATGATTTCCTCAGACAAAGTTCTCTACATATGCATTATTAATTAGTGTAAAGTCTATATTTCTCTTATTCTACTGTCTATTAACACTTCTTGCTCATTCAATATCAATGAAGTGTTTGTTGATAAATTCGATATCCTAATGTGAGTGATCACAGTATGAAGTCAACTTGAACGGTACATCTTCTACCATACCCTGCAATAGATAAATAAAACAAGAAAGAGAGAGAGAAGAGATTACAGAAGGTTATTGTAAATAAATAGAAAGATTTGGATGAAACATTCCGACTTTTCTTACTGTTGAATAGATTGATGTGGAAACCATTTCTTTTTCTTCTTTAGCGCACAAGTTAATCTTGATGTATTATGATCTCTCATGATAGTTCATGCCCGTTGTCTATATAACAAGTACAATTTAGATAAATGTTTGATGTAAGACGATCGATGTCTCTTGAAGAGAAATTTACTATCATGTCTTCCTCTCAACAAATGAATGACTGATCGTCAAAATATTGCTTCGAGGTCAATGATGATAACCGATGACAGAACATAAAAAGAAAAAAGATCATGTGGAGTATTGTTCCTACAGTTCATCACTTGCACAGAAAGAATAACAGTACATATTGTCTTTGCATCGAATGCATCTGCTCTTAGAAATATCTTCTGTTCACTGATTGTACGGATTCTCTTCTTAGAGATAAATCTTGAAAGAGAAGTGAAATTTACATTGATAATTGAATTATTAACTGGAGAAATCGTCAATGTCATTGACAATCTGTATTAACATTTACACACAATTTTGTTTTTTAATATGACATGTAAATTTTATCTATAATTGAGAATCTAGTTGACTGTTCATATTGTCATTGATACATACAATTAAGAGAAAGACAGCAAAGATACGATGTCATTTCGAGAACATATGGTTAATGTTATAAGCACCACTTGATATTACTTTCTCTCGTTAATGAATGCTCATCCGTCAATCACATTCTTTCGTGCGCGGACGAACAATTCATTTCAATCAATAAAGTTTCCTGCTATCACATATTCTGATGCTACCAGTCAGAAAAAGTGAATTTGTCTTTCATCAACATACATCCGTACGCTTTGTCCATCAACAAGTTGATCTGGTATCAAATCCAATCGCAGCATCAGTGTTAACATTGATAAATCGCATGTAATCGATCCTTCACTAGTGATATAGCTATCGATGATCATTCTTTTTTTTCACAGAAATAGAAACCCATTTACGAAGAGAATACTCATTGAAACAGCATAGATGAGTACGATATTTTTCTTAAGTGTCACATTGAAATCATGTGCATATTTTGAAAATCTCCTTGCTAAGGTGTGAAATCTTCGTTTATCGTTATATGAATTATTTGTTAACACATTTTCAGTCTCCTCATATCGATAAAAAGCGATACTATCATTTCTCAAGTCATGCATGATTGCTTTAATTATCTCGCTTTTTCATATAAGACTAAAATCAAAACCTATCAGCAAATATTCTTGATTACTTTCGTTTGAATCGGTACAGTGTCATTAAACAATGGAAGGTAATTATTTCCTTCACCAACAAAGTTCTCCTGATTTTATGAGATGTGTATTTGATAGACTTCAATAATTCATCTGTGAACAGAACAGTCGTTGTGGAAGAATCATCAACTGCTGCGATTATTCTCGTTCTATCCTCGGCTGTCTTAATTTCATGTTTGAGTAAAATCGTCTTCATCAAATTTCTTCACCATCGAATCAATCTTTCATTTTACATCGTTGTTCTGCTTTTGGGTTTTGTTATTGGCACCATAGCGACACAAATCAAAGGGCGATTCAGTGAAGATGATTTCCTCCGAGGTGAACTTCATCTAAGTAAAATAAGTCCAAGATTAATCTATTACATATTTCTTCCGATTATTATCTTTGATGCATCATTCAATGCACACTTTCATGTTGTTAAGCAACAATTGATCACCACGATTTTAGTCGCAGGACCCGGCGTTCTCATTTCGACTGCATTCATTTCATTATTTGTTGTTTACCTCTTTCCATCGGATTATCAATGGTCATGGATAACTGGTCTTTTATTTGGTAGTATTTTAAGTACAACAGATCCGGTCACAATCATTACGATGTTAGGAGATTGTGGAGCGAGTCATTCCTTATCATCGTTGATTGATTCGGAATCACTATTGAATGATGGATTAGTTTTTATGCTTTTTCCAGTGTTGACTCGAATTGGTTTAGGTACTTCTCATACAGTTGCACAGATCGTTTGTGATGTTCTTCGATATGGCGTTGGTAAGTAATTACGTCAAAATTCAGAAGAAAACATGTTCATTTTGATGATCTGTAGGCGGAGCTTTGTTCGGTTTATTCTGTGGTTTTATATGTGTATTTGTCTTGAATCGAATTAATAACGAATTAAAAATCGAAATTACGATCACATTTAGTGTGACATACCTTGTCTTCTACATCGCAGATGCTGAATTGGGTGTTTCCGCAGTGGTTGCATTGATGTTTATGGGCTTATACATGGCCAAACACAAATACTGTATCAGTAGTAACGTTCAATTATCACTCGCTGGTGCATGGCAAATCATCATTTTTGTTATCAACATTCTTACATTCACTCTAAGTGGCCTAATTTTAGCACATACATTTGTCGGCATTGAAAATACGTTGAGCAGTCGAGATTTCGGAATCTCTCTCGTACTTTATTTACTAATTCATGTCAATCGAGCGTTAACAGTTGGTGTTTTGTATCCCGTGATCACATGGAGTGGAATACATTTAAATCGAAAAGAATGTGTAATATTCGCATGGAGTGGAATACGCGGTCGACAAGCGTTGATTCTCGCTCTTTTGGTGTACTTGGATAAGAAAACTGAACGTGCGACGAGTGAACGATTTCTTTTCAATGTTTCAATGTTGGTTTTATTAACACTGACAGTGAATGGAACTAGTAGTAAATTTCTTGTGAAAATGCTTGGACTGGATAAAGGTAAATTCCGCTTGAGTTCGTTTGATGATGTTGTTTTTTTTTAATAGGAACACCTGAAAGTCAAACAGTACGTTCTCAGGCATTAAAACATATGAAAAGTCAAACATCTGACCAGATCAAGAAAATGAAAGATGATATTAACTTTGCTAATGTAAACTGGAAGGTACTTTATGATTATTTACCTGAGATTTTAATTGAAGAAGCTGATGATGAACATAACAGGAATGTTCATCCACAAATCACCGTCAATTCTCGACAAATCTCGTTTGATCCCATACCAAAATCGCTTTCTGCTTCGTCGAATCAATTAAACAACGACCAATACTCCGATCTAATTTCCACAAACAGTATTTTTCAATTAGATCTAGAGATTGCATCCAAAGATCGATATTTACTGGAACCATTCGTTCAACCACGAAGTACAACAGATTTAAATACGGATGATTATCAAATCAATATGCGAAATGAAATCATCAAACGCTTTCTCACAGCTATGGCTGTTGATTACGAAAAACAATGGTACCTAGGAATGATCCGACGACGAACTCTCAAAGTGTTAATCGAAACTGTCGAACAAGCTAAGACCAAGATCTCATTGAAACGACATTGGCAATTACTTGTCGGTCATTTTCATATGCCCTTCTGGTTAAAATGTTTAATCAAATTCGATAAGATTGTTTGGCTAAATCGGCAAACAGAAAAATCTCTATTCGAACATTTGATACTCACTATTGAATTAGCATTAGGTGAGTTAATCATTTTCATATCCAGAAACGAAAATGTCCTAAAAAAAACGTTTTTAGCATTTCATTCAGCAACATCACGATTAGAACATATGCTGTTGAAAATCCCTGAATTTACCAATATCGATAATCATATCATAAGCAATGTTCTCAATGATGCGAAGAAACTACAAATTCGCGCATCACTCGTTCTCCAAGATTTGCAATATTCATATAAGAAATGTTGGACAGTCGAAATGACGAAACGTTGCGCTCAAATGCTTTTAAAATACGAGTCCGTTGCCATTATTCAATTATACGAAACGGGAATGTTAAATGAAAACGAATACACACACATTCTTCAATTAATTCAAAAAAAATTATTCCATTTAGAATATGGTCACATCATGAGTATACCGGAGACTGATTTACATTTAGAACAAGACAATCAATTCAATAATTTGCCATTATTTTTCGATTTATCTGAAGATGAAAAATATCAATTGAAACAGTTATTAAAATCACGAAGGAAACTTTTTCAACCAGGCGAGCTTCTCCTTCGACAAGGTCATATTACATCGGAAGCATACTTAATCGTACGAGGTATCGTCGAATGTTCCGAAGATCTACTAACATGTTATCGATCAGGTCACATCATTGGCGTTGATTCGTTATTTGATAAGAGTTCTTCGACATCGAATCGAACGTATCGAGCTGGAAGTAGCATCGTTGAAACATTCGCTATCGATCAATCGTTGCTGAATATATTTTTATCAAATTCGAACACACTTCAGTTAATCTACAATGAAATCGCTCTTCATATGTTGATTAGCATGTATCAATATCCAATACATTTGTTAAATTATGCACAAATCAAAGTTCTTTTGGACGAATATGCCATTTTCTATCGAATTGAAACTGGACAAGATGTGTTGAGTATTCAACTAAAACGCAACGAACGATTGTTTATTTTAACTGGTACAATGCAAAGAGAAGATGATGATTATTTTATGGATGGGCCACAATTAGTTACTGTTAATCAAGCGACAACATTTCATTGCAATTCGAATAAATTGTGTGTCGTATATACGTGGACATTGGATAATGAACAAGAATGTTTACAAATTGTACGATCGTTTACGACGACTTATCGTTTATCGGATTCGTCCGATGAGAAAGCTGACGCAAATGTTGTTTATCCATCATTTTCAGATAATCCAACGGGATTCATACAACAGAATCATTCGTTAGTACAGTTTGCACGATCGGCAACTCATACGAGTAATTTTCAATTGATTCCCTTGGAATCAATGGATCGATACTATGAAAGAACATAGAGTTTTATTTCTTGTACACTAAATAAACTGAGTTTTTTGTTTTGACAATATCAGTCGGTATACCATAGTCATCGTATATTGGTACCATTGCTGAGTTCTCATTATTTGAATATAAACAATCCGAATACTGCATAATTGAGTAGTAGTTATTAGCCATTCGCATTGTAGTAAATTGGCTTCAAGTGCATTTCTCAAACTCTTGATAGAATTCTAAACAGTCGAACGGCTCATTTTTGCTCATTGATCTCTGACGACTACTTCAAATATATTCTTCAAAGATACGAGAAGTTTAAAATATTTGGAAAGATATATAGAATTCAGTTTTTTGCACATCGACTTTTGACAAAAGATTTTCGATCTGCGGAATTTTGTCAAATTTCCTTTAAAGAATTAAATGAGGAAATATCCAATTGAATGAAATCGTTCGAATGATTCTCGCTTTCCATTATTGTTTGATAAAATTATTTGGGACGAACATCAATTAAACAGATGTTATTCAAATTCAAATAACATAACATTTGAACATTATTTTGAGATATATATCCATTGAAATTCTTTACGCAACCATACAGAATTTGACAGGAACTGTTGCCAATCAAGACATTCACCGCTTCCACACCAGAATAAATCTTAAAGGATGATGGAGGTGATGATGTTAAAAGAGATGAAGAAAATAACTGATTTATTGAAGATGTTAATTCGTTAAAGTAGATGTAAAATAGTATCTATTTGAAATCGAAAATGTTTTGTTTCTTTGGACACATCTGTCTAACGGTATTACCAGACACCTGATCGACTTCTTCGATTTGATTTCACTGCATTTTCACCACGTCAAAGAAGATATATAATTTTACAGTGCTTAAGCGACATCTATTCCTACATTTCGCAGATGATATTTTATCTACTAGAACTATTTTACTTCTTTTTTTTCCACAATCCTTTCAAATATATCAAAGGTTGTTCGAATAAAAAATTCGACAGATGCGTACTTCATTGGCCATTGTGTTCAGTCTACACTGTATCAAAAAATATATCATGGACTGTCGACCGTTGTTTAATGTTGAATCGCTTTTCAATTCAGTCAGTTCATTAAGCATGTGAAAAGATTCCTTCTACTTCTCTTCGAAATTGAAAAGGCAAAACGCGCTTTAATTAACTATCAAGTTCGTTGTCTGCTTTTTTAGATCATACACGTGTACATTGTTTTCTCAACAGATTTTATTAAATTGACCCGTTTGAAACAATGCCTAAACGTGGCTCTTCTACATCAGGTATTAATTCAAGTGTGCCACATAAAAAATCTAAGAATTCTCAGTCGACTAATGGTCATTATGATGAAAATACTCCACTTAATCAAAGCAGTTATTCAACACAATTATCCGAGAAAGGTCCTGATGTAAGTCTTATCTTTCTGATTTACAACACCAATCAATGATTTATTTTTCTATTAGTTACATAAAAATGCTGGTAGTATCTTACGAATCAGCGTGAAAAATTTCATGTGTCACACATTTCTTGAATTTGATTTTAACGAAAATCTCAATATGGTCATCGGAAACAATGGCAGTACGGATTGAAAGAATGTGATTTTTCTCTTCAAGAAAATTTCTGTTTTAGGTGGCAAATCTGCAATTATGAATGCCATTACATTGACTTTAGGTGGTCGTGCAACAAGCACAAGTCGCTGTTCAAATATCGGTCGTTTTATTCAACATGGTAAAAGGTAAAATCGAACGAAATCGGTTCTGTTTCATACATTTAACCATTTTAGCATGGCTGAAATCTCTGTTGTTCTATGTAATCAAGGTCTCGAAGCAATCGACGTTGAACGTTTTGGTCGATCGATTACTATTATCCGAAAGTTTTCCGTCAAAAGCGGTAGCCGTTATATCATCAAGAATGAATATGGTAAGATTCGCCATTTCTCTTGTTTGATATGAATGAAAAAGCATTCGATTTTACGTAACAGGTAAAACTGTATCTGAAAAGAGAGATATGATCGAAACAATCGTTGCACATTTCAATATTCAAGTTGATAACCCCATGTGTATGCTTAATCAAGATACTGCAAAGAATTTTCTCAATACAAAGAGCACTAAAGAAAAATATAATGTGAGATTGTGGAGATAATCAAAGCGAAACTTATCATTCAGTTGTCTTTACTTTTCAGTTCTTTCTAAAAGCAACACAATTACAAAAGATGGTTGACGATCTCGAACAAAATACGGTTGAAGTTCGCAATGCTAAACTTTCACTGACTGAGCATTTGAAAGTAAAGTGAAAACAATTCTACAGCACCATTCACGAAAATGTGTTTGTTCATAGAAAAGAAAAGAACTTCAAGCACAGCAAGAAGATCTACAAGCTCAACTGAAATTTGCTCAATCTGTTCGAGATGCGAAATCCAATGCTGAAAACCTTCAAGGTCAACTTGAATGGGCCGAAGTGATCAAACTTGAACATGTGAGTTCTAATTTACTCGATTTCTTATTTAAAATCACGGCGTTTTTCATTTTCAGACATTGGCAGATATTGAAAAGAAAGTCGTTGAATGTGGATTTGCTGTTGAAGAATATACAAAAAAACGTGATGCCTTGATCGTATGTTAACCTTGGTCTGATTGAGCTTGCTGAAATTGTTTCTTGTTGGTGTTCATAGGAAGATACGAAAAACGAAAAAACCAAACGCGACGAATTACTTCGTAAAGCACAAGAAGTGGCAAATACTGCTATTGAAGAAAAACGTATTCATGATGAACTCGAACGACGAATGAAGACATTCAATAAAGATCGAAGAGATTTGTTGAATGAAGTTAACAAATTTGAGAAAGAACTGCAATTACAAGTGGAATTGAAGAAAAAACTTCAGAACAAAATCGCCGAAATGCGTCGAAAGTAAAAGCAGTTCTTCGATTGTTTTCGAGTTTTCATTATAAAACTCATTTAGAGCATCGGGTAACACTGATTACGACCGAGTTCGTCAACGTATTGAGGAATTGCAAGTGTTAATCGCTGAACAGCGACAAATCTTATCAATGAAAGAAAATGAACAAGCTAATTTCCGACAATTGTATGATGACGAACGACAAGCATTATTTGATGATCAAACAGCCGTCAAACAACATGAAGAATCTTTACGAAAACGCCGAGGACATATTCAACAATTGAAAGCAGCGAAACAAGATCGGGTGACTATTTATGGACGATATACATTAGCTATTTTGAAAGAAATCGAAAGACAAGCACATCGGTTTAAACAATTACCGATTGGACCCGTTGGTAAGAGTGAAACCGAAGGAGATTCTCGAATACTTGAAACGAAAAAATGTCGTTTTTTTTTCTTTTAGGCAGACATATTCATCTCATTGATCGTAAATGGGCGGTCGCTATTGAGCAAGCTATTGGAAATATTATACCCAGTTACCTTTGCTCATGTCGTGAAGATGAACGAGTTTTTCTTGAAATTCTCTCACGATGTGTACCTCCGCAAGATATGGACTATCGACCAAGTGTTACTGGTAAGAAAGGAGATCTTTCTTGTTGATGATTTCTTTGAACATTGATTTCTAGTGATGAAATTTCAATCGACCGTTTATCAACAACTTCGAGTAATTATCTTTGCTGATTTCTTACGGATTAGAATTGAGTTTTATTTTCTAGATACCACCAGGAAATTTCACGACAATTTTATCCATGCTGAATATAGATAATCCAACAGTCGCATGCTTTCTCATCGATCAGGTTTGTCACGTTCTCTGAATTTCGCTTCTATTCAATCATACATCGATATTCTAGGGTCGCGTTGAACAACGAATCTTAATGGATAATTATGAAACTGCTCGTCGTATTATGGAGAAGAGTGCACCGCCCAACTGCATTGCTGTATGTGTCTGCTTCTTACTCGCCTATTTGAATTTTTCTTATTTCATTCCAGGCGTATCTTCCCAACGGTACTGAAATGCAAAATTTAAATGTATTTCGTTGTTACACATGCAAAAGCCAAGGGCCGCGATATTTTGTCGAAGATCTTGGCGAACAAATCATGTAGGGTCGATGAAGCATTTTCAAATTCTCTTCATAAAGTACTTCTGTTTGGTTATCTAGTCGTGGAGAAAAAGAATGTGTGACGATCGAACGAGAAATTCTTGAAGCAAAGGAGAAACTAAAGGAAACTCAAAAACGAGTTAGCGAACATCAACAAACTGTGGTTTCATTAGATGAAACTATAAACGAAATCAAATCGAAATGTGGTCGATTTGGAAAAGTAAGGTTTCTCTATAACTCTCAGTAAATGCTCAATATTTTTCTACTTAAGGAACTACGGGAACTGCAATTAATCGAAGCACCAAATGATTCGAATATTGATGATTGTGAAAATGAAGTAGCCGAATACGAAACTCGTATTGAAACGATCAAAGAACGTATCAAAGATCAGAAGGCGAAGAGTGAAGTGGAGTCACCGGAATATCGACAAGTTTTAGACGATCTTGGTCAAGCTCGGCAACGTGTCATAGAGAAACGTGAAGAAGCTGAACAATGTAAAAGTGCACTGCAAGCATGTGACGCTCTGAAAGAAAATGGACAACGAGCGGTCAACGAGCTACAGCGAGGACTCGATGAGAATCAAAGAAAACTCGAACAACAAGAAGCTTCGAAGAAATTCATTGAAACAAAATTAGAAACTCAAACTCAAATCGCACAAAAACTATGTCAAGAACGACCAACGGATGAAATCGATGTAAAAACTGTGAAACGAAGTCTCGATACTCTTCTGAAATTCATCGAGACAAATAAAAATCTGTAAGATCATTCCTTAGTAAACAAAATCACGCGTATACTTCAATTTTAGAACACTTGATGTCGACCGAATCGATAAACGATTAGAAGCAGCAACTGAGACTTATCATTCCTTCAATCGAACTGTTGATAAGCAAGAAAAATTAGTCAATGTAAGAACTTTGATTTGCATATTCACTGAAATATTTCCTTTGATTTCTCATAGAAATTATCCAAAGCATCACGTTACCGCGGTCAGCAATATAAAAACCTCTTAGAATCGACAGCAAAATTAACAAGTAGTTGTTTCGCCTCATTTCTTGAATCGAGAAATTATACCGGCGAAGCAATATTTGATCATCTGGAAGGAACACTTTCATTAGAGGTTAGTTCCGTATTCCGTGAACTTTGTCATTGTATTCATTGTGTCTATAGATAACACCACGTGGAGACGAACTTCATAAAGACACTCGATCGTTATCGGGTGGTGAACGCTCTTTTTCAACGGTATGTTTTATGCTGGCTCTTTGGGAAGTTGTGGAAATGCCATTGCGTTGTCTCGATGAATTCGATGTGTTCATGGTAAAAATCTTTTGAACAATATAACGTTCTTTTGTTATAAGACGATCGATGATTATTTGTAGGATCATGTCACACGTCGAACAGCAATGAATCTTGTTCTTGAAGTTGCTCGTGAAAAGAAGAAACAATACATATTTTTAACACCACAAGATTTAAGGTAATTGGCACAAAATCATGGATCTTCTCATTGACTTGTTTGCTTTTAGTTTTCTCAAAATAACTGACGACATGCGCATTCTACGAATGCCTCAACCCAAACGGACTTTAATGCAAATCAATAATGACCACGATTCCGATTAGATATATTTTCGTTTTTATCCAGTATCTCTTAAATTGAACCTCCAAAGAAGGAAACAGTATTCTAGTCCATCTCTTCCTCTCTCTCTCGTGTACATACTTTTTTGTCAGATCTTATTTCTCCAATTCAATTTTTTATTTTCCTATGTTCAAATCAGATATGAAACAAAAGAAATTCTCTCTCATCCTCATTAATTAGTTGTTTTCTATTCGATCAATGATCCTATGCATTCCTTCTTTATTAGTTTTCTTATGTAAATTTTCAAATGCTATTAATGATTGATCTATGTTTTTGTTCAGATATATGTGTGTACCAGATCTCTATTTTCTACCCAAACAAATCAATATAGGAACATAGAGTCTGACTTTCTTGTTATTGCTTATTTTCCAGATATAAACAAAGATGTTTCTTATGTATTATCTTAATGAGAAAGGTGAACGTGTCTACACGTTCAAAGTAAGAATTTCTTTTCACTCCTACTTTTTTTTCGACTTCTATTTGTAGAAAGTTGACCCAGCAGGTAATCCAACACAATCGGCTCATCCAGGTATGTTTTTTTTTCTTGTAATTCGATCTGAATCTACATTCGGATTTATGCGTTTAGCGAAATTTTCACCGGACGATCAATATTCTCGTCAACGGCTTAAACTCAAAACTCGACATCGTTTACTGTTGACACAGGGTCCACTTCCAAAGTTTTAGAAGTGTTCTTCCTTGTTGTTGTTTTTTCATTTTGTTAACATCGTCATACGAAAAGAATGTTACTTTGTTGTTGTTGTTTTGTAACAAATAAAACACAATCCATCTAAATCCGATATACTTTGCCAGAAGATTGACAAAATGCGGCATCTTTTGAAAATAGGACTTTACCAATAACCAACCAATGATGAAAGTCGTACAAACGTCGATGGGTTCAAAATTTTCTTTCCTTTCCATATAGCATAACATATATTTACTTGTCGGAATACGAACTATTTACAAGACGTATTTCAGATTCATCATCGATGAAATATCCGTCACATTTAACTTCGAATTAATCTTCTCAAATGAATGTATTTGGTTGTTTGATTTTGATTATTATTCTCATCAGTAAAACATCGATTGCGACTGATGTTTGTTCTCCCGGTGGCTGTGTATGTGGTATTAGTCACAGAGTTATTAATTGTGATAGTAAAGGATGGGAAAACTTATCTAGTCTGGAGTTTCCTTCTCAAGTGAATACATTAACACTTGTGGCTAACAAACTTCAATTTGATCGAGGTAAATACAGCGTCCTATTCAGTTTTGTAAAACTAGTTTTTGAGTTTTCAGTTGAAGACATTGAAAAGATTAATAATTTAACAAATTTAATGGACTTCAGTTTGAATCAAAATCCACTCGGCAAAATTCCGTCGTTTCATATCAACAATTTGCAATCTCTCTCATTAATAGATACGTCACTAACATCTGCAGAATTTCCTCCATCGTATAACAATTGTCCTTTGAAAGCAATTACATTGAATGATAATAAACTTCGATCGATTAACGAAAATGATTTTGCTGTTTTGGAGAATTCAAAATTACATCGGTTACATTTAGATACTGCAAGCATTTCGAAAATCGATCAGAATGCTTTCAGTGTATTGAAACATCTTGATTCCTTATCGTTGAAACAAAATCAGTTGAAATCCGCTGAGTTTCTGGCGAATCTTCCTCGACTCTCGTCGATAAAACTTGATGGAAATCAATTTACTTCACTTCCACCGCAATTATCAATTCAGAAAACGATGAGAATTGCCTCATTGACATCAAATTCTATCACAAACATCGATGAGTCGTCACCTTTACATACATGGTTAATGAAAAATTGGACGTCGAACCGAATTTACTTAGCTAATAATCCTATTGATTGTTGTTCATCCTTATGGTTTATTCGTTTTCTACAAAAAACGCCTGAATTCGTTGCAGATCGATCGCTGTTAAAATGTGCCGCACCCACTAGTCTTGCTGGACAATTCTTATTGGATTTGAATCCTGATCGACTGAATTGTGGAGATGAACCACCCAAACACTCTTGGTGGACAATCGGTCGAATTCTCGGTATTCTTGGTGGAATTATTGGCATAGTCATCAGCTTTATTATCATTTGCATTGCCTATCGTTATATTCGATATCGTCCATCACAATCCGGTTACACAGAAATCGATGATCCATATGTAAATGTTGAGAATACATTACCCGGTGGACCGGTATTTCCAAATTTGCATGATGATGAAGTAGATGATCGTCTGTCGACATATACCTACCCCGATGGAACAAGAAGTTATGCACAAACTCATTCAACAGCTGACGGTGTTTATGCTGTTGATCCTAGTCAAACAGGAGATTCTGTAGTTGAAAGAACTGCTCTTTTAAGTCGCCCTCATTGATCACATCTCATCTGGTTTTGTTTTTTTTTGTGTCCATTCAGTAATCTTCAGTTTGACATAGTCAAATTTTTTCGTGTTTTATTTATTTTTTAGTATCATATTGTCGATGTTAATTTTAGATTTAGTTTTCTATTCATCATGAAATTCACGATCAATCATTTGGTAAAAGATTTTTCATAAGAGATTATCTCTCGATACCGATTTGGTTGATTTTAGTTAATCGGTCTTCTGTTCCTCATTGGAGTGATTCATAGTGAACCTCGCAATGTTTGTGATATATGTGTCTGTGATCATTTGGATAATCCATTAGTAGCTCGTTGTGATGAAAAAAATCTAACAACATTGACAGAAATTATATTTAATTCCACCATTGAAATACTTTCATTAAGTCACAACAAGTTAACATTCAAATCAAGTAAAGCGAAAACTCTTTCGTTTGTTGAGTTATCGTCTTGTTTGCGTTTCTAGTCGATGATCTTGATAAAATCAATAATATCACATCATTGAAAACATTAATTTTATCAGATAATCCATTATCATTGATTCCAGCATTGTCTCTTCCAAATCTAACCGACCTCCAATTGATGAATACATCGCTGCTCAATGCAACATTTCCAAAATCGTTTTTAAACTGCACAAAACTTCAAACAGTCGTTCTTTCCAACAATCAATTAGTAAAACTAACATCCAATGAATTGAAATCATTAGTATTCTTAACTAATATCACTATTGACGATGCAGAATTAACTTCGATTGATCACGATACATTTGTGAATATTTCTCAAAATCTACATTCAATTTCATTGGAATCGAATTCACTTCAATCTGCAGAATTTCTCCTCTCGATAATGAATCTCGTATCAGTTAATTTCGACAAGAATCATTTCAAACAATTGCCAATGGAAATTATCCAATTTAATCATGCAAAGCAATTCTATTTCCGTGATAATCAAATCAGTGTCATCAACGAATCATCTCCACTGGCTTCTTGGATCAATACCAACACATCCGACATGGAAATTTACTTAAACAACAATCCATTCGATTGCTGTGAATCTCGTTGGTTTATTCGTTATCTCATTGGATCACAAAATCTTGTCAAAGATTCGATTAATCTCACATGCGCTCTACCAAAAACTTATGCTGGCAAACGATTACTTGATCTACGCGTTGAATCCATGGATTGTTCGACTGATCCGTTTCATCCATCGAAAGCACATATTAGTAAACTAGTCGTTCTTGTTGCCTGTCTAATAAGTATTGTTGTATTCATCGTCATCGTCGTCGGAGCAACACTCTATCGACGAAATCGAGGCCATTTCAGAAATCGACGAGGCTATGAACAGATTCGAGGTGTGAATGCAGATGCTTAGACACCCGAATGAACTATATATAATCAAGCTACAGTCAGATATTTTTAAGTGACTTTTCTTCTTTTATGTAAATGATACTCTTGATTAGATTTTTCATTTTCTCTCTTTACGTTTGTTAAAATAAATTTTTTTCCAATAGGAAACAGTTTGTTTTCCACAATTGAAGAATCAATCAAGCAGTAGACTTAAGTGAAAAACACAAGAGTTAGAAATTATACTGAGATTTTTTTTAAAGCGAGAAATAGAATGCTATCAAACATGCAAAAACTCCGTGTGTGTTAGATATAGTACATCTTCTTCAGGTGGAATTATCGACACGATAGGTGGTAATGGTTTTCGCACTTGTAAAAGGAGTCTTGGAGGTTCTTCATTCTTCATTGTCAACGTTTTGCGAGCGATGGGTTCGGCATGTTCTTCTTCTTCACCGCCGCTATCGACATCACTGGTAAAGATAGAATTTTCCGATGTATCGCCATCCGAATACGCAGAGAATCGTCGTCCGGAGACCGTGATTTTTGGCAGAGCTAAAAGATTCTGTTTGCTGTCATTAAGACTTATGGATAGCTTCGAAAGACGATTTGGTAAGGATCCGGTAAAAGGACTTGATGGGCGTATAAGAGGAAAAGTGACATCACTCGATGACCGATGACGCATTGTAGACGGTCGTTCAAAAGAAGTTGAGTTCATATGATGTTTTTGAAGTAGAGCACGCTTTTTCTCGAATTGCTTTTGTTCAAACGCCAAAGTTTGCAGATTACTAACTGATTTTCGCCGTTCAACATCGAGCATACGACGTTCAGCAACAACGAGACGATCTTGAGCTACCGTATGCTTCGTCCGTGTATTCAATAAACCATTATGAAATGGAACAGTGCGATGTGGTGGATGGAAGAACTAGAAAACCGATGAAAATGTCCTTTAAAATTCATTCGTATTCGCAATGTAGAATATTACTTTGATGGAAAAATCAAAGCTAGATTTAGGCATCTGTAAACACAGTTTCGACTCCGACGCTGCAATAATCAATCGTCGATGTGCTGTCGTGCTATAAACATCGGTGATTTTCTCGGCTTTCTTTCTGCTTCGTTCTAATTGTTGTCGTTAAATCATCGACAATCGGAGTGTATAGGAGCGAGAGAACGTAGCTTGTTATGTTCTTAAAAATAAATGACTAGCGAGAATATTTTATTGTTTTGTCCTTAACTTCCACATCATGATTGTGTGCGGCGTATAAATCAGTGAGAACGTGTTTTAATTTTACTCATTCAGAGTGAACCTTGAAAAGGTTTTCAATGGAACAAATGTCACAACACTCCTAAACTCGTATACACTATAATACAGACGATTATTTCAGTTGAAATTTCATCCAATGTAACTGAATTTTCTTATCGGATGTTGAATCGAACTTGACAAGATTTTGCTTCGTCATAGGTTTGTTGTTGAGTACGAATTGATTGCGTATTTATCGAATGTGACGTACATTCTCAAAGGACACACCTCTTCAGTCAGCATCTCCAAGCTTCACCTATCTACCTTTAATGATATTCTTCGTCATCTGATTTCACATTGTCATTTTCATATGCGCAATGACTATTGGATATTTTGTCGGCTGTAGCAATCAATAAAAGTAGCATGTAATTTATTTCAAAGGATAAAAGTCAAATATATAGCGTTAGGTAAACGTGCAGAGTATGCTACGGCTGAGACAACGGTAGGAAATGATTCATATTTTTCTAGAGATTCTTCTGTCATACTGTGACGAATGCGGATGTAAATGTTCGCAGCTGAAACACGTATTGGCAATCGTGGTGGGATAAAAAACTCGATACCTATAAGAAAAATATTCTCAGGCATGAACTAAAGTTGTTAACTCAGTTGGTCATTTGCACAATCGCAAAAGCTTGTAATTGCATGACTCATTATAGACCAATCAGAAATGTCCATTATTGATACATTGTCCTGTATTTATTTAATGACTATGTTATGATTGCATCACTTTCAGATATAAGGAACAGATAATATGAAATATCACCAGCGTTATATTGGAAATCGCTGATTCAATTCACTGGTAAACTGCATACTTTTCGTTCGCGTTCTGTCTGTATATTCTTTTCTATATTTAAACTGATTCGAACTTGGCGAACAGATTCAGATTCACAGATGTGTATATTTTCAGTACATTTTAAAATCAGCGCTCGTTATAAGAGAGACGGTTCACCTGAGAAAGATCAATCCATTTGTTCGCTGCGTGACAGTTTATGACCTGGCAAGTAGGACAGTATTTTTTCTTGATGTACACGAGGAGTGAAAAGTACGTTTTGTTTTTCGACTAAAAGTACGTTTTTCTATACCCCAGAAAGTTCCAAATTCAATCAAACTGAAATAAAACGTATGAGAAACAATCCAGAAGCCTTGATATGTATTTTTCTTTTTTTCTCTGACGATGGTAGTACATTCACTTCTTTAGCGACTAGAAAGAGAAGACGGCAAGAAAAATCGAATGACGTCGAAAGAAACAGAAATATGGCGCGACATAAATAACTAACTCATGTGTATAGTCGACCACGTGCAGTTCTTCTCCTACATAAATCGCTCTTTCTCTCTCGCCCCCTTTTGCGTCGATCGATACGTAAAAAAAATAATAAAAGAGACGAACGCAAAGGAGGTGTGTCATGTTATTCGTTTTTTCTTTCGTTGGCTCATTGTTCATGTGTGCAAATGACATTGCATCATCCTTTCTCGTACAATTCTCCGTTAAGTGGCGTCATTTTTCATTCTAGTATAATATTTTACTATGGCATTGGATTTTGGATTTGGATTCGTCGCCGGTGTTACTGGGACAATTGCCGGCTATCCATTCGATACCGTGAAAGTTCGTCTTCAGACTCAAACGCTCAATCATCGAATATATAATGGATCACTGGATTGTTTCATTAAAATTGCTAAACAAGAGTCTATACTTGGCTTTTATAAAGGAATGGCTTCGCCGATGTTTGGTGTTGCACTTATTAATGGTATTGTCTTTTCCGTGCAGAATGTTTCGAAAAGTCTTTTTGACAATCCGGATACTTATACAGCATTGGCAATGACTGGCGCCATTGCCGGCTGTGTTCAAGCATTTGTCTGTTCACCTATTGAGCTTGTGAAAACACGTTTACAAATGCAAGGTATTGGACAGCAGCGAAAATTATTTGCACTATCGACTCATTTGTACAATGGTCCAATCGATTGTTTAAGAAAGTCTTATAGTCGCCGTGGTCTTCGACAAGGTGTAATGCGTGGTTTATCAATGACACTTGCACGTGACATTCCATCATTTGCCGCCTACTTTCCTGCATGGCAGTTCTTTGTCACCACTTTTTCTTCAACTGGCAAAGAAGCCGACATGCCGATGTACATGAGCTTATTAGGTGGTGGTTTTACTGGCATAGCAGCATGGACTGTTTCCTATCCATTCGATGTCATCAAAAGCCGTTACCAAGCTTCAAGAGACCATGTTTATAAGGGTGTTTGGGACTGTGCAGTGAAATCATTTCGCGCAGAAGGATGGCAGGTATTTACGCGAGGATTTTTACCGTGTACACTTCGTGCTGTTCCAACGAACGCATTTACATATCCAGTTTATGCATTGCTAAAACAAACATTTGATACAGCGCGAGATGAAGAAACTGTGGTTCCCACAACAACTAAACCAGTTTCTAAGCCTAAACCCGTGTCAACATCGAAGAAAGTTATATCACCGCCACCATCACAAGCGACTCCGTCGTTGACTCCGATACAATCAATATGAAGCAGGGAAGACAAAAGAAAATTTTTTAATCGCTACTTCAGTTTCATTTTGGAACGTAAGCATGTCAGATGATCAATACTACTGATGTTTTCAATTGAAAACAGGACATTACCTATTCATTGCTCAGTTTGTCTTAGTTTGTTCTCTTTTTTATATAACCCCGTCTGATGTATATAGCAGCCCTGTTTGTAATTTCTTTATATAACCCGTTTTTTCCTCATTGATTCACTATTGTTTGTACATAGTATATGACATTATAGACTTCATCTGATATTTTCATAAAATAGCCAGAAAAAAACGTATGTTCAAACAAAACATCCGTTCATATTTGTTGACTCTTATCCATACAGACGCTTGTGGTATGACTTCCATACGAATAAAAACGCCCGGTTCATTGTGGTTACGTCTACCATTCCGTCGATGAATACAAAAGCTTTTACCGTATTGCTCATTAGTTGGTCATTCTTTTCTTTCTTTCCTTCTAACAAATGTATATATATATATATATATTCGTCCGTTTCACTTGTATCAAAAGAATATATGCATATCATTTTGAAACGATTATCACATTTGACGAGAAGATGAAACGTTCACAGGCACCTCTACCATCACAACCTCCTCCTCCTCCTTCTCTACAACTAGGACCACCGTCAATATCGTCCTTATCATCATCTTCTATAATTAGAACACATCCGCAACAACCTGCATCGCATAAATTAGACGATTCAATGAAACACAAGTAAAAGAGACTTGTTCGATCGATTAATTGATTATCGTTCATTTTTGTATCTTTTAAAGAAAAGCCGATCCTAATCAAGCTTATTGGTGGGACGTGGCTCATGTGACGAGTCGAATTTTCGAAGAAGAACAAATCATAAACAAAGAACGTCGTCTAACATTCCGTCGTATTGTTAAGATATGCGTTTATCTTATTTTCTTTCTTGTTGTTCTCACATCAGCTGTCGTTAGTAAACTCAGTCTCTTTACGATGATCAATGCGTATAAAACTCTTGAACAAGTCAGTTCAATCTTTCATGGCATTTTCCTGTCAAAAACCTTATTTCATTCTAGCCAAAGATATACATCGTCAGATGGCAAGTCTTATTACTTATTGCAATGATTGTACCATATACTTTAACATTTGTGCAAAGTCTTGTTCTATCTATTTTTCGTATAAAACATTCTCCGCCATTCCTATTAACCATTTGGGTAAGCACTCGAAATGTGACATGAAGAACAAATTGAAATTCGTGATATTTAGGTTCATATTGCTGAAACATGTCACACAGTTGGTCTTTCTATGCTTGTCTTTCGTATTTTACCTTCCGTCGACAATGTTACTGGTTTATTCGTCTTGAACGGTGTTTGTATTGTTCCGGCCATACTAAATCTTTTTACCACACGTCGTCATCATAATACAAGTTTGAAATTAATAATATTCATGTGTGATATTGCGTCTGTTCTCATGCAATTGTCTGTTTGTTTTATTCCATCGATTCTTAAAACAACGGAGAAGGTTTCCAGTCAACTTCAATGGCAATTACCTTTGGCATTGTTTCTTATTTCACTTGGTTATTGGGAAAGCTTTGTTGAAACACGTTTGCCGAACAAACATTTCTTCAAATGGTTTCAACGTGCCGTTCGATTATTACGAAAAACACGTCCAAAAGTGTATGTTACCGCGAGTTTGTTGAAAATTTTTGTCTTAATCATCACTGCGATTGCATTCTTACCGAAATCAATCGATAAGAACTTGTATTTGCATATATTCGATCAAGTACCGATTGGCGAAAGATATAGTCGTGCTATTCCTTTCTTTGACGATCACAAAGATCTTTTTCGAGCGACAAGACAAATTTATGCACCATTTGTTCTCCAGATCTTGTCCTCGTGCATTTGTTACTATACCGGTCGTATAGCTTGCAAAGTAGGTCGATGAATCTTTGACAAACATGAATCATGGTTTGATGAAATTAGGTTTTAATGCAATGCTTCGGCTTTTCATTACCATTAACAATGTCAACCTTGATTGCATACATCATTTTATTTTTTACTCATGGATTTACAAACAAAAAAGATATCATTGTGGTCGGTCAATTCTTTTATTTAGATAAACCACAAGGTAAAACAGAATAGAAGAGAATGAAATCGATATTGTTCGTCCTTTATAGCACTGGGTTCGAAATTGTTGGTAATATCTTTGATTGGATTTTTGGTTCTTTGGTTATCAAGAATGAAAATAACAAGTCATGTTTGGTTCCCAACATCTGAACGTTTGGCCATGATTCATAAGTAGGAATCGTAATCACCTTTCTATTCATATGTTATTTTATACATAGACTTTTTGTTCTTCCGTACTATGAATCTGCGATTGTCGAACAGAACTTATTACTGAACAAACAGCAGAAGGATATAATGGAAATGAACGGTAAGAATAGAACTCATTATGATAGTCCTTCAATCATGACTTTCATAGATCAAATTGAGCCCGACTTAGCTATGAAACGGAAATTTCCGGTACCAATGATCTACGTATGTGCAACAATGTGGCACGAAACAACCAATGAAATGGTCCAACTGTTAAAATCCATTTTTCGGTAAATGAACAAGTAGTTCCCTCATCTGATCCATATTTTTCTCCTAGACTTGATTCTGATCAACATGCTCGTCGAACTGTCCAGAGAAATTTGCGCGTGCTCGATCCGGATTACTATCGATTTGAGACGCATGTTTTGTTCGATGATGCGTTTGAAGATGATGAACATGGAAATCGTGTACCGAATCGTTATGTTAAACAACTCGTTGCAGCTGTGAATGTCGCTGGAGCGTATGAAAGTTTTACTTGATTAGTTCATTTAAAATTTCCAAGTAAAATCTTATTTAGTTATGTTCATGGTGTCGAAAAAGTCGTCGACGATCCTATTAAAATTCCCACACCATACGGTGGGCGTCTGGTTTGGTTATTACCGGGAAAGAACCGTTTGATAGTTCATATGAAAGATAAAAACTTAATTCGACATAAAAAGCGTTGGAGTCAAGTTCGTTGAAGATCTTTTAGTCAATTGATTTGTTTTATTGACAATATTTAGGTGATGTACATGTATTATCTACTTTCATATAAGTTATTACGACGAAAGAATGGTGGACATAACCTTTCGCCACCTGTCACCAATTTAGACACAGAATTTATTGGATTTAGTGAATTTTTGAAGAGTTTACCACATGATAAGAAGATTTCTGTAAGTGGAATCGATTTCGAGACGACCAATCGATACGAAGAGATTCGATCTATTTAGGCTCAAAATACATTTGTATTAGCTTTGGATGGTGATGTCGATTTTAAACCCGAAGCGGTTCTACTATTAGTTGATCGAATGCGTAAGAATCCGAAAGTCGCAGCTGCTTGTGGTCGAATTCATCCTACAGGCGATGGTAAAACAAAGAAAGACTTTCTTCTTTCCATGTCGAGAGAGTTTTGTTTTACTAGGACCGATTGTTTGGTATCAACAATTCGAATACGCAGTTGGCCATTGGCTCCAGAAAGCCGCTGAACATAAACTTGGTAGCGTTCTATGTTGTCCCGGTTGTTTTTCACTTTTTCGCGGTTCGTCATTGATGGATGATAATGTTATGCGACGTTATGCAGATAAATCAACTGAAGCAGCACATTACGTGCAATATGATCAAGGTTAAATAATTAATTAAGAATTGATTTTTGCACAAGATTATTGCTTTTTATCTCTTTGCAGGCGAAGATCGTTGGCTAACTACTCTCCTATTGCAACAAGGTTATCGAGTTGAGTATTGTGCTGCCTCCGATGCCTATACGCATGCACCGGAAACGTTTAAAGAGTTTTTTAATCAACGTCGACGATGGATGCCGTCGACTATGGCGAATATTATGGATTTATTAAAAGACACAAAACATACGACCTATGTCAATGAAAATATTTCCAAATTATACATGTTCTATCAAGCAGTTCTGTTCGTTTCGACAGTTTTAGGACCAGGAACTATTTTATTGACGATTGCTTCGGCATTGCGAACAGTTTTCTCTACATTAACAATCGCTGAATCTTATATGATATCAATTCTTCCATCAATTTTCTATATTATCATTTGCTTGAAAACCAAAGCAAGTACACAAATTGCTATTGGAGCTATCATGACTTGTAAGACTTTTTCTTTTTCCAAAACTGAAGTCTTCATTTCGTTTGTTGCAGCACTATATGCTCTGGTTATGTCAATGGTCTTGGTTGCAACAGCAGCGCAAATAGTGAAATCTGGTTTTCTTGATCCGAGTGCTGTGTTTCTTCCAACTGTTGCGATTACATTCATTGTCACTGGTCTTCTGCATCCGAAGGAAATGTTTAACTTGATTCATGGTTTTCTCTATTTGATCACTATTCCTGGTGGTTATCTTCTTTTAGTCACTTACGCTTTATGTAACTTACATGTTGTTTCATGGGGTACGCGAGAAACAGTCGAAGTTGTGAAAAAGAAGAAGACAAAGGATAAAACTAATGAAAAAGAAGTCATCGAACCAGGTAAGTGAAATATATGCTAGAAGAGGTAACGAATTGATTGATGTCATCCATGTAGAAGCAAAAAAGCGTCGAGCAACTGATGTTATCAATAACATGTTCTGGGGTGATGGACGACAACAACGTGGTATTCTTAATCAAGCGGGCGATGTCATTGAACAAGTCTTTCGGCCAACAATGAAACGACAAGAAACACTTTTACAACAAATCATTACGAAACTCGATCACGATGATGTACAGAAACCACACTATAAAATTTCCGCCCAACACACATCATCATCACCTAATTCCAACTTTTTAGGTGATGATTCATTGCAGAACCCCAAAGAATCGTCAAATAACATTCCAATAATCATTACCAGTGGCAACGATTCCACAAGCAATACAACTGCATCAACATCAATCTTAAACAAATCACGAAACAATATGATCAACCCGTATTGGTCAGAATTACCATGGCTTGGCCCGGAATCTGTTATTGGCTTTCTCCATACCGATGAGGTTACTTTCTGGCAGCAAATCCTTCAAAAATATATCGCGCCGCTTGATAAAGACGCGGAAGAAGAACGTCGTATTCAAAATGACCTCATTGGCTTACGAAACAACGCAGGTTTCGCATTTTTTATGCTCAACGCCATTTGGATCATCTTACAATTTCAATGTGAATACGTCGCAACGCAATTTACAGAGATCATGATCGACGTTGGTCGAATCTTTGGTTTACATGAAACAAAGGTTCAAGTTTTAGGTTTATTATTCATGTTATTCTTTGCTTCGTGTATGGTCGTGCAATTCTGTACAATGATTTTACATCGCTGGGGAACATTCATTGAAATTCTGGCAAGCACAAAATTGTTTGAAAAACATCGACAATATAAATTAAAACCTGGTTCCGACATTGCCGGAATGACAAGTCAGGAAGTGGCTGAAGTTTTAAAAGATTTAGATATCGAGTTAGTTGTTCCGACATCCTCATCTTCAACATCCACCTTTCCCAAAGACAGTGTGACATATCAAATGGAGTCAATTATAAATAAAGAACCGCACTTTATCGCTCCAGATGAATATGATGATAATGAAGAACAGGATGTTTACAACGAACCACCGATCGACTATTTCGATCATCCTGTCGTACAAGAGGCGATCGATGAGAGTCGCCTTCGATTGCTCTGATTGATTTTCTTTCATTTTAAATAATTAACTTGTAAATGACGTTATTTTCCTTCTTATTTATTTTTGTTAACCGTTACCGTGTTTTTTTTCTAGTTTCGAAGTAAAATTTCTAAGTAAATCGATTTTCGGATAGATTTTTATAAGATTCAAATGCTTTTGAACGAGAAAATATGCGAATGTGTGAACAGTATTGATAATCATCTTGATGTTTTTTCCACCCATTGCTAATGAAACATGACTTGTCAATTGAAACTCGATGCGATGTGAACTGACAGGATACATATCCTAGTAAAAGGAGATTTTAATCAAAGATAACCTGATCGATGCGTTTCTTTCTTCTCATAAGACAAGAAGGTTTCGATAACATTTTCTGTAAACCTTGTCGAATTCGAAAACTCAGCTGCGATTTGGTCGCATCAGAAAGAAGAATACATTGAACTTTGACATTCACCAATTTTGGAAATACAAGAATTGTGATGAATGATATCATGTTTTTGCTTCGTCAAATGATTATACACGTAGCAATGACAAATCAAAATGATATGATCGTCGGTATGAATTCAATTTAGTTTCGATATGTCGCTGATTTCGATTTGAAATAGTTGCATCATATGATGATCTTGTTTGGTATTGTTCATATAAATTGAATGTTACCGCACTCGCGTCAGATCTATTTAGATGATTTTTTCACACATCTCAAATATCTTTTGCTTCTTTTTTTTTGAACCCTACGTTCTTTCGTCGATGATAAAATCCCGCCGAGAGAGAAAGAGAAGTGTACAGGCAAGGCTGAGGGTTGGTCATGCTTCATTGCATTTCACTCATCTCCAACGGCAAATAAAGAAAAAGAGAAAAGATATTCTTATGATTTAGCCAATGCACATAACGAACATCACGTTGAGCGATACACATATATAAATGTACATATCATAATAATGAGTACAGTGTCCGCTATCACCTTTAAATAGTTATATATACATATGTAGAAACACATTTTTAAATG